TGGTTTGAATTCCGCTCAGTGTGAGCTTTAGGATGGCCTTGAGCATCAAATATTGCCATCTCTGCAAACTCGTTCTACTGCAAACTGTACATGCAGTCATATCTGATTGCATTGAGCGCGCACAAACTTCACTGACAGCTTTGTTATTCCATCAATTTTATCTTTGATATATCTGCCTGACGAAACTCACGTCTGGTAGAAAGGTATGTATATCTGGGTGCAATAGTTTAACAACCCGAAAACGCCGGGTTTCACTTTTTGCAGATAATGAAAATTATTCTAAGTAACATTAATATCAGCAATGACAGTAAAAACAGAAAAACACACAATGATAATACAAATAACTCTGCACACAGCAGAGCACCGTTGTGGTGGTCACGCTGTGTGTGACAAAACCTCAGACAGCACCTGCAGCAAGCCTTTCACTGAATGCATACAGAGGAAAGTATGTAGTGGTCTTATTTAGCATGCTCACGCGACAGCACATAACACACTGTGACTGACAGTGACGGAAATATGTTACGCACATCTATTCATAAATTATTACTTCATTTCACTCAGTGACAGTAACAGGAGGGTGCAGCACGATTGCATTTTTCCTTTTTTTTAATGCTGTAACATCTTTACAGGCCACCAATTTTTAATCTTTAAAAGCCACACTGCCCTATATTGTGGCCTGTGGTCATGTTTACTGGTAGTTGAACTTTAGTAGTTCTCATAAAAAAAACCTCATGAAATAAACAACAAAAGCAAACATGAGAAAATGGCACTGGCCGGGGAGGTTTCTAATTTCAATGAACCCCCTTAAAAAAAGAAACCTGTTCCTGTTCGTAGTTGCATGTACCAGCTTGCCTGAAAACACTTGCAATCCAAACTACAGGGAAGCAAACCAGCTCAGTGGAAAAGAAAACAATAGCAGAAACTCGTCAATAGGAATAGAGGTATAATTGACATTTTATGCCACTGTAAAAACTGAAAAGTCAGCTCAACTTAAATGTAATACTTATTACACTTTACATTTTTTGAGTTATAGGGAAATTCCACCAATTTTTTTCAAAATTCCTTAATAATTCAGTCATTGAGATGTAAACAAACTCACTCGGAAGAGTTTGATACGAAATGGTTCATTGTAGGAAAAAATAAACAGACTCATTTCTTTACAGTGGTGGTGATAGGAACCAGGGGTCACAATGTCTATGACATAAATGTTGTCTTTTTATTTACTATCCAAAACCACTAGTGAACCATCACGTCTTCTGAGTTTATATTTGTAATGTTGATGATGGTAGAACAGTCATACATTTGTCATAAGTCATAAGTTCTTTAGGAACTATTGTGTCCTATAATGTCCTGCCTGTATTTCTCCACCATGAACGGATTAAAATACATTTTAGGTCAAAACTTTGTGGCAAAACTATCATAAAATGTGTCTGACATCAGGTAGCATATCTAACCATTTTATGTAATAACTTTCTGTGAGAGTTTTAAGAAGCATTAAATTTTTCAGACATCATTCACAACCACTGTGAAAAATTATGACATGGCAACATTTCATATCAGACCACACTGAAAGACTTTGTTTAAATCTCAAACGTTTATTATGTATACATTTTGAAAGGTTCCTCTTTAACTTAGCATGAGGGCACTGCAGTTTACTTGACTCAAACCTCCTAGCTTAGTTAAAAGTTCTCGTAACTTACATTTTTAGTACTGCATCTCAGTTACAGTGAACAATATAGAATATATATATTTAAAGGGTTCACTTGATTTTTCTACCCCAATGCCACCAGGCATTTTTTGGGCTCCCAGTTCAGGACAGCTCTGGCATCATCAGAACCTACAACTGCCTGATAACAGGGCAAGTGCTCAGGAGCCTCTGAAGTGATTTAAATTTGTCCAAAAATGTATAACAAACCTTAAAAAAAATTAATATTTTGACTGTAAAAAGTGAGCAACATAGCAGACTTAAAACTAAGTTCACTGAACATCAAATAAACTTATATGATGTTACTAATGTTACAGATGTAAAACATAGATTGTTATTTTGTTAACTTACTATCTGATGTTCAATTAATTTAATTTTAGGTCAGCCAAGAAATTTAAGTTAAATTGAAAAAAGATTGTTTTTCCAATCTAAGCATTTTGTGTTTTTAGTAATGAGTCAAATTGCATTGGTTTAACTGAAATTAACACTTTAAACCAATATTTCTCAGATTCTTAGTTCAGGTCACAAAAATGCTACATAGATTAATAAACTTAAGTTGGATTTTTACAATGCGGGCATTATGGTGTTGAAAAGATTCTTTACTGTCCACAAGAAAAGATCAGACTGTTTGGTAAAAGCCGAGAGTACATGAAGTGCCACTGGCACTGTGACCTCACTACATTTACAGTAAAGGAAACTTTAAATGTAACTAGAGATCAATCATGAGGAGGAAGAACATTCTTAATAACTGTGTAAGACTTGACAACCCAGAAAACAGTGGCAGAAGCATGACCACATAGCAAGTCACAGAATCTTACAGGAATCTTACAGGAAAAACGTGGCTATTCAGTGCCACGTTTCACATCCACTTACACATCAGCATTTCATTACAAAGGTTAGACAAATGCTGCAGGTGGTGAAACCACAATAAAAGGAAGAAAAACAGACAGTAGTGTATGACATAATGTGAGCTTCACGTGAACAGAAAATACCTTTTTCATCACATGAACAGTGTTTGAAAATGACTTCCTTCTGTAAAAAGTTACTCTTCCCAAATTAACAGACAACGCATAGCCGCCAAGTAACTCATCAACCTCTGATTCAATAAAACTGTCCCACTGATCCCAAATTTGGAGCATGTTCGTATTGATGTGCACTAAAGATGGGCGAAATGGCAAAGAAGTGTGACGATACGTGAAGGCACTTTCACAAAACAATCAGCATCACAATATTCCGTTTTTCGGGTGTTTAGTAACTTGTAACAGAGCGCAGTAGTGGTAATATTAATATTTTTCTGATATTTAAAAACATTATCAAAAAGAACCAACCCAATAATTTTTATTCAACATTTACATTCTGCGCTACACTAAATCCAATTAAACAGGACTACTTATGCTGTCTTTATAATAAAACATGCATGGTCGGTGTTAAACTAACGATATCCACAGTATGCTCAAAGAAGCCTATCACAATGTAATTTATTACCACAACTATAACCTGTCTGCCACATCCTTAGTGACAGAATTATAACATGATGGTACTTTTCTACGTTTTCACAATACATGATATGCATAACAAATAGAGACAGCATACTCGACGAAAATTTCAGACTGGATATTAGAAGGCAAGCGTACACAAAAATGCGAACTGGCCAAAAATTTGGAAACTGCAGCAACAATAACAGAAACATGTTTAGTGTATTTACACTGTATTTACAATTAACACGCTTGCTTTAGTGCCAAAATAACAGAAAGTCACTTTAAAAAGGGAAATATTTATTAAAAACATTAAAAGTAATAAGAGCACTGCTGTTGTGATTACTGTGGTCGTTCTCCCTGGCTGAACTGTTCTGCTTTGATGTCATTAGTTATTTCAGTACAGTCGTTTACACGTTTGAACATCCCTGGTCAAAGTACAAAAGATCAATATATTGGAAAAAAGCATATAATCTAAAATGTTCCATAACTTTTGCACAGGTCACATTTTAGGTTTATTTCTTCCCCAGTATTGTTAAGTTCAGCACAGTAATCAAATTTTTACAATGACTATGTGAAACTTTGTTCTCTGTAGAGGATATTTTACGTATTTTCAAAATCACAACACTGGTCAATTTACCAGGTGTTGCCCAAACTTTATATAAGACTGGGTAGGTACACAGGTACTGATTAGCTACTGTAGTGATAGCCTTTCAGCTTATTCAACAGCTCATTGAACACATTCACATATTTAAAACCAAACTTCAGCCAATGGAACGGCATGCTGAGTGGACCAGCCCAGCGGGGGTTGGGCAGGGGGAACTGACCACCACACACACAACAACATATTACCCATTGCAGTGGTCACAGTTAACTAATTACAGTTTGTTCTGTGTCTGACCAAACAGGTTTGTTAAAAGAGAAAAAGACCACATGGCCCTTAGTCTCTGAATTTTTTGTGGACAAAAAGTGAAATGTTGTGGCCAGGAACACCAGGCAATGTCTACCCTTGCTGAAGGGGAGAAAAAAAAAAAAATAAATAATTACACTGAGCCAATCCTGTAACATGTCTACTCTGAAATAGCGCCCACTCACATCACATGATGTGTTGTTGTTAGCTGTGCATTCATTGCTGTGGGGTCATAGAGTTAAGCATCACAGCCTACTTTTAGATGCTCATTTTAAGTGAAACGTTTAAACAAACTGGGTGTTTGTTAGTTGATATTGACAAAATGCACCAGCAAGCAGTACCTATTTAAAAAGGCAACATTTAAGAAGGTCAAGAAATACTATGAGTACAATTTATGTGTTTTATTATGGACCAATTAGCTATAGCTTGTTACTATGCTTTTCATACACTAACACACTGACTATGTTGTTGTTTGCAGGCTGTCTCTAATTCTCTAAAGGGTTTAGTTGCAACTTTGAAGAGTTTTCTTTTTTCTAATAAGCTGTGTGAAGCGGACTTTACACACATAAGAAACAGTACCATTTTTACTACAGAGATAAAGATGTGTTTTCCATTAAAGTAAGACTTAAAAACTTGTATCCAAAAATGGAAATACAACGTTTTGGAATGAAATTCAATTGTTCTAAATCTGTCTATTTTTATTATACACACAGTTGTCCAGAGACCCAGAAGTGCCAATGATACCCATAATATACTCAGACCAGCATATTGTGATGTAATTTATCACAGTAACGATAAGAGATCTTCACACTGACCGTTGTCACGCATATAAAATCAACTCAATCAAAGGCCGACTGTATTGGCCCCATTAACTGATACACAGTTCCGATTAACAACAGGAAGTACTGACCTGGTTGATGACGTAGACCCCATAGTCCAGCTGCTGCCGTTGCAGAATGGGGTGCAGGTAGTACAGCCAGAACTTGAGGTGCTCATCTCTATTGCGGAAGGGGATGATGATGGCTACCTTCTGCAGAGCGATGCAGTCTTTGGGCTTGTAGCGACCTCCCATCCGCAGCTCCGAGTTCTCCTTCCTCACGTTTTCCAGGCTGACTGGAGAGGAAAACTCGATCCGGAGCGGACCCACTGTTCCATAACAGACAAGAACCCAACAAACTCTGGTCATTCCATTTGTGAAAGACAACAAAGACTAGTTAGCAAAGCCTGAAAGTCTTTCCCTGGATTATTTTTAGAGCTTGGAAACAATGACAGAAGATCTCAAACAAAATCTGAAGTCTAAACATTGAGGCAAGAATAAATTTACATTCTTCCTCTTGGCCCTATTATGTGAGTTTGGTCCTACCATTTTTGTTTCTGTTACCATCATTCAATACACAAAGGTATAATTTCACACTAGATGTAGCCTATGCTGGACCTTGCTTAATTATAAGATGGAAAAGTGAGTCACTAGGTTACTGGCATTGTTACGAGACTGCTATTCTGCTGATATGGCATGTTTTAGACCAACCAAGTTACAGGGTGTTTCTGCTGCTACCAGTGCTTTTAGGTCTCGACAGTGGATTTTTGAATACATGTTCACATTTTTAGCATAGACAATACTTCTTTAGTGTTTTAACACATTTTATATACAAGTTTGTTTCTAAATTTAATGTGCTAGTGTAATTTCTGAAGAATATTTTGGGTCAAAGTACCAAGTTTGTCTGTCTCACACATGATTTCAATATAAGTTAGTCCATGACAAAATGACTGCTCCTTAATAGAAACTGCACTGTATAAATCAGAACATGCGCCTTAAAATACAGTTTATAACTAACGTGTTCTGAATTGGACTTCCAAACCAAATTTCTCATACTCACGTCAGCTTGTAATATCTTAACCTTCCACATTTCCTTCCAAATTTCTGCATAATTCAATCATTAATACATATACAAAGTCATTCAGGTGGTCTGACGCGAAATGATTCATGGTAGAGAAACTTACCAACCAATTTCTTTACAGTGGTGAAACCAAAGGTCACAATGTCTACAGCACAAATACAGTCATTTATTTATTATCCAAAACAACAAGGGAACCTACATGTTTGTTTGGGTTTTTACATGTGATGTTGGTAACGTAGTAAAGTTTGGAAACTATTTTGCCTTACGATGTCCTGCCTAAATCTATCCACAGTGAACGTATTGTAAAATATACGCTTTTAGGACAAAATCTTCTCAAAACATCCTAAAAATTCCCAGGAATCAGGCAACATAGGTCACCATGCCTACGTTCACTCAGCAGGTAAAAGTGGCCCAAATCCGATTTTCTCACCACATCCGATGTTTCTGTATGGCTGTCAACAATATGCGACATTAGTCTAAACAGATCAGAATCAGTTCACAGTCATAAACTAACCAGCATGTGAAAAAGAACAATGCTTTACGCTGCTTCATGTGGCGCGTTCATTTAGAGGTAAACAATCATGACTGCCAACATATGCTGATCCACTCCCAGAGGTTTCATTTTCATCGCCGCCAGCATCACAGAAGCGATCATAAAGCTTCACTGACTGCCAGCTGGGCTCATCAGCCAGAACGTATTAGAGCTCACTGTAAAAAGCGCATGGTTAACTCTTTGGTTTGTGTCCTTAGATTCTTTAAACTTTGCTTTCACACTTTTAATTGTTCATTGATACTGCTGCCTCGTTCTCCTACGGCCACGTTTGGCCATTTATTTCAAAATCTCTTCAAAAAAGGAGGGGTTTGATACGTTTTTTCTTATTTTTTGTACAGAAGCATCACCTGAAATGTTTCAGCAGCGCTAAATTATGACGAATGTCAAGTTGGAAGTCAATATTTAAAGAACACTGACATGTTTTATTACAAAGTGAGCACAATTAGGTTTGAGCACTGAATCACTGAATAAAAATCACTGTAGTTTTTTTTTTTAGTTACTGTCAATGGCATTATAATAATAATAATAATAATAATAATAATAATAAACTAATTAGTATAATTAGTATAAGTATAGTGATACAATATTTTTGTCATATTGCCCTTCCTCGCTCTGAATAACTTTCTTTATATATCTTAACAATATGATTAAGCCTTAATTTGAAAAACTGGGGGAAGTCCGGTGTGATAATTAGGCCTCTTTCTTCCAATATCCTAAAAAAACGTCTATTAGATCCCCTAAGGCACATCCACAGCAATCGAAACAACTTAGTCCAGGTTAAACTCTGTTCTATTCTAAGTTGGCTGCAGAATCAGCCCCACAGGCATGTTTTCCCACACCACTGATTTTAACCAGTGCACATTTGCTTCCTTAACATATGGCTAGATGATATGTCTAGATAACACAGTGCTTCACTGAAGAGCTCAACCTTATTTACATCGCTGGAATATGTCAGAGAGTTCACAGCACGGCTGAAAGATAAATCATTTTTATATCAATCTTAAAGACTGCAGTTTTTAAATGGCAAGAACTGCTATTTCAATTCTAGTCTATTTTAGCAACAACATTGTTTTAGGTTCTAAATAGAGAACATTTATCTAAATAACACTGAGTCTGTGATCTGCTTGCAGATCATTTTTACTGTAACAAAAACAGTTGATGCACAGTTACCAAAATAAGCTGTGCAGAGGTACAGCCACACATATTTACCCAGGAAAGGTGTTATGCTGTGGAAAGAATTTACATTTAGTTTAGGGATTACTGTCACAGTATCAAAAGAATGGACCAACAATGCTGTACACTCAATTTTACTAAACAAATCAGTAGATGAACTAACACTAGAGCTTTCAGCTTAGAGCTAGACGAGGGACAATCATTGTCTTTTATATGAGGTTAATTATTTTCTATTGAAGGGAGGCTATGCAAATACGCTACCTTGTTGAGGTTGCACTGAGAAATATCTTTGCTAAGTTCGGCTATCATGGTTAGCCTAGGTGCACTACTTCATACTTTGGTCATGTTCGAGGCACATGAAGGCACTTGTGTTTGCTAGCAGTAAAGTAAGATAAGATATAGACGACACTGAGTAAGGAGGGTCCGTCTGTGGGCTGCAGGCCTTCCTGCGGTACTGAATTGTCACCTTACCTTGTTCCTACACTCACTGGCCATTTCATCAGGTACATCTACTAATTTTCGACTAAAATACCCAGTTAGTTGCTATTTTGAACGCTGAAATGAAACTATAGTAATGACGCCATAAACTGTTGCACGGTGTCAACTTGTTTCACTGTCAGCTTTGTGAGAAGTTAGTATCTCGTGTCAACTATTGACAGCGGTGTACAGCCTCACCTAGGCTATCTTTGAACTGTAGGAGCCTTATAAGCCTTACATTTTACTTAAGATTTCACAGGAAAGTAATGCTGACCGCATATCATTTACAGATCACAGCATTTGCATACCCAAACGCATTTAAACACCCTGCAACTCGACCAAATGGCCCTGACACCAGACCAGACTGTGAACAAAGGACGTTTCCTCGAAAGAGCTTCAAAGGTGTATCACTCACAGGGAGCACAGCTGCATAAACATGAAATCTAATGGTACGAAGCAGTGAGAGAAGAGTAGCTGTGACACCACATAGGCAAACTCGTGAAGAGAAGATAATATCAAACCTCAACTCAAACTCAAACCTCAGAGTAAACATAAATGGGATAGGTTTATCAGATTTCATCATAAGGGAAACAGAGCTTCACAGCAAACCAAATATGGGAGATCAAGTTGCAACATGTCACACAAATGAGATTAAGATATAAAATCCTGAAATAATGTCAGCTGGATCCAAATCTGAACAATAATGCTAGTAAAAAAAAACTTCATAATAATGCCACTTTTTTATCCAAAATCTGGGAAAACACTGCCACGTTCTTCCAATATACTAAAACAAATGCCAGTTTGATCCACGTCCATGACACCGAGATGGAAACTGTATTTATAATAAGCATAGCAACACAAGGACACAAGCACAGAGTTTAAGGGCTCTTACCCAGTATAGGCGACGGGTCGGGGCATTTTTCAAGCTTTTTCGAGCTCTTTTCAGTAGTGTTGTGATGGCTGGAAAGCGGAAAGGTGGTGGTGGGCTTCGCCTCTCCTTCACTGCCGTGTACGTAGGCTGTCAGCTTTCTTTGGTCCTGTTGGATTTGCTGGTTTTGTACAAACGCTTGCTTAAAGTCTATCGACCTCACATAATAAAACACAGTGACAGATATGTGAAGAAAGCACAGGAGCACAACCAGAGTGCAGGTCCTGTGAAGGAAACTAAAATTCACATTTGAATCACGCATTTTTAAAATATCTGACCAGACCTTCCTAGCTAGCCTAAAAAAAAAAAAATCACACAATTAAGTGATATAATATATATCTAAACATGGATTTAGTATCTCGGTCTAAACAAATGTTACTTGGTAACTAGTCGCATTTAGAGCTAACAGCTAGCTTATCTCCAAACATCTTCCTGTTTGTTACCAGCATTTTAAGGAGCTAACGTTAATGTTCTAAATTAGAGTAAAATATCTAGTTTGTAGGTACGTAACGTTACATAAAAAACCCTCTCATTAAAACGACCACAGTTATGTTTTCCGTCAGCCAAAACCCTTTTTTAAAGTTATTTTTCCGCGGAGTTAGCGTTAGCTCGCTAGCGTTAGCCGCTCAGCTAAGCCAAATCATTTTTATCAAACTAGACAGCCAAGAGAGTCGCTTAAACTAACAGATTATAAAAAAAAACAAGCGCTGAATAATAACTATACGTAAACTTCTCCCGACGTTTTAAAATCCGTGAGACGAGGTTTTGCGAAAACGCCTTTCTCCTTTGGAAAACGCTGCTCCGTTAGTTGAAGTTGAAGTAACGGAGCACGGAGACGATTTGGGTTTGACAAGTCACAGCGAGTCTGAACTACGTACGATACGCAGCCTACGTTACCTACGTAGTCACAGTAGCTGCGTTGTTTACTAGCGTTGTGCTGCAAGCCGCTTTGTTACGTTCACTTACAGTACAACGAATAGCTGACTAGCAAACATAACGTCTAAATAATCTTTAATAGCTGGAAATAATCGCTTTCGTCTTTTCTCAATCCAGTTTTCTTTAGACACATTCAAACAGGTGAATGAAACTTCCTATCAACACGTTGGCTTTGGTTTTGCCAGATCTTGTAGCCATAAACATCTGCGTGCTGGTCCGCTCTGCTGTGGCGATGTGCTGTAGATCGGGCAAAATCAGGGTCCGCAAACGGAAAAGGGTTATTCTTTCACGTATTCGGACGCAGGCAGGAGTTCCCCTGCAGTCTTAAATGGGAATTCCAAGGTTGTGTGAATAATTTCTGAATAATTCCGTCCTTGAGACGTAAACAGAGTCATTCAGAGTGCTTTGGTGTGAAATGGTTCATTTGTAGAGACACTTACAAACTGATTAATTTACGGTGGTGATAGGAACCAGGGGTCACCACGTCTACAACACACATGCATCCATTTTATTTTCTATCCAAAACCACCACAAAGCCTACACGTCCTCTGAGTTTTATATGTAATGTTGATGATGGTAAAATAATGGCAAATCAGAAAAAAAAAAAGTTTTCTTTGGGGTCTATTTTGCCTAACTTCCTGCATGTATCACTACGCCATGAGTGGATTAAAATAAATGGATTAAAATACATTTTAAGGCCAAAACTTTATCACAAAACTATCATGTGTCAGACATTAAGCAGCACACATTAACCATTTCATGAAGTATCTTTGAGGAAATTAGAGGTGGATGTCTGGTTCCCTTAACTATGTAGAATTTTCCAATCTACATTTTTTTTTCCTTTTATTCATTTGCATTATGCATAACTTGTGTGATTTTATGCACATCAACAGCTAAAATGTAGTTTTACATAACGTCTCTGTACGCCTAAAACAGGCTGTTTTAGTTTGCCTTTAAGGCTGATATATCAAAAAGACATCTGATCTGCCTCGTTCAGAAAGTTAAAGTGAAAAACCGAGGATAATAATTTTCCAAGACAGTTTTCCAAGTTAAAAGACGCAGCGTGGTTACGTAACCTTACGCAACCTCTGCGCAGCCTACGCAACCTGCGGAAGCTTACGCGTGGAATTAACCTGGTCAAATGCAGCGGTGGAGCGGACATGACTCTCTGTAAGCGGCAGGATTATTGGTAATAGTTTACTTTCGTAGTCTAATAATGCTTAATGTGAAATAACAACGTGTACAACGTTCCACCATTATTTACATCAACCGTTTAACGAACCATTTCAAACTTAAGATAAGAAAATGAGAATGAACCGTCTCTATTTTAAGAGATTGTGATTGTATTAGTCAGTGCAGCTCCAAAGTCCATTCACAATGTCACGTTGATGTTTACCTTTTATTGAGACCAAACTGGTATGCAAAAAATAAAATAATAAAGTTGAATTAAATTGAATAAAAAAATGCATATGAGACCGAAATAATGTGGCACTGAAGACCCTCAAAAGTTTCGGAAAACTAGAAAAAAATTTGAGTTTTTTTTTTTTTTTATCGATGTTGGATGCCACCTAGTGGTCACAAGTGGTAGAACAAAAATGAGGTAAAAGAATAGTAAAAACGCGTAAATGGCTAAAATAAATGCATTTTCAATGACAAATGTCCTTAGAAATTCAACCTGGAAGTATTTCCCATGTGATCCAAAGCTTGTTCTCTTTTAAAACTCTAGCTAAGTTTCACACAGTTCATAGCTTCATCAACATATAGGCAATTTGTGAGCAAGAGACTCTGAACCTGAATGGTTTAAAAAGAAGCCTGTATTGTGAAAAATGGTATGATAAGTGTTTGGTGTTTGTAACTGATTTGCTGAATGTAAATGGTGAATTGTATCAATATAAGGAACTCATAAGTATGTTGGGATGCTGGATTTAACTGGTCAACCAGCACAGTGACCAGCTCGCCAACTGGTTGGTGGTCAGACTGGTCAACCAAGTCTCAAAACATAGCTTGAACTGGTAAGATGTTCAAGCTTTCACAGCAGAGTGGAACTTGTCACAGAAGGATTATAATACTAGCATATCACATAAACCCATTTGCACAAAGCCAGAATTGCCTCCACTATCCTGCCTTTAGACTCTTCATCATCAATTTAAAGTTGCTATGTGATTACCTGCCTAATATTCGCTGTAATAAAAAGGCCACAAAGACTTTTTATCACTATGTGATTTGTGAGAGCCATAAATAAATAAATAAATAAACAAGCAGGTTGAATCGTTGAGTGATAAAACTCTTTTGCATACAGTGGTCAGAATTTGATTTGATCTTTTCTACACTAGTTCTCTGAAAGATGACTGAAAACCTTCATAAACACAAGGGCTATATAGACCCAAAGGGCTCTAGGGGGCTGCAGCTAGGAGCTCTGGCCTCCAGGGGTCCCCGGAGGCCGGATGGTGAGCAGTGACCGCCCACTTTTTCAGCGGCTCTGGTTCCGGAAGTAGAAATCCCATTCATTTTCCCCATATATATTAAAAAAAATCCTTATATAAAGAGTTTTAAGCACTCAGCCGAACCAGTCAGCTACCAGACAAATCACGGCATTATAAAAGTTAAAAAAAGATTTTGAAAAACGAACAAAAAGTCAAAGGTACACGACGGCGTACTTAACGTGTTTAATGTCAGAATGAACTACACATCCCAGACAGCACTGCGAATAGTTTCAACTAATCACTTTCAACTTTTGCAATCGCGTATTTTCTCTTAATGTTTTTGTGGATATTGCGGTTTATTATTATTATTATTATTATTATTATTATTATTATTATTGTTATTATTATTATTATTATTATTATTATAGTTTTAGGTGCATATAATGTTTGAATTTTATCATTCTAGTTTTAACAATCCGTTTATTTTAGCTTTTTTAACTTTTTAATTAATCACTGCCCATTCTAAGTCTAAAAGAGGACAAACCTACATGTAACATCACAAAAAGAGATCTTTGTTAGGAGACACTGACAGCTATCAATTAAAAGACTAATGTGATATGATCTGTTAGATATATAGATTATTTTTAAAATTATGTCATATTTTTATTTTTAACATTTACATTTCAACATATTTTGGGTCACTTTCAGCTTCAGGTGGGTTTAAGTAAACTTAAGTAAACATCTCTTATGTTACATTTATTAGTGATAAACATGTTCAATAGTGTTTTACAAATGCATTTTTATTATTTCTTACTCTTTCATCAAGTTGGGAGTGATTGACACGCAGCTAGACCTATCAAGAAAACAGCTGAAAAGGTTGCTAATGCTGTTAAACAAATGATGATTAGCACATCAAGGAATCTTGTCAGCATGTGTGAGGCAAATGTGTGTTTAAACAGTGTCTTATTCATCAATGACAAGTATTTGCAATGACAAGTAGTGACATCTCCATTTACAACTTTACAAGCTGTAAGACAAAGAGTTGCCGAGTGACCTGAAAGCAGCCGAAACTACAGTTCTTCAGAGAACAATGAGCTATGAACTGCCCTGCAATCAGATCCATTCCTATACCCAATGATTAAATGCCCTCTGCTTCAAAAGAAGCACAGAGATGCATGTCTAAAATTTGTGTGCAAGCATTTAGATGAATCAGAACTCTTTTGGAACAATGTACTCTACAGTGTAGTCTGATGAAACAAAAATAGAGCTCTTTGGCTATAATCATGTTTGGAGAAAGAAAGTTGCATGCATTAACCCAAGAACAGCTTTCCCACAGTGAAGTATGGTGGTGGGAGCATCATAATATGGAGCATATTCTCTGCCAAATGTACTGGGGCATTACATGGCATGTATTAGAGGAGAATTAAATCTCATCAGCTAAGAAAGGAGAGAACATGGAGATTTCAGTGAGACAATGACTCCAAACTTACAGCCAAAACAACTCAAAACTTTCTGAAAAAGGTGAAGGTGCCAATCTCCAGACTTGAACCCCACGAATAATTTATGGAGGGTTTTGAAATTGCTGCAAAAACCGAACTGGTTCTTACCGTAGACGTGTCGAATCTGTAATTTCCATCAATGGCTTTGCAGCAATGTACTGATGTTATTTATTGAAGGTGTCTGAATACTTTTTTCCCATATCAATTGATTATGTTTATGAACATGTTCCTTTTTGTTCATAGTTATAAGTGCAAATTTAAAGAACATGTTTGTAAGCTTGAAGTGGATATATGCGCTTACATAGTATATTAAACATATATATAAGCATTGGCCCTGTCATCAGGAGATCATGAGTTCGATCCCTGCTGATGCTACAACCATGCTTGGGAGTCTAAGAGCCTCACTCTCTCTGGGAGGGCAGGATAGCCCTCCCTTTCCCCTACACCACTCAGCGCAATGCTAGCCAGCGCAGGCATCTGCTAGCTGACATAACAGAACTGGCAGTTAGCGCTCTCCTCCAAGCGTGTTCAGCTGTTGTGTTAATAGCAGCAAAGGTTGTGCAGTGAGAACTGCCACTACATAATGTCTTCAGTGTTTGTCAAAAGCTAGAGGGCGACGCAGAGCCAGTCTAAAATGAATGGGTTCCTTAAGAGCTTTTGTGCAAAATTGTATATTAGAAGTGCTTAGTCATTCGTTCTCTCATTGTCTGAGCACAGACCAGCATGAAATATTTCAGGGCTTATTAGCATCTTCCTACAAAGCGCTCCGAAACAACGCTTACCTGTCCACCTGTAGCAGCATTACAAATTTCAGTAGAGAATCAGCAACCAAAATGCACCAACTCTTGGCTTATTTGTCAAACTATGTAACCTTTCTTTACCTTACTAAGGTTGGCTTTACATGATCAAACTTTCATGCAACTTGAATTGTTTGATACCTACATGAAACTCAGCTGCACTTGAGCATCCTGCAACTCATTTGAAACTCAGCAGCAACAATTGCAAGCGTCTAAACAAATTTTTGTGAAAAAGCCAATTAAAACACTGACAGTGTATCATGTGATCACATGAAACAATGTCATTTCAAACCATCGCTTTCACCAGATCAATAGACAAGACAATAAAACAGAAGACAGACTGAAGATTTTATTTTGTTTATTATTATTAATAGTGGGGGTTTACCAGGCACGGCCTACTGGGACAAGACCCCGGGGGCGTCCTAGGACCTGCTGGAGGCATTATATCTCCAAGTTAGCAGCTTGGGGTCCCCCGGAATGAGCTGGAGAAAGTTGCGGGGGACAGGGTCATCTGGGATTCTCTGCTCTCCCAACTGCTACCGCGACCCTATCTGGACTAAGCAGTTTAAGATGTTGATGATTATTATTATTAATAATTTTAACTTTTTTTTTATTCTGTCAGTTTTTTCAGCCATGGCAACAAACGAGAGTTCCTTGAAGCTAACATTTCTGTATCCATCTGCAATACCTAGCCAGCTAAGGCTAACAGCTGGTTTCTTCATTGTTAGCCTGCTGTTATCATGATCTGCATAGCTAGATTGATTTTTGCCTCTCTTGATATCCCCTAATTTTACACACAGATTCATTCAGAATCCAAAAGATGAAAATTATTACAGAAGGCAAGACTGAAATGTTGTCCTCGTGAGACATCCTTTAGGCTATATCCATAATAACTATTTAAACCCAGCTCATTTTGAAAAATATAGTAAATCACACTAGACAGATAAATAAAAATTAGATTTCATGCAACTGTCAAGTTGCACTGAAATTATGTAGCAGGCAACTCACAACTAGTTACATGAAGGTTTCACCATGTAAAGCCAGCCTAATATTTCTAGAACATTGTATTCATTTTCCAGGTGTTTCCATGACTCAAAATTTCCAGGTTTTCCAGGACGTTTTATTAAAATGAAATGGAATCATTAACACATGAAATGATTGAGGCTGCAATTTCCTTTTAAAATCTCACAATTTTACTGTGTTATATTTTGATTACTACAAAACTAGAAAGAATATTGGATATAAATGATGCACTCTGTATTAAAGAACTAATGCAAGATTCCAAAAAAGTTGGGAGAGCTTATGAAATGCCAATAAAAACAGAAAACAGTGAAACACAGTATTTGGTATTTTATTTCATGACTTTATTGTTGTTGTTGTTTGGAACATATGATGCCTACAACACGTTCCAAAAAACTTGGGACAGGAGCATGTTTACCACTGTGTCACATCACCTTTCAATTCAATGGCTCTTAATAATCATTTTGAGACTGAAGACACCGATTGATCCAGTTTTGAAAGTGGAATTTTTAATTCTTTAGTTATAAAAGTCTTCAGCTGTACAACTCTGTATTAATACCCATGGTTTTGGAATGGAACGTCTAACAAGCTCATATAGAGCTAAGGGTCAGTTGTCCACATACTTTTGGCCATATGGTATATTTAACTCCTGCGGCAACATTTAGGCCTGGAACATTTGACCCACATTTACAGCTGATCAAAGACAAATGTGGTGACTTTCTCATAAACGCAGCATGACAGTGAGGCTATCTGTTCGGATTGTAAGCACTGAAAGGTCCTTCTGTGACTGGACAAACCAGTGACTTCGCAGGCATGAAAGCTGAAGAAAAGCCCAACATAAAGAAGTGTATTTATCAAACTGATGATCCAGGATCAGCTCTGTTCATTCATAGCCTGTCAATTCAAATGTAGTCCTGTGGATATGAAAGGCTGAAACTGTTCACAGATCAGCAGTTTTACTGTAAGATAGTTGATGAATAGGTGCCAGTATGTGTTTTGTTCCAGCTGACGGCAAACAGCTCAACCCTGTTTCCTTATGAATACTAGAGTGTCGCCAAGCAGTTTTCTGTAGAATTAGCTTAATTTGAATGTATATTTTCTTTGTCAGTGAGGTGAAAGTATTACAAACTGCACAAAGTTAATAATAGATACTGGTCAGCGTGTGCTTCAGTGTAGCCTTGGACTAATTATTATGCCAAGTCTTCAGCTAGTAGTTATTGGCTTCCGTGCATTTTTTCCAGACCGCATTCCTGCCAATCTCATGAATAAATGAATGAATTTTATCTTCACTTACAGCAGATCTCATCATAGCACAGCCAGCATTAGAGACATTAATATAAATTACACTAATTTAAGATCAGACTGTTCAGAAAGTCCCTAATCTTAACAGTATTACATAAACACCATTTCATTTATCATAATAAAAGACTACAGCATTTACTTTCAGCAAAACTGATAAATTAGCAAAGGGCTTTCACCTCACCAACTGAAAAAGAAGCTTAAAGGGAATTTCAAAAATTTCTGCATAATTCAGTCATTGAGATGTAAACAAAGTCTTTCAGAGAGTTTTGATGTGAAATGGCTCATTGTAGAGAAACATACTGACTTGAATTGCTTTACAGTGGTGGTGATAGGAACCAGGAGTTCTGATATCCATCCATCCATCATCTAAACCGCTTATCCTTCTGGGTCGCGGTGGGGTGCTGGAGCCTATCCCAGCTGTCATTGGGCAGAAGGCAGGATACACCCTGGACAGGTCGCCAGTCCATCGCAGGGCAGACAGACAGACATACACATTCACACACTCACACCTAGGGGCAATTTAGCATGTCCAATCAGCCTGACTGCATGTCTTTGGACTGTGGGAGGAAACCGGAGTACCCGGAGGAAACCCACGCAGACACGGGGAGAACAGGCAAACTCCACACAGAAATGACCCTGGTCGCCCGGCCAGGAATCGAACCCAGGCCATTCTTGCTGTGAGGCGACAGCACTACCCACTGCGCCACTGTGCCGCCCGGAGTGCTGATATTTACAATGAAAATATAGCCTTTTTATTTACTGTCCAAAATGACCAATGAACCTTCTTGTGAGTTTATATATGTAATATTTACTCACTCATCATCTATGCCACTTGGGTTGCGGTGGAGAAGCCCCCCCCCCAAGCTGGAGCACTCATTTGGTGGAAGGTGGAAAACACCTTGGACAGGTCATTAGTCCATCATATATGTAATACTGATATCAATAAAATAGAGATGAAGCTGAAAAATGCATGTTTGCTTTTGGGACTATTTTGCCATACTATGCTCTGTATGTATTTCTCCACTATGAATGGACTTGAAAAATATTGTAGCGTCTGCACAGAACAAGACGTGGACAACATTGCACATACAGCCGAATGCTCCTTTATTTCTTCAGCATGCACAGAGGTAAAGAAATATCCAGCCCAGCACTACTCTGACATGAATCACAGGGACGGGGTAATGTGGGAAGATGTGATACACAAGTGATAAAAATGGTAACTAACTAAACATCTTTGTAAATCAATTTAGAAAATCATGCATGGGAATATATTACAATACTCCGAGAAAGGATTTATATTTCCTGCCTTCCCCCTCGTGAGATTTCTCATTCATTGTTTTTTAGAAATAAAGTCACTAAAAAAGACGTTTGTGGTGACGTTGTTGACTCACTTGACATTTGCTAGCTTCTGGTCCAGTTTTACACAGCAGTATTCTCTAAAACTACGCAAGCAAGTGGTAGAAATGGTTGGGAGATAACAGAAGCCGGCTCCCTCTGTTGGCCAAAACAAGCCCAACACCAGACATCTGCCCGTCTGCTCTGCTGCCAGGTCTTTCTTAGGACCTTCGAGTGTGGGACAGCTACAGCCAGGAACAGGCCACCAAAAAAGAGGACATCACACTGAGTGTAGCGCATCCTCAGAGCCACTTTGCATGACTGTCTATGCTCCTTATGGCAGCCATTGGCAGACACCACATTATGTTTTAGTCCAAAATGTTACCTCAAACTATTGTAAAACAATGTCTTAGGCACTGGGCAGCATATTCATACCCATTTTATGTCATAACTTTCTGTGAGGGAGATTTTAGAGGCAGACGCCTGGTTCCCATCACCACCACTGTGAACAGTCCTGACTCTGTAAGTTCCTCTAGAACGGAACATTTCACACCAAACCACACTGAATGACTCTGTTAACATCTTAACGATTATATTCTGCAGATATTTTCGGAAAATAGGTGAAAGTCCCCTTTTAATTTAAGTATTTATTTGTTTGCAAGCTTGCCTAAGTGCTTATCTTTACCTAAAGAGCTCTTCACAAAACTTAAGTTTGCTGCAAAGTTGTTACGACAGACGAATGCTGCACAAAATTATAAATATAAAATTGTGAGTTTGTCATTTTTTAGTTGTAAAATTGCTTAAAAATAATCAAATAAAGTATGTAGGACATGTTCGAAGCTAAAGCGCTACGTGAAAACACAGCAGGAGAAAGCAGGTGACGTCACACTGACAGGCCCCACGAGCTGCACAACTCGGTGATGTGTTGGAATGCGCGCGAGCGGCTCGAACTTCGCCGAACAAGTTAGTTTTTGGGATATAACTGCGAAAATATAGGCATTTGTAACCGAAAACAGCGCAAAAGAACCGAAGGGACGCACACGGTAAGTTATTCACACGAAACATTGACGTTTTAGGTTGCAAAAACGGACTTTTGTCCGTCGTAGTGAGGTAAAAATGGAGGCAGAGCGAATCTAGGCGCTGTCCAGCAGGGCTGAGCTTCTCCGTTCAGCACGGAGAGATCAGGACCACGGCTAACACACCGAACTCCAGCACACTGCCTCTAAAAAACTCCTTAACGACACCGAACACCTTATTACTAACAAAGCAGGTCACAACTCGTCGAAAAAAACACAGTTGAATAAGTTTTTGGCTGCTTTATGGAACGAAACGGAGCGCCTGTCTTCCGGGAAAAAGTAGTAAAGTTAGTTAGCTTGCTAACGAATCAACTCGAGGTAGTTAAAGGAGAATTCCGCCGAATTTTTAAAGTGTCTGTGTCAATAAATGGTTAAGATGCAAACAAAGTCATGTAGAGTGGTTTGATTTGAAATGCTCCTTTCTAAGGAAACTTGCCAACTCAGGTTTTTTTTTTTACAGTGGTGGTGATAGGAACCAGACGTCTGGCCCGCCTCTGAAAGCTAACGTTACCTTACAGAAGGTTATCACACGAAATGGTTACGAGTTCAAAGCCTGATGACTTTGTTTTAGATAGTTGTGAGAAGATTTGGGCCTAAAACGTGATTTGTCAGATGTCAGAAGGCAAAGTAACGTTAATCCCCAAAGAAAACTCACCCCCCACCCCCCACCCCCCACCCCCAACTTTTCCACTGTTTAACCATTATCAACATGTAATTTGAATGTAAAAACTCATATAGAATCACGACTTGGGTTTAGACATCATGACCCCAGGTTTCTACAACCACCACTGTGAAGAAGCGTCTTTATAATAAACCATTTCACACCAAACCACTCGGACTGACCTTGTGTACATATTTAAGTTTAAATTATACTTTGAACTTTGAAATTTCGGCCGAGTCCCCCTTTTAACGTTAACTCGGTTAATCGCTAACGGCTTTTAGTCGTGTTAACAGTTACTGGCCTAACTGTGCGAATGTGTTTCTGTCCGTTTCTTTTTGGATGTCTGGGTTTAAGCTGGACAGCGACTTTTGAAGCAGCCACTTTTTTGCACGTTTTTGCTGTAAAGCTATTTCCTGTCTTTGCTGTGAACGTTTCTCGCCCGGAAATCCTCTCTCTAAAAGTTTGAAAAGCTTACTTTTATGACGAGGCTGAAGTCAGCGTCTTATTTGTCAACTTGCCTACTCGCCAGCTTCTTGTTTGAATCTTGCCGTTCCACCTTAAATGTTGCAGCAGTTCCGTTCTGACGCCTCAGGCTCCAGAATGTAACCGCTGCACCATTTAAGGTGGAACGGGAAAACTCGAACAAGAAGCTGGCGAGCAGGAACTTCAGCCTCGTTACTTTACGTCGGTCAAAGTCGACGTTTAAAACTGTGTCACGACTTGCGACAATAAACAGTCGACTTGTGTACATGTCATAAACTCTGTGAACCAAAGTTGTTCGTTTTTAATGATCGCCTGAGTGTTTTTTTGTCCTTTTTCTGATATTGTTCCTGCTCTGGGAGCTGTCCAACAAGGGCAATGTTTTTTCTCTTTAATGGAGGAAAGTTTTGGAGGCTGCTTCTTTTAGGAACTCTAAACCAAGCTTGATTAGTAACAGTAGCTGACAGCTACAAGTTTGGAGTGACTTTTAAGCCTGTATTTTGACCCGTTTAAGCAGATCTCTCGGCTCTGAGCGCGTACTTGCCGAGGCTTTCTTTGCGCAGCGAGTTGGTGCTGCTGTTGTATGTAAAATGGCCGAACTCGAGTTCCTCAGCGTGCAAACGTGGAGGAGGCCCTGCTTTAGTTATGAGACTTTGCATGCTGTGATGAAAGAATGGAAGCCTGGCTTTGATCTTTCTTTCTTTCTGTTTTCTTACTAAAAAAAAAACAAAAACAAACTCCATAATTAAGCACGTGTTTAGAGGTGTGTTAGACATTAGATTTACATTGAACTTTTTTAATTATTTGAACTTCACCAAGATCATGAAAAGACAAATGCTTGCATTACCACTGTAGGCTATACTCGGACATTGTAGTTAATCTGATTTCAGAGCCTCAGGCCTCATTCACGGGGGAAAAAGAGACAATGCTTGCCAAACTGAATCACCATGAGTCATGAGGAACATGTCCATACATGGCTTTCAGCCCTGAACTGTGCTGTCTGTTACAATTCCAAAGGAGGCCACACTCAGGCTGACCTTAAGACTATTATGTGAAATGATGACTATATCCTCTCCCGATGTTTTGGAGTACACTAATGCTCATTGGATATGGACGATTAATGGGATATGACCAAAGGTCATATCATAATACCTGACGTCTTTTACGATACACAATATGGCACAATTTTTTTTTTCTGACGTCTTATAAGTTAGAATGGACAAAGTAAGTGGTAAAAATACTACCAAATGAATTCAATAACTCAGTTATTTGTATTCAACGTTTCACACACTGTGCTACATTAAATTCAGTTAAACAGCAGTAATTGTGTTCTCTTTGTGATCAAAAATGTTTTTTAATTTTTAATTTTAATTTCACAATATGCACAGAAAAATGTTGTAACATATTATAATATTTTTAATTAATTAATTTATTACAGTAATGATAAATATTGTCATATTGCCCAGTTCTACTTGTGTATGCTTGCAGAGTGCATTTTTTTTTCAGAGGATTGTGGAATGTAATTAAAGGAGTGAGGGGGTTGGGAACAGGAACCTTTTTGAATGCCACATAGCTGTTGCAGTCAAAATCTGGCTTTTTTTATTTGTCTACATGTACAAATTTGGTCAGGGAACAATATGTAAAAAGCTGTAGGGACAGAAAAAGGCACTCTGGTGATTGACTGCAGCAGGTTTGTTGACAGCTTCTTGAATGTAAAACTCATATGTCCTGTTTTTAAAATAGATCTGCCCACTTTTTCGCCTTCTCATGATAATGTTCACGATAATGTTTCAGGCTAGTTATGGTTGATTGAATCACTTGTGCAAGTCTGATGATTGGTTGAGAGCAGCTGGTCTGTTGAGGAAGGAAATGTTTATTTTAGGCAGTATGACCTCTTGAAGCTTTTATTATCTGTAGGGTTTCTGGTGGTCTTAAGGATTAAAATGCATTGGGATGGAAATGTCCCTTTGTTGTTTTGACAGCTTTCGAGATCCCTTCCAAGAGTGTATTTGTTTTAAAACTAATTTGCATATAATGTGGCCATTGTCAGCCTATTTGGTTTATCTTATTCAAGTGTATGAATAAAACATCAATAAAATGGTGAAATTTATTCTGAATGAAGCACAAAATATGGCTTCACTTGTCAAAACATTCCCATTTTTAGTTTTGATTGAGAATAGACTGTGTGTTCTGTTATAAGAAATATTGTTTAATCCCTTATCTAGTTAAGACTGGCATTCATTTTGGGATAGAACTGCACAGATTCAGTGCTTTAATGGCTTGATGATCAGTTTATGAGTTTAATCTACACTATTATGCTGTTTTTATTCTGACTGGTGACTGAATTTTTCAGCTCTGAACTTCCTAATAATCCTAACCCACCTCAAAGCGTTCACACCACCTCAACAAAGTTGGAAAAAAATGGATGCTCACAGTAAGCTAGTGCTTGCATAGCTGCTGAGTGCATCTAAATGGCCCATAAAAAGCATTTGCACAGAAATTTAAAAGTAGTTTAGTTAGTGATCCAATTATTTTAAATGTTGATATAGGCTAGGCCATTAATACAGGGCCAGAAATTACGTGATGGCACACAGTTTTATTTGAAATCTTGCACAAAATGACTTAAACTTTCGCTTCTCCCCATAGCACAGTGTATTTACAAATATGATTTACAAATATTATTTACAAATAGCGAATTATGCACAAATGGAAAGTCAACCGTCTGATTAAAAGCATTCAAAATGTGATGTTACTGTGTATTCTATGAACACTGCCATGTCGAACCTCACAGAAATTTTGAGAAACCCTGAGTAACCCTGAGTAGGAATTATGAGTAGGAGGCTGTTCCAATGGATTTTGCCAACTTGGCCATGAAATGCAGCATTAAGGCCGTTACACACAATGCAATGTGAACAATGACACAAAAATGCGAACTATTCAGATGTGATTGCACTGGATGCAGTGCAATTTTTTTTCTTGTAATTGTTTCTTTTTCTTTCGCACCACAAAAAAAGGCAGAATATCCATAAAAAGGTCCTTTGCTTCTCATGAATCGGGCAAACTGTGACTTTGTGCAGGATGCTTTTTTTGGAAAGCAAAAGAAGAACAGAGTGTTTCTCCACCTCATTTCAGGAGCTAACACTTTATGAACTCTTTCACTCACAGCCAGGATCTCTGTAAGTTTGAGCTGAATGTTTTCAAGGGCAAATAAGATCTCCTTTGCTTCTCACAGATCAAGCAAACGGTGGCATTGCGCTACTGTCCATTTTGGAAAAGTGAAAGTAGCATGAAGAGCTTCATAACTTCATTCAAAAGCTAAAATGTGGAGTGCTTCCACAGAGAAAAATTCTCGAAAATTTTAAGCAAAGTTTGAGCTCAGTTTGAGCTGCTTTCGGAGATGGTGTTCCTTTTAGTGTCTGTGAAAAAATTCTCTTTGCTGGAACACAGCTGCTCCATCAGCAGAGATGACTGTGATTGGTTGTTTATGTTGCCAGTGTAAGGTTCTCAAAAATTGAACAGAGTGTGAATGTCACGTTTTTGCTGTCCAAAAAATCGTGTTTGGTGCAAGACACCGTTAGTTATACACATGCTTGAATTAATATGTTGTTGTTCAAATAAATCGCACAAATAAATCGTGCTTGGTGTGTAAAGGCCTTTATACCAATGACAGTGTAATACTTTGCAGTGTTTTCCCAGGCCAAGTCAGGTTTTTCTTATTTGTCTTATTTATCTGTCTTATTTAAAACCAGGAATGACTGTTAATCTGTGTTTGTCCCTCAGCTGATTGAGCATGGCTGCTCAGGCAGTGTTTCCGCAGGCCTCAGGCATTTTTGTGCCATCTCGTGGCATTCCATTGCCTGAAGATGGCCATGAACTGACCGAGCTTCCCAGAACGGATCTTCCTGCGCCTCAGCTGGTGATGCTGGCTAACGTGGCTCTGACTTCTGAGCCATCTCCGGGCGAATTCTCCACAGAGGAGAAGCAGATGGTGGAGCTTAAGAACGTTGGCTGCAGCAGCTACTCTGACAGCGAGGATGAGAATGTGGTCCGCTACAGCTACGATAACGCCGAGACATCTGAGAACACGTACCTTGAGGACAACGCCCCGAGCCAGGTGGAATCTGGACCAGCAGAACAAGTAATCGAAAAGGTCACTGTCAGTGACAATGAGACAAGGCCAAAGGACCTCTCAAAACCTTCAGACTCAAGCCCACCTGAGCGCCCAGCTGTTGGGAAGCGTAAACAGAACCAAGTCATAGTGCCTGCAGCCTCAACAGAGCCACCAATAAAGAAGAAGAAAAAGCCGTTCTATTGCAAACCATGCCAGTTCCAGGCAGAGTGCGAGGAGGAGTTTATTCACCACATCCGTACCCACAGCGCTAAGAAGCTAATTGTTGTGAACAGTATGGGAGAGTCTGACGATGATACAACCAATGATACAGCTAAGCAGCAGGTACCAGAAAATGGCGTGTCATGCACCAAGGGGGTGATCCGGTGCGAGCGCTGCGGCTACAACACCAACCGATATGACCACTACATGGCCCACCTTCGACATCACAAGAATGAAGGGGATGATCAGAGGGTATTTAAGTGCACCATCTGCCCCTACTCTACAGTGAGCCAGTACCACTGGAAAAAGCACCTGAGGAACCATTTTCCCAGCAAGCTTTTCACCTGCAACCAGTGCTCTTATTTCTCAGACAGAAAAAATAACTACATACAGCATATTCGCACCCATACTGGTATGTAGGCTGCTATAGGATTTATTAAGAAATGAGTATGAGTAAATATGCAAAATAGTAAAAGTGTAAATGTGTAAAACATGAGTAAGACTTTAAAACATGGGCTATAATTATATGGTGTGTGATAGTTGCTATATAAATGTTGCTATATAAAATACTGCTAAATATTTACAACGTTACAGTTGTTTTGAAGTATTAATTTGGTTTAAAACACAGCCTAAAAAAGCATGGTGTTTAAGCCAGTACAGTATTAAAATGTAGACAATGTGAGTTTTCTATTCCAGAGTAAATGGCATTTATATGATTTGTTGTCCTTCTCTGTTTTCAAGGTGAGCGTCCTTTCCAGTGCATTTACTGTGACTACTCAAGCTCACAAAAGACCCATCTGACCAGACACATGAGAACACACTCAGGTGGGTTGTGAACTGATCTGAACTGATGCCTAAAACTCTTACTCTAGGATAAATTGCCTGATCACTCAGTATTCTGCGGTAGTACTTTTGGTTTTGCATTGATTACAATACAGTGTGAATAGTGCAAATGGTGTTTTTCTTTAGCTAAGCTATAAATACAGACCTGTCAATCTTCATTTTGTCACAAAACCTTTTTCTCTTTTGTTGCACACCATGGAGCCAGATGGCTTTGGATAAAATGGTAAAAGGTTTGTGTTACTAAGTGACTTAGTTTTGTGCTGTGATTAGGTTGTGTTTGTATTTTTTGTATATGTTTTCCCTGCATGAGGCTGGTGTTTGAGTTTATTCCCCTAAGTACAAAGAAAATAAAAGATGCATTGTTCTGTCCTGACCCCATGCTTTTCATATGTCTCTAATAGGTGAAAGGCCTTTCAAATGTGACAGCTGCAGCTACTTGGCAGCCAATCAACACGAGGTGACCCGCCATGCCAGGCAGGTCCATAATGGGCCCAAGCCGCTAAGCTGCCCCTACTGCCAGTACAAGACGGCTGACCGCAGCAACTTCAAAAAGCACGTGGAGCTTCATGTTAACCCGCGCCAGTTTTTGTGTCCTGTGTGCAAGTATGCAGCATCCAAGAAGTGCAACCTGCAATATCACATCAAGTCCAGGCATCCGGGATGCTCAGACATTTCCATGGACGTCTCAAAAGTGAGGCTCAGGGTTAAGAAGGCAGATGGAGAAGAAAGCGCCACTCCTGCGAGTGGTAAGCAGGGTGAAGAGGTGCGGCAGCGGGATGGGGGATCGGAGATGACCTCGGACACAGACTCATGTGGCCCCATCAATCTCTCCATTAAGAAGAGCAGTAGGCCAAGCTCTGCACATGCTGCAGGCACAGAGACCACCAAGAAAGCTGCAGATGTACCCGGGAGAGAAAAATCTGGGAGAATTACTCACACCTATGAGAAACGAGTGGAGAAAAAGGCTGCAGAGAAAAAGACTGCACAGAAAAGCGAAGGAAGAGAAATGAGTAACAAGAAAGTGAAAAGCAAAGCAGTAGAAAAGACTGACACCACCCAGAAAGAAACCACAAGCTGTGCTGACAAGCAAGATAGTAAAAAGGATAAGGAGCTGAAAAAAGTGGGAAAGGCTCCCAAATCTGTGGAGAAAGTCACTAAGTGTCGCTCCCGAAAAGAGAAGACAGTGAAGGAGACGGTCACCAAAGATCAGACTGTTACTGAACAGAAGCGAAGACCGGACTTGGAGAAGAGGCAAGAGAACGAGAGGCAAAAGAGAGGAAATGAGCAGAAGCAGAGAGAGGAAGATGAGAGTTTGGGGAAAGAAAGCAGCCCACAACTTGAGAAAGAGGGTGAGGAGAGAGAGAGTGAGAACACCAAAGATTCCAAGAAAGCCCCATCTAAGAAACCAGCCAAGAAGCAGGCAAGAGTGACAAAGGTTAACCATGGCGAAAAAACGTTGCAGAGTCAGGAGATGTCTGATAACAGCAAGAAAAAAGCAAAGAAACGCAAAGCAGAGAGCACAAATTCTCCACAGACAGTTTCCTCTGGACAGGATGGTTCTCCAGAGAAGGTTAAACACAGGAAAGTGAAGGATGCAGACAAGCCATCCACAAGTGCCAGTACAATGCAGCACAATGCCACCACACCTGCAGTGGTCAAGGTCTCAAAGGGCAAAGGCAAGCAGAGCAGAAAGAGCACAATGAATGCGGAGATTAGCACAGTGGAGTCTGATGTATCTATTCATGTGCAAAGTGATTTGGTAGGTGAACAACCAGAATCTTCACAAGTGGAAGTATCAGTTCCTGCAGAGCCTGAACAGGAACCTGAGCAGCCAATCTTGCAACAAGCCCTAGAGAAACCTACCCTAAAGAAACTGCCAGAGAAGCCTACCTTACAAGAACAACAGCTGGAGAGGCCTACCTTACAGCTGCAACGCCTTGAGAGGTCTACCTTACAGCTGCAACGCCTGGAGAGGCCTACCTTACAGCTGCAACGCCTGGAGAAGGCTACCCTGCAGCAAAAGCTGGAGAAGGCTACCCTGCAGCAAAAGCTGGAGAAGGCTACGCTGCAGCAAAAGCTGGAGAAGGCTACGCTGCAGCAACATCCGGAGAAGCCTACCTTACAGCAGCAACATCTGGAGAAGCCTACCTTACAACGGCAACAGCTGGAGAAGCCTACCGCACAGCAAAAGCTGGAGAAGCCTACCTTGCAGCGGCAGCAGCTGGAAAAGCCTGCCTTACAGCAAAAGCTTGAGAAGCCTACCTTACAGCAGCAACAGCTGGAGAAGCCTACCTTACAGCAGCAACAGCTGGAGAAGCCTACCTTACAGCAGCAACAGCTGGAGAAGCCTACCTTACAGCAGCAACAGCTGGAGAAGCCTACCGTACAGCAAAAGCTGCCTGCTCTACAGCAACACGTGGAGAAGCCTACTGTACCTCGAGAGCTTGAGAAGTCTACCTTGCAGAGCTGCTCAACAGAGATTGATGCCACAGATCACAGCTCAATGGAGAAGAAGTGTGTTGCTACTGAAGAGGAACCCAAAATAAGGGAGAACGTACAAAGCCCATCAGAAGAACCATCATCCGAAGAGGAACTGCCTGAGGCTACAAAAGAGAAGGCCACTGCTGAAGAAAAGAGCAAGGCAATCAGTGCAGCACAGGGGGCTTCAGAAGTTGATATTACGAGTGATGAGATCCCATCCCCCACCGAAAGTGATGGCGACCCAGGGTTCAGCCAGGAACCAGTGGTCGAAAGCCCATCTCTGGAACTACCCGGACCAACATGCTCCAAACCAACAGATGCCGAGGATGATGAAGGCATCCACAGTCATGATGGAGGAAGTGACATTAGTGACTGTGCCTCTGAGGGAAGTTATGACTCTGGGCTCAATGGGTTGGCGAACGCTACGGAGAAACTTCCAGAAACCCCCACCGAAGAGCTTCCTACTCCTACCCAACTCCTCAGTCACACATGCGTCTTCTGCGACCGCACGTTCCCGCTAGAGATGGACTACAGGCGGCACCTGAACCGCCACCTTGTGAACGTGTATTACCTGGAGACTGCAACGCAGGGAGACAAGTGATGGATGGGACTTCATACAGTTTTAACTTTGCAACATTTGCCAACTTTTTTCTGGTTCATAACAGTTTATAATCATGTTGTTGTATCTTCTGAGGAGGGTTTTTATCAAATTTGAACCCATGTAGTATGTTCTGTGATTACGTTACAGAACATAAAACAGTTACGTTGCTTAAATGTATTTTTTTCTTCCTGAAAAAAATGACTGCATGTTTCGCAGTGTTTTAATAATGGTGGTAAAATACAGTGCAAAAATGACCTCCCATAGGTTTCCCTGTAGAATGAGCCAACATAGCACTTTTAGAAACTCTAACATACCGCAAACTCAGTGCTGCAGCATTGTCCAACGCTTCTGCTGTTATTTACATTGTAAAAGGCAAAATTTGTGCTTCGGCATTATAGTAGTCATTCGTAATTCACAAGCTGACCATTTGAACCTGAAACAAGATGCAGTTCTATGCCGTGGGTACCAATGGGAGAGCCTTTTTAGCTGTAATTTCCTTTAGAACGTCACAAAGCACATTATTTCAAAACTCTGTACATCATGCAGAAAATGTGTGTTTTTTTGAGAACATTGTTCAAGGCAGCCTCATCTCTGTACCATCATCTGTTTATGCTCGGTTTCATCATTTATTTGTACAGTTATTTCTGACATGTGCCCTGCATTTCAGTAATTTGTGCTTACTAATGTATCACTTTAAAAATCATCAACAAATGACTTAATCTCTAAGGAGCGTACTGACGTAATGATACTTAAAAGAAGAGCCTCCATCTTTTTGCCCGTCTCATCACCACACTGCTGCACAAGGGAGGGCTACTGCTGTCCATCCCCGCAGAGAGTTGAGATTGAATGGAGCCAGGTGGTCCGACTCTGAATAGCACTGAGGAGAACAGAGCTCTTGAGCCTTTTGTACTGCTCCACTCCAGTGGAGAGAGAGAGAAAGAGAGGGAGCGAGTTTGTGAATACGAGCATTAACATTGGTGTGCGTGACCAAAACTGGTCAGTGTCCCTGTAAAAAAAACAACTTAGAGAACTCTCGACAGCCGGCAACGTCTTTGCCCTTTGACTTACTGTAGAACTTTTGTGTACGTTTATTAATTTCATGCAGTAGCTACTTAATCATGTAAACATTTGGGCAGTAACCAAAATTCTTTAGAAAACATGTAGGCACATCTTACATTGTATATTGACTTTCTTGTTGTCCTTTTTTGACTCTCTTCAGTGCTTCAGCTCAAAGAGACTTAACCTTTAATCAGTCTTTTGTCTCAAATTCACAATTTGGTCCAAAGATGATTGTATACGTCTCTTGCGCCTGTTGCTGAAACACTGTACATATTTCCATTTGTCATTTTTGTTGTGACGCTTCTGACAATCATTTCTTTTCGATTTTTTTTTCCTGTTTTTATACTGTTTTGTTAATAGTGCGTGTTGTTTTCCTGAGGTAAAAATTTTAAGGTGGCCTTTTTCTCCTGTTCTTTCTGCTGCCGTTCCTGAACTTGGCATTCGGTTGACCAATACTGCAGATAGCATTGCCACAGGAATTAGTTTGAAGTATTCCAAAGCTGATCCAAACTGTGTAAAGCAGGAACATGTTCACATGTTCAGTTGGCCCTTATCTGAATCCATGTGTCATCTGTGCCATATTGTTTAAAAGAAGAGAAGGGGAAAAAAAGCCTGAAATTTGACACCTTTAGTGAGTTCAGTGCAATAATGTATATTGGATTATCATACCAAAGCAAGCTTTAGGCCCTCTTTCTGTAACTGGCCAGTCACCGGTAGCCTGAAACCCCTTTAAACCCCTTTAAAGATATACTGGTGTAAATTTGTGTCTGTCTTAGTACATGATTTATGGAGATTTCACTTATTGATTTTTTTTTTTCTTTTCTATGACTATAAGAATCTAAACTGAAATCATTTTCTTTTTACAACTGTCGTAATCAGAAATGCATTAGTAATTTTAATGTGTGCAGATAGTTATAGTATCAGTTGTAACGTTAAATTTGTTCAAAATTAGTTCCCATGAGGAAATGAAATTGGCTTTTTTACATAAATTGTTGCAATTCAGTGTACTTAGTGCCCTGTGTTGTATGTAAAGAACCAAGATTTAAATAAACATTATATCCCCAAATGTGTATCCCTTGCAATTCTGAAGAACCATTTTATTGAATCTACATGTTTAAACAACCCATAGAAATATTTTACAGTACATGTTTACATGTACATAAAATTACATAAATATATCCAGTTTATGGACTATTAATGAGTGAAAACACAGATAATCAGCATCCTTTCAACATTCATCATTCCGTTCTTTTATGAGCCAAAGATTTATATAACTTACACAGAAAGTCTGTTGTTTTTCTGTGCTCACTATGTTTTGTTGAAGTCTTTATGAGAGTCTATCAACTTTCAGGAGGTGAGCATCATTTTCTTTTCCTCTCTGCTTTTGCCGGCAAACACGTGTCACCCAATGCCTGCGGCTTCTTCGTTTTGTAAGCAGGAGTCTTCCGAATGCGGTCCCCCTTCACGTTTACAATGTGTGGTAGCAGCGGCGGGTTCCGTAGACATAGTCCAGCTGCCTCAGGGGCATGAGTTCGCAACAGGAGACGTTCCCCTTGCGATGCAGTCACGGCAACCCAACCTGCAACAAGCCAAAGTTCAGCTCAGTTTGTTTATATACTCACACCATCAAATCAGATGCTTCTAAAGCCATACGTGCAAATTACTTGGTGTATAAAATGGTTCAGGTTAGAACAAGAGTTGGAACGATGCCACTTTCTCTTTTCTGATACCGATATTAAAATCTTGAGTGTCGGTTAATAGTGATCAGATGTCGCTTCTTGAAAAACTACTTGGCTTTAAAATGAGGCTAATTTTAATTAAAGCACTTTTTTAGATGACCATTTAAAGGTAGTATATCATTCTCAAACTACTCAAACACTCCACTACCCCACAGGAAGTAGTAGTTCCACAGATAAAAATGTCCCATTCCATAGAGTGGGTGTGTCTATTTTCGATAGATATGTTACAGGATGGTATTAATTCTTTCTTCACTCTGATCCAGCATTTTCTAATAATATGAGACTGATACCGATACAGCAAACAGCAATACAACGAGCCAAAACATTATGACCACTCACAGATAAAGTGAATAACGTTAATTATCTTGTAACAACTGTGCATGTCAAGGTCTGGGATGCATCGGACAGTAAGCAAACAGATATTGTAGCTGACATGTTAGATGCAGTGATAGGCAGGTGACTTTGGCAAGCACCACATACGGCTAGATGACTGGGTTGAAGCATTTCCAAAACGGCAAAGCTTGTGGGGCAGTCACGGGCAGTACTCGAAGAGGGACAAACCACGAATCAGTGACAGGGTGTTGGGCGTCAAAAGAGTCCTGTTTACTTTTACATCGTGTGGACGGCCGGGTACGTGTGCACCGCTTATCTGGGGAAGTAATTGCAACAGGATGCACTATGGGAGGAAGACAACCCAGTGGAGGGAGTGATTCTCTGGAAAACCCTAGGTGTGGGCTTTCATGTGGATGTCAATTTGACACATGCCACCTACCTAAACATCACTGCGGACCAGGTACACCCCTTCATGGTATTACCCGATGGCATAGGCTTTTTCAGCAGCCTTGCCACACTGCACACATTGATCGGGAATGGTTTGCCTCCAAATTTCCCAGATCTCAATCCAATCCAAACATCTCTGGAATGTGCTAGAACGACAAGTCCGATCCACAGGTTCCACCTTGTAACTTGTAGGACTTATAGGATCTGCTGTTAACCTCTTGGTGCCAGCTGTTACAGGGCACCTTCAAAGGTCTTGTAGAGTCCATGCATCAGCAAGTCAGAGCTGTTTTGGTGGTACACCGCATATGTTTTGTATATTTTGGTTTCCTATATTTTATTTGTACCAAGAGAAATTCTTTATATATCTAGAACTTGGTGAATAGATTGTGATTCTGATACAGGACACTTGGGACACAAAAAACCAGCAGGACTGAGTCTATCTGCTGGTTTGGTGCTAGTTAGCTGCACTAACACTAGGGTTGGAAGTAAACTCAACAGGGCTTTACATCTCCAGAATGCCTTCTTCCATTACATTGGTAGTGTAATTTAGTTACTATAGTCATTACAGTTCTTTTCAGCAGAACAGCAAATTAAATATATAGGGACAGCAGCTGGACTGGCTGGGAGTGACTCCATAAGGTCCTGGTAGGTCACAGGTATCTGGAGCCATGCTGACTGCAGTGCATCCTACAGCTGCTGAAGTCTGGGGAATTAGGGTGCCAGGGTAGTACTTGGAAGTCTTGGCCATGCTCTTCTAACCAACGTCGGACATTTCCTAGCCGTGTGACATGTTGCATTGTCTTGCTGGAAGATCCCATCAGCCCCTGGGCCCAGAGAATGCCACGAGAACATTCCCCAGACCATAATGCTGCCACCACCGGCTTGTGGACATGAAGTGGTTAATTACAACACTGATGAAGCATAAACCCTGCAGGAGCTTCATTTTACATTACCTGCTGATGAGAGTTTGATGTCCGTCACTGCTGTGTTGAGTCCTTGGCCCTGGAGCTCAAAGTCTTGAGCTACGAGAGGCGGAAACTCCTTCATGCGCTTTTCTCCACCCATTGGTACCTGGACAAGAAATAGTGGGCTGTAAAAAAACTCAACTTCCCCTTGTTATGAAGTTAGCAAAGAGTCTAGACAATGGACATTCATAACTGAACTACTTTTCATTTGAACAAAGCTTTTATAGTTACATGTCTGAAGGAATTGTGTTTTCAATCTAATCTCTATCTGTCACATCTGTATCACACTATTGATCACTATGGACAGTAATTTCACTGCGTTTTCCTGTACTTAGAAAGGAAGAGAGAAATTGTTGGTTGGAAATGCGCTTATAATAGAAGCTAAAGGGTAGTTGCTGAATTCCAAACTTGTGAAATGCAACTATAAAATTCCAGACTGCAACCATTCACAGCCATTCAAAGTAACAACCATAGTCAAGAGTTTTTACCCATCTTTACAAACAAGTATGTGCTAATTTATGGTGTCATTGCCCACAGAACTGTATTTGTGGGCATACAAATGACCAGACTTTCTCTGATAAACTGTATTACTACGATTCCAGCTGTAACTCACAGCAAATAGCGTGTTCCCGGCATGCTTCTGGTAAATGGCGTCAGCTTTATCCAAACTGGTGATGTGGACTGGGATTCGGGACGAAGCAACAACCGTGAACCAGCACGGGTGATTTCCCTGATGAGGGTAAAGGGCACATTTTAAAATCTGATGGTGCTTTTAATTCCAGTATTGATTATAGAGTTAAGTTTTTACAAGCTGATTTACAAACTACTCCTGGTAGTTTGTTAATTGCATTCATTTAATATTTGTAACCAATCTTAAAAATATTTTACAAAAAGCTTAGTAGGAGCCATTAACAGTGAAAATCATTTTTACCTCCAAGTAATCAATGCGTGCCAATGCTCCCAGAAATAACACCATTCCGGGCTTCAGTATAAACGTCCTAGGGGTGATGGCTTGTGTAGGCACTGCCATCTTCACTTCCTGTTCATTCAACAAGCTGAGAACCTGGTAATTGAAGATAAAGTCAACCAAAATTTTTTTCTATGTCAAGTCACTTTCACTTCACATACTGTCCAAAAGACTCACATCATACTCCTTCATAATGCCTGGGGTGTCGTAGAACCAGTGGGCATCTTTGATTTCATTGTATGATAACTCTCCCTCCTCTATGGGCTCTGGATCTGGCCTCCCAAAACTGTCCTTCTGAAGGTCCTCTCCGAAGCTGAGACGGTCAGGGTCAAACTCCACAAGGTTTTTTCTGGATGGCTGATCTACCCGGAATGTCCTCCCAATGCGGCCTACAATAAATTGTACACTGTAGCAAAGCATCCAGAAATTTACAGTGTCTGTAAAACCCATGAACTCCTAAAAGTTTGGCTGTCTATAAAAATTACCACTAATATAAACTATATATCGCTGTTGTCAGAAGAAAATCTCCATTTTTGTTGTTATTCAATTTTTGACATAATTTGAAAATGCCTGATGCCCTTTACATGTGTAAATTACATGAAGAATGGACCAAAAGAAATGGCCCAAAATGACTGGGAAAAATGTCTGGATCCATTGACTTACATTGACTTCTCCAGTAATGTTATCAAACGTTTGGAGATATGAGGTTTTCTTCCGACAATGGTGACACATTATATATATATATATATATATATATATATATATATATGAAAATGCAATTAATTAATTGAAAACTTCTTTATGGTGATGCAGGTTTGTTGTAACAGTAGCCAACACATTTCACACACAGTACTGGATGTGAAAATAATCATATATATGTGTAATCACTAAGTATTTTAATGAGCACTGCCTGGTTCTTTTGGCACGAGCATGTAGCCTAAAACCCAAACGCAAGACAAAATCTCCTCCAACTCACCAACAAGGTATCCCTGCCTGCTTAACTGTTTGATCCTCTTGAGCTCCTCAGGGTTCAGGTCCTCCTCAGTCTCCTGGGCCGCCAGACGCAGCCTCTCTGCCCGCCGGGACAATCGGTATGGTGTTGGATTGATGATGGGAAACTTCAGCAAGTTCAATGTTGTTCCTTAATAAACAAGAAAATAAAGGTCTTCATGACATCAGCCATGACATGTTTATGGCATGGTTATGTCAATGTTATGTAGCAGAGTTCAAGTAAAGGATTAATCTTAATATCCTTTCTTTAGGTACCATGCTTTATCCTGGTCACTTTGCGACCTACATGTTGATACCCACCTGGCCATGGAGATATTGTGGCCTTGTGGATCACATCCGACGCTCTGGACTTGCAGTAATCTGACTCGAGCAGGGTGTTAAACAGGGTGGACTTGCCAGCATTGGCAGTCCCAACTAAATAAACATCTCCCTTGTACTTCCAGGACGTCTGCAGCCTTGTGATCAGGTTCTCTATGCCATATCCTGTTTTAGCACTGATGAGGTGGATGTCCTTGTGGTCAGAGGTGGGGGTCCCCGCCTCTGCACAATACTGCGCCAGCTGCCGTTTGATTCGTTGCAGGTAATTCTCTGCATCCCCAGGGAGCAAATCCACTTTGTTCCCCAAGATCACGATGTGCTTGTTCTTGCCCACTAGCTGAGGCAGGTCAGGGATGATGGAGTCCGGAAGATCAAGAAGATCCACGATCAGCAGCACCAGAGCCTTCTCAGACTTGATCCTGCCGACAATTTTCCTGTATTCCTCCTTCGACATTGTCACATTCAGAGCCTTCTGGTGGTGTACAAGCAAGAAGCAGCGCTGGCACACTGCCTTCTTCAGTTTGTCCTCCTCCACCAACTGCTTGAATTTTTCACTAGGCAGGTAACCAGGGACCTCTGGGACGGTGCAGTGCATCAATGCCCCGCAGCCAGAGCAGCAGGTGTCACTGACGGGCACGTCTGAGTCCGGCGTCCCGTAGACCTTATGCTCTTTCTTCGCTTTCTTCTTTCTGGAAGATTTTTCAAGAGGAAAGTCCACATCATGGAACTCAATACAAGGTTCTCCGTCCACCTCCTCACTGACAACGTCTTTCAAAGCCCTCAGCTGGAGCTCCAGTGCCTTCTGTCGCAGTTCTGAGCTCGTCACTTTAGGCACCTTGTCCTCCCTCACCTTCATGGACTCTGTTAGACGAAGCTGCTCAAGAAAATGGTCTTGGTCCAGGGGTTCAGAGAATTCCAGGAAGGCAAACTCCTCCTCTCTGTCTGGCTCTACAGAACAGTACGTCTCTGATGCTGCTTTAGTGTGAGGCTGAGTTGATGCTACAATCTGGGCCTTTTCTTCTCGTTCAAAGCCTTTTGATGAAGCTGCACTGCTGTGAGACCGTAAAGCTTTAACACTGTGGACTGAAACAGAGCCTTCGGACAGAAAGCCAAAGTAAAGGTGACACAGTCTCCTCTTTTCCAGCTCTTTCCACATTGACGCGTGTTTCAAACACTTCCAAGAGGACGTTCGCAACGCAGGCACGTGTAATAATTTAAACATTGTCCCAACCACTGCAGTCTGTAAGAAATAATTAGCTTTAAATATCTAAAAGTGAGTAAAATCTGAAAAACTCACGAACACACGTGAACAGAGGGGGAGTGTTTTTGTCCGTCGCTGCAAAAACGTGTAACCGGAAGCGAATTATGAATTATTTTTAAATGTTAATTTTTTACAGTTGATCTTTTAATTGTAAAACCATATTAATTATTATTTCGTTAAAATGTCTTAATATACATTACATTTAATTATAAGTTGTTTAAAAACAACTTTACACACGAACTTCTGACGCCTTTACAGGAAGTGACGACATTCACTGTAGTCTGTGCTTCAGTGAGCAGATAAAGCGCGTTTTGGCCGAGAAGGTTTGTTGCTTGTTTACCGTAAACAAGGACACAAACAAGAAAAAAAACAACATGTATGACCAAGATGAAGGTATGTGCGAGGCAGTAAAAGTAGCTGCGGTCTGTTTCTGCTTTGTAAGGCAGTGTAAGGCATCACGATGATGCGTAAACACAACGGAGCTGGTTAGCCTGTTAGCTTAGCGGCGCCGGTTTCCATTAATTAGCTTCTCTAACTGCGTTTTCTGGGGTTTAAGACAGAAATGGTTACACACCTTAAAATTATGGTTTTTCAAGGGTTCCTGAGTAAAGGCAGTGGTTCTGTTTAGCACCATGAGTACAAGCTTGACGTCGTAGCAATAGAAGACCTCATTTTGGTGCTGCATAGAACCATTTTTAAAAAGGTTCTATATAGGACCATATATAACACAATCTCCATCAGTGTGATGAACCATTTAACCATGCAAAGAACCATGTAAGCATGAAATGGTTTCATATAGAATTTATGGTTCTAAATAGATCCATTGGTTTTGCTAAAGAACCCTTGAAGAACTATGTTTTTTTTACAGAGCCCTTTTTTGGTGCTGTATAGAGCCATATACAACATTCTCCGTCAATCTGAAGAACCACTTCACCATGCAAAGAGCCATTTAAGCATGAAATGGTTCTATATAGAACTCATGGTTGTAAATAGAACCAGTGCTGTTACCAAAGAACCTTTTGAAGAATCATTTTTTTTAAGTTTGTGGCTTTTGTGTAATAAACAGAATTTAAGGCATTTCTGTGGGTGTTTCATGCTTTGGTAATGTTTAAATATTGGTATTTTGTTGTGTTTTTATTAATAACACAATTAGAATTGTGTCCACAAATGCAGAGGAGAAACCTTTCCAGATTCCAAAGTCAGTAATATCAGAGTCAGAATCTTTACCAGGTGTGTAAAGATAGGAGCTGCACTACAGGGACCCACAACACACAAAGCATTATTACAGCAAGCTATGAAGACTTAATCAATCTAAGAAGTTAATCCTATTATTCAGCACCAGTGGAAGTTTCAGTACAAAAACTTTAGGGTCTTTTGTTGTTCAGCATCTGACTGAATAATTTTATTTAAAGTGCCAGTAGTGTATATACTGTATATGTATGCTTTTACTTTGGAGCCTATAAAGCTGTTTGTAGGTGCCTTGCTAATGTATCACCTCAAAAAAGACTTAAAATTGACTTTTAAATGGAAAGTGGTCTTCAATAACTGTATTTTCTGTTTATTGTGCTCAGATTTATACCGAACATAAAATCTTTCCTCATTTCCTCCAGATATCCAATATGATGAAGATGATGATGAGATCACCCCTGATCTGTGGCAGGAAGCCTGCTGGATTGTTATCAGGTACTTTAGTAGTTGTTTCCCTTTATTTTACTATTGGCTTCTGGGAGATACAGTTAGGATTTAATGTGGAGTTTGAATATAGTGTTTTTTGCTATGTAGAGGTACTTATTAGTTTTTAAAGCAGAATATTGGATAATTATTGTTGTCTTTATCTGACAAGAAGTGATGGTGTACTACCATCTCTAGTGCTGCACCCTAGAAAGTTACCCCAATTACACATGTAGACTGTGGAAGTGGAGAAAGCAGTGGAACAATGTGGGATGTCAATTATATTAATGTTCTTTGAAAAAACAAAGCAATAGTTTTAGACCCTCAGGTGAAAAACCTACTGGCCAAGCCCAGGGCAGTGTATGCTGTTGATTAATGATGTTTACAACGCGGTTTTCCTTCCAGTTCCTATTTTGACGAGAAGGGATTGGTGCGCCAGCAGCTGGACTCCTTCGATGAGTTCATTCAGATGTCTGTTCAGAGGATTGTTGAGGACGCTCCACCTATAGACCTACAGGCTGAGGCTCAACACACCTCTGGAGAGGTGGAGGAGCCGGTAAGCTTCAGCACACATGCATTTCTTCTGCAGAAAATTACACATTTCTGGGGAGATTGATATTGTGCCCTGGCTATTAAGTTCACTCGGTTTCAAATCTTGCGGCTTTGCTTTGCAGCCACGGTATCTGCTGAAGTTCGAGCAGATCTACCTGTCCAAGCCTACGCACTGGGAAAGGGATGGAGCCCCCTCACCTATGATGCCGAATGAGGCTCGACTCAGAAACCTCACGTGAGTGCAGCTGTTGTGGTGCACGTGAGCCTGTCTCACCTGCTCTTTTCTCCAGTCTTTCAGTCACATAGCGGTTTAAAAGGGTGTATTATTAAAGGAAAGATTTCCATACCTGATTAAGCAAATCTTGTTTGCATCTGGTCAGGTTGGAAAAAGAAGATAAGATTTCTACACATTACATAAGATTTAACATAATAATGTGTTTCCGTTTAGGTACTCGGCTCCTCTGTATGTCGACATCACTAAAACCATCATAAAGGAAGGAGAGGAGCAGCTTCAGACGCAGCACCAGAAAACCTTCATTGGCAAGATTCCCATCATGCTTCGTTCCACCTACTGTTTGCTCAGCGGCCTGACAGATCGTGATCTGTGTGAGCTGAATGAGTGTCCTCTGGACCCAGGAGGCTACTTTATCATCAACGGTTCCGAGAAGGTCAGGGTTTTGCTGGGAAAAAGTAACAATTTCAGTAGTAATTTTTTGACGATCTTGACAATCATTTTGGTGCTTTAATATATGACTCTGTTTGTGCTTGCAGGTTCTCATTGCTCAGGAAAAGATGGCCACCAACACAGTATATGTGTTTGCCAAAAAAGATTCCAAATATGCGTACACAGCGGAGTGCAGGTCATGTCTGGAGAATTCATCCAGACCTACCAGCTCGATTTGGGTCAGCATGATGGCCAGAGGAGGACAGGTCAGATAACGCACATGCAGGATTTCACACAAAAACTCTCATGTTTGTCTCCCCTGCCCCACACCCAGCATTCTCCCTGCCCTTCCATTTCCTTTATCTTTTCCTTCTTTGTTGCTGCTCTATTTTATTACCATTGCCATTCGCCTTGTACTGTTCTCTAAGTATAACATTTATTTCCCTACTGCATTTTAGACTAGTCCTTTTATCTTTTGTTACCTCACTTTTATTTTGCCGTATTAATTACGGATAGGCATTTCAGTCAAATTTAATTTTCAAATTTGTTAAGCATTATTTGGAAAATACTCAAATATTATACCACCTGAAAAAAAGTTCTGTATAGGAGCTTTGGTCTTTACGATAAACAGACAAATGCTAATCATCTTGTCGTCGTATTTCACATCACATTTCACCTCATACCTTTTTGCTCTGAAACAGAGTTTGTGAAGAGTAAGTTAACGAATATTGAATGTGATCATGTGTGGAACTGAAATATTTATTCAGTTAAATCTTTGTGAGTAAAGTGTAAAATGAGCTTGCATTTTGTTTAAAAGTTACTCATTTTATTGCTTAGAGTTTGAGCCTAAAGGTTGTTGTATCCTGGACGTTGACTGTAGTGGTCATGTTTTTCAAAATTTTAAATCCCTTCAGGGGGTGAAGAAGAGTGCCATTGGTCAGAGAATCGTCTCCACCCTTCCTTACATCAGACAAGAAGTGCCAATCATCATCGTGTTCCGTGCCCTGGGCTTTGTGTCCGACAGGGACATCCTGGAGCACATCATCTATGACTTTGATGACCCAGAGATGATGGAGATGGTAATGTCTTGCCTTTTACCAGCATTAAACATTTTGTTTTAAGATTCCTCGCCGCATATCAAATCACCAGGCCAACGTTTCTTACGGCAACAACAAAAGCTTTTCACCCAAGAACATTACTGTGCTGCACAAACTAACTTTGTGATTCTGAACTTGCTGCTAGTCCTTTAACTGTGGATTTTGCAGGGTCTCACTGAGTCTTTTTTTTCTGAAATTGAGCCACTTCCTTTTGCATATTTGTTTTCATATCATCTCTTTCTGTCTGTCTTCTTAGGTAAAGCCATCTCTGGACGAGGCTTTCGTGATCCAGGAGCAGAACGTAGCTCTGAACTTCATCGGCTCAAGAGGAGCCAAGCCTGGTGTCACCAAGGAGAGAAGAATTAAATATGCCAAAGAGGTGCTGCAGAAGGAAGTTCTGCCCCATGTGGGTGTCTCTGACTTCTGTGAGACCAAGAAGGCCTACTTTTTAGGGTGAGTTCTGCAGCAGGGTGCACTGTTGTTCTAAATGTCCTAAATTGAACTGCTTTTCATGTATGGCACATTAGTGTTTACTGAAAATCTGAACGTGTGAAGGGACACTCTGGTCTAAGTGGAAAAATTACCATCTGTTACTAGAGTGAACTTTTCATAGTTGAAAAATTAGGAAAACTCTCTTCTGACAATGCACTCCGAAGGTGGGGGGAACTTTGGGGTGGGAAGTTTGAAGCCCCCCCGGTGTATTTACCAAAAAGAAGTCTATTTATGTGCAGTTCATTTTTTTCACTTTCTTCTTTTTCTTTTTTATGTAGTTATATGGTGCATAGGCTCCTGCTCGCAGCTCTGGGCAGAAGAGAGCTGGATGACAGAGATCACTATGGCAACAAAAGGCTGGACCTGGCAGGGCCTCTACTTGCCTTCCTTTTCAGAGGGTGAGTAGAGTGGATTTGCATGCTTTCTGAATTCTCCATAACTTATATGGAAAGAAAAAAATGACCAAATGATGCCATCTTCAGGCAGCTATTAGAGCATTTTTAGTGGTTTTGTGATTGCAAAAGGCCCTTCTCTGCTTCTTTGTTTAAAACTTGCATATTTTCTTGCAGAATGTTCAAGAACCTGCTGAAGGAGATAAGGATCTATGCACAGAAATTTATTGACCGAGGGAAGGACTTTAACCTAGAGCTGGCCATTAAAACCCGGATCATCTCGGATGGGCTGAAGTATTCTTTGGCCACGGGCAACTGGGGTGATGTAAAGAAGGCCCACCAGGCCAGAGCTGGAGTGTCTCAGGTACTACGTGCTGCACCCTCACTCTGTAAAGATGGTTTAGAGATTTGGACTCATTTTTTTATCTCTCAAAACACTTTGGCCAGGTAGTGTTTTTATTCCTGGCTCAGGAACTGGGTTAGAGCGAAAATGTGGGCTCAGGTTACTCAGGAAATGTAATGGAAATGTGTGCATTTCTTGTACATTGTATTTACTTAGTTTTTGCTGTTAATCATTGTTTTTTTTTGTTTTTTTTTTAATGTAACTTCAATAACTTCATTCTCTGCAGGTGTTGAACAGGCTGACATTCGCCTCCACATTGTCACATCTCCGGCGTGTAAACTCCCCCATTGGCAGAGATGGCAAGCTGGCCAAGCCCAGACAGCTCCACAACACACTGTGGGGCATGGTGTGCCCTGCTGAGACCCCAGAGGTATCACTAACGCCTGCATTTAAGGATTTGCTTCACACCAAGGCTGTCTCAATTCATAGTGACTGGCCTACGTAGGCAGTATTTTAAACCAGCAAATGATCTGGTGTAAGGCAGTCCCAGAGTACAGTGTGACAAAAAGCCTTCTTGAAAGTTTTCATTGCAGAAGGGGGATATGGTAAAGTTTCTTGAATTGCAAGGTATTAAATTGGATGATGGCAGTTTGCTTCTGTTTTTGTAATAAATGCACACAGATTTAATTTTTTCATGATTTTATTTGCTGTACATTAGGGATTGCATGAATTTGCCAGTCAATTAGTCATTTGAAAAGGTAGTCAACTAGTCGTCCTTACAATATAAAAAAGTACTTTTGATATAGTTGCTTGCTAATGGGGATTGGGGTGGTTGAGATGTGCATTTCTGAAAAGGTTTTGTTGGTTTTGTTTTCAGCCTTAGGCACTCTGCCCACAGAAGTACACAGACTGTCTGATGCAACTGCACTCTAAAACCACTGCAGCTCTCAAACTCTCCACTCGTTGAGAATTTAAACTGTCTCTGGGTGTCTGTGCTTCTGTATACTAGGGTTATCAGTTTGATAAGGAACAGGCGACTGTTCATGAAGCTAAATACTAGTAGTCGTAGATATGCTGGTAGCAAGCAATTGCATCTGTACTCACCAATTAAGAGCAAGATGTGGGCCTGAACCAGGAAGTGTTCATAATATCTCATTTTAAGAAGTTATTCCTGAACTTGAACTTTAACTTTGTTCGAAGCTATAGGTAGTAAGTAAATGAGATTCTTCTGTTTTACATGCGGTAATACACGTTTCTTTAATAGAAGTTTGTTTTTGTTGTGCGAACATCATGCTAAATGGTCTGTGATTGGCTGTTTTGCCCTTTCCTATCATAGATGGTCTTTGTCAACCCCTACCGAGTCTGGCTTACTTCAGTGCAGTCTGACACAGCTTGCAGTAGAATTAGTTTCAGCTCATGCAGTACTTCAATGCTAATAAAGTACTTTAGCAGAAAAACTGATTGCCTACAGAGGTGACTAGTCTGTGCCACCTCTACTGTACATCAACAGTATTCTTAGCATACTAGCTAGTGTTGTTGTCTCATGTTATGACTTTAAATGCCCTGATACTTTTATTGACTAACTACCTAGCTAGCACTAGGTTGTAATCTTGGCTGGGTAATCTAAGCCTGCAGGGAGTGAAAATTGCTGGTGTAATTACTCTACCTAGACAGTAGTCTATGGACAGCTCACTGGGTATTGACATACCTCAAAACTGCCTATGAGTTTAAGCCCCAGTGGTATCGTAGTAGTTCAAGTTCATTAATACCAGTATTAGCATTTTTCACTGGTGTGTCCTTTTACTCCTTAACACAGTTCTGACTAGAATGAAAAATTTCAATAACTTTTGTTTCTTTTTGAAAATGAAACTCTGCATTTGTGTGTTGCTTGCAGGGTCATGCTGTAGGCTTGGTGAAAAACTTGGCGCTGATGGCGTACATCTCTGTGGGGTCCCAGCCCTCCCCCATCCTAGAGTTCTTGGAGGAGTGGAGCATGGAGAACCTGGAGGAGATCTCACCTGCTGCCATTGCAGAGTCAGTGCATTGTCCACTAGAGGGCAGCACTTCATTAGTGGGAGAGAGCGAAAAAGAGGGATTTTAGTGTAATTAATGTTAGGGCTAGCCTTTTTCTGAATCCGGTGGTTTTGGATTTTAGTCATAGTCAACGTGCAACTGTGGTTATTAGTTTGTAATTAGTTTTCAACAAGCATATCAAGTAAAATGAGTAACTAACTTGAACATAAAACAGGTTTAGGCTTTTGTCCAGACTCTCTGAAAGCTTTGTCAGTAAGTTGTTAGGCGAAGTGTTTAACATCTTGACTGTGGTTTTCTTTGTAATTGTCTAGTGCCACTAAGATCTTTGTGAACGGCTGCTGGGTGGGCATACACAAAGACCCTGAACAGTTGATGAACACGCTGAGGAAACTGAGGAGACAGATGGACATCATTGTATCGGAGGTGAGAGAGTTTTTAACTTGGAAATTTTAAGGTAGGACTAAACTTGAGGAGACTAAACTAGCATACAGTAATACAGCAACATTTTTTAGTAATGCAACCACATAGGCCTGCAAAGACTACTTTTATTAATATCTCTGTAAGAAATAAATAAAATAAAATCAGGCAATGGTCTAGTGTACCTTTTCAGCTCTTCTTGGTCAGTGTTGTAATGTTTCTTAGAAGACCAAGTCCTAGCCTAAATGTAAACAGGGCTTTGTTTCTGAATGAGCAGCCACCTAAATTGGACTGACCCATGCTTTGTTTCTGCATAGGTGTCAATGATCCGGGACATCAGAGAGCGAGAGATCCGAATTTATACAGATGCCGGACGGATCTGCAGGCCGCTGCTCATCGTTGAGAAGCAAAAACTTCTGCTGAAGAGGCGCCACATTGACCAGCTCAAAGAACGAGAGTACAACAACTACAGGTACATGGCTCTCCATAATATACACACACACCAGCTCAATGCTGTCTCATGGCTCTCATTTGAGAATCTTGGCTTTATGCTTGTTGCTTGCACAGTTCATGTTTTGTTTATATATAAATAAATCAGTTTATGTGAGTTATCTGTAGTAGTTAAACATTTGTTAAGATGTTTTAAATGATGATGTTTTTGTAATGTGTAATATGTTGTCTGTTTATTCTTAGTTGTTAGGCTAACGGTTTGCTTATTACCATATACTATGGCTATGTTGAGCACACAGTCCCAGTGCGTCTAGTCCTTGCTGTCATACATGTTGTGTAGGTCGCAATTCAGTAAGTGTAGACTTGAAGAAACAGCCTAATAGTTCTATTTAAGCTACTCCCAAACCCTTTTCTTATGCTGTGTGTGTGTGTGTGTGTGTGTGTGTGTGTGTGTGTGTGTGTGTAGTTGGCAGGACCTGGTAGCGAGTGGGGTGGTGGAGTATATCGATACGCTGGAGGAGGAAACTGTAATGCTGGCCATGACCCCAGATGACCTCCAGGAGAAGGGTGTGGCGTACTGCTCCACCTACACTCACTGCGAGATTCACCCCTCCATGATCCTGGGAGTGTGTGCTTCCATTATTCCTTTCCCTGATCACAATCAGGTACATGCATACCCTTCATATTCACTATTGTCTTGATTAATGACACACACACACACACACACACACACATCCTTTTAACAATTGATTACAAACGTATACGTATAGAGCAATGCTTTTATTTACCCTCTTGATCAAATGATGGGGCCAAATCTAACCTTAAAACATTTACCAAATTTCTATGGTTTACTTAACTCTGAAATTTAATTTGGATTATTATATTCCTTGGATTGATTGCCCTGGAAGCCTTTGGGTGTTGAATAGTAGTGATCTATGCATTTGTATGATTATAGCATACAGAAGACCCCAATACCCTTCAAAATTGCAGCACCTACAGTAGTTGCACTATTTGGTGCCCTTCTTTGCACAAGCAGGCCCTTGTTTCAGCATTTACTACACTCAGGAGATATATAACCATGTTGTTTCCTGTGCCCAGTCTCCCAGGAACACTTACCAGTCTGCTATGGGGAAGCAGGCTATGGGAGTCTACATCACTAACTTTCATGTTCGCATGGACACTTTGGCCCATGTGCTGTACTACCCCCAAAAGCCTCTGGTCACCACTCGCTCCATGGAGTACCTGCGCTTCCGAGAGCTACCAGCAGGTGACGCTATAATCTTTAAACATTAAACACCCTACTTAGAAAACCCTATTATCAGGCAAGAAGTGTATATGCTTGGAATAAACAGCTTATCTGCAGGATAAAATACCTTTTTTCTTTCTTTCTCCTCCCTTTCGTAGGGATCAATTCCATTGTGGCTATTGCATCATACACTGGATACAACCAGGAGGACTCCGTCATCATGAACCGCTCTGCTGTGGACCGAGGCTTCTTCAGGTAGCCCTGCCTCTCTTGGTTAATTTGATTTGTGAAGGTTTTTAACATTTTATATGTAAAGCCTCATGAAACGCTGACTGTCTGAACGGGTTTCAGGTCTGTGTTCTATCGCTCTTATAAAGAGCAGGAGTCGAAGAAAGGCTTTGACCAGGAGGAGATCTTTGAGAAACCCAAGCGTGAAGAGTGTCAAGGTGAGCTGCCTGTTAAGTTGTATCAAGTTAGAAATTATTTTGCCAAAACAATACAAGCTCTTGGATGTGAAACCTAAGAGCTGTATATAGTTTGTTAGGAACGCCCACGTGAATTCTAGCAAAGCCTGCTGACCAAGCTGTGACAACAGCTGAATTATATAGTCTTTATATCAGTAGACATGTCAGCCATCAGACATAGAAACTGTATTTGACATGGTTTTTATATCTGTTCTAGCATGTACCTCACATTGACATGACTGAAGATAAATGGGGCAGAGTGTTAAAGTTACTTAGTGAGATTTTCCTCAGTCCTGAAACACCAGAATCCTATCCTTTAGATTTTATCTTACCCGAAAGGCAAGACACGACAGGTGAATATTGGAAATGAGACATTATCTGCTTAAATATCTGACCTTTGTATGATGTTGGATTTCAAATGTTTTTCATTATGAAAGCATGTATTATAGAAGCTGAGAATTTTTTTATTTGTAAATGGGACCCAGCATTACCCACTGAGATCTCAGATAACTTGCACCATTTGTTTGGATGTAATTAGTGCAAAGGAAGCAAGACATAATTGTATTCTAAATATGTTCTAGTTTAGATTATACAGGACACTAATTTTTCAGTGATATGACACATTATTGTTCTGAGTGTGGGCGGAGCTAAACTTTAATGAAAGTTGCTACCTTTTGGAAAATGGTTAGGCTTGCATGGACGTGGACGTGGACTACATTTACATTTACAACTTTTGGCAGATTCTCTTGACCATAAAGACCTTTGAATTGAGCATGTTACCGATGTATTCATCTGTAGTGTTAGGAGTCTTGCCCAAGGACACTCATTAGTATAGTGTAGTACCCCAGTCTGACGCTTATACCAACCACTGAATTGATTGACATTCATCTGAAAAATAGTTGGTCAAACAAGATAGTCTTTCTGTAACATCTTGCCTTAAGATAATGTTTTTATTAGTTTCACCCACTCACTGTGAGAAGTGATTTTAACTCTTAATTTAATTTAGTCACGTTTCTTTCCTCATTTTCTCAGAGTCTAACAAATCTCTCTTTCTCTTATTTTCTCCCACACTTTTGCTCCAGGCATGCGGCATGCTATTTATGATAAGCTGGACGATGACGGGCTAATCGCCCCGGGTGTACGTGTGTCCGGTGAGGATGTAATCATTGGTAAAACAGTCACTCTTCCCGAGAATGACGATGAGCTGGACAGTACGAACCGGCGCTACACCAAGAGGGACTGCAGCACTTTCCTCCGCACCAGCGAGACCGGCATCGTCGACCAAGTCATGGTCACCCTCAACCAGGAGGGCTACAAATTCTGCAAGATCCGGGTGCGTTGGGCTCCAGATCCACTGTCCCAATCTAAAGAACTGCAATTAACAGCTTTGTTAAAAATAAATAAATAATAATTTTATTGTAGTCAGCTATTACAGTACTGGCTGATTTACTTCCTTGTTGTCAATATTTAGTCACTCCCAAAAAAGACAGCTGTAGCTCAAACGCGGGAAAAACAAACGTTGCTCGCCATTTGACTAAATGATGAAAACGCAACCCAGTTGTTGCAGTGTCAACATATGACATGTAAAGCTAACAGCCATGGAAATCTGCATTCAGCTTAAATAACTGATGCCAGCTCAAATGAATGCTATCAGCCGATTATGTAATAATTATGACAGGATTGATTATTTTTTTTTAATAATACGTTATAATGCATTATAATTATACAGTGGGATTCTTTGAGGTTTTTGTAAGTTTTGCTGTGAATATTTGTTTACAAATGTTGATATTTGCTAATTATTTTTCAAATCATTTTTAAATAAGTGTAAATTAAAAATTGATATTATTTTGTGCTGAAATCAAACCCTGAGGGGTTTGGCAAGTTGCTCTGTTTACTTGAGTGTTGAAATGACACTAAAGACTGGGTTGTTCTATTTTTTTCTTTTTCCAAAGAAGTTAGAGGTTTTGAGAAGTCTTGTTTCTGTAGTAAAGATGATGCCAATGATGTGATTAACTGTTGACCGATTTATCGACCTAAATGAAAGCAGATGCTTGTTTAGTCATTGTACATTTGAGTTGAAGTCATGCCTGTGGAGTTGTAATAACTTCTCTATATTTTATTTATTTTTTTTGTCCCCCCTCTGCAGGTTCGCTCAGTCCGGATCCCTCAGATTGGGGACAAATTTGCCAGTCGACACGGACAGAAGGGTACCTGTGGAATTCAGTACAGGCAGGAGGTAAAGACACCAAGCCGACTGCACTTTAGTGCCATTTCTTAAGTTTGTTTGTGTTTGAAAATCTTTTTTACAATTACTTTAATCTGATTTAAGCATGTACACTTTTAGCGTGGAACGTTTTGTTAATTTAGTCATGCATGCAGTAAATCTTATAGTTGGAAAATAAAAAATGTGTCAAGTTCACCCAGAAGTATTTTCAGATGATAATTTTCCTCAAGATAATTCAGTCTATCAATGGAAAAGGGGCATCTAGCGAGGGATTTAAAGCTGTACTTGAGTATTTTGGTTAGACCTGCACAATATGGACAAAATACCATATTGAATTTATTACAAAATTGTCCTACATTAATTTGAACCAAAATTATTAAGGTTAGTTAAATAATGTGAATATCTTAATTCATCCCAACACCCAAAGAACACCTGGTATTGGTCAGGATGCTCACAGCATATATTAAAACACTCTGATTGGTTAGAGGCTCCTTTGTATATTTCAGATACCTATAATATAATATAATATTAGTATTGCAAAGACTGATGTTATGATGACATGTTAACAATGTATTGTATGGCCCTACTAGGCTCTTGATTTTTAAATCATAGTTTGACCTCCAAATGTGAAATTCTCAAAACTCTATTTTAGGGATTTTTTGAAGGAAAAAAAAAAAGATCACATACTTTACAGAGAGATTATAGAGACTTAGTCACAAAATTAGTTGTCTTGAGGTCCTGTCCGGTTTGTTTGGAGATCTGTGGTCAGGCCGTGGTCTCTGATGTTGGTTTGTTTAGACTGACATGTTTGTCAGGATGTACTTAATAAACACAGACGAGTCTCTCCAACAACAACTGGACTCGCATGCCAGATCTATTATAAACAACACTAACGATAAAACTGTACTGCCAGTAACTTATTATTAGTTCTGGGCCACACAGCGTCACAGAGACAGCAGGATTAGCTCATAGTTTACGGAGAGTCAGGGAAGTGTTCTTACTGTTGGGTATATTTTTGCTGCACTGTTTTTGTTGGAAGGCATCTGTTAGTGCAGTTTCAAATGCAGTACAGCTTTCTGGAACAGTTCTTGTCTTTATAAACTGTGGATCTTTCTCTGCAGGACATGCCTTTCACGTGTGAGGGAATCACTCCAGACATCATCATCAACCCCCACGCCATCCCCTCCAGAATGACAGTCGGTCACTTGATCGAGTGTCTGCAGGGGAAGGTATAAAAATTCTCAATGATTAAATTATTTATTAATATTTGTTTGGTCTTTGGTGGGAAATGGAGTGTTGTTAATGTGACTTTATGGATGATGGAACTCATCTTGGAATTTGTGGAATTTATGAAATAATGTATTTTATGTTTATTTGTTAATAAACTTTTGACTTAGTTTGATGTAGTACCCCAGACTGTTGTTGGCTTATTACATCTCAAGTGAAATTGCAGCATGTAAGCAGAGCTATATATATGGATCATTCTACTGAGTTGGTTCAGAGTTGAAGACGCATTTTTGATGCGTAACTGACTTAAAGTCCTTTGGCTTTGAGTGAGCCTATGACTTATTTATATTTTATACATAAGCAAATGATTGAACTTTCGAAAACAATCAAACCACTACCCAATGTTTTGTTAGTGACTGTTTTGGTAGTGCAAATGCAAAAAAAAAAAAAATTTTCCCCCACAGGTTGAAATTTAGGGCTTAGAGTTTGGGACAGCCCATGTAATTGGTTTTTAAGTAGTTTTTTTCTTTACTGCTGGACCGCAGTTTGAACTCCTTCTGAATGAATGCTCCATATATATATATTCAACAAGATGAGTCAGATTTGTCGTGTGAGCTATGCAAGTTATTGTTCTGTAGGTCAACAAGCTTAACATTTTATGTTGGCTATATGCAATAAATAAATTGTAAACTTATTTCTTTATTTTTTTAATAATCCATAGTTATAGTTCTTGTTAGAATATTTGAACATTGTTTAAAAAGTGTATATTTTATAGCACAAATGGTCAGACTGCTCATTTCCTAATTTTGTACATTCTTCCTGTGCATTTCTGGCTTTTACCAGGTGTCTGCAAACAAGGGGGAGATCGGTGATGCCACACCTTTCAATGATGCTGTGAATGTGCAGAAAGTCTCCAACCTGCTGTCGGAGTATGGTTACCACCTGAGAGGAAACGAGGTGAGGGGTCTTTCTCACACATATAAGGCAGGGGTGGGGGGGGATAAGACGCCAATGAAATTGCAAGATTGACATGACAAAGGTGCTGCTTTTGTTCTTGCATCCTTAAATAAATAATACATTGACAAATCTCTCCTTAGATGATCTCAAATATTTGGCCGACAATATCGCCATGGCAGTGTTTGCATGCCGCTGTCAGTCCAGCAAAAAAGACACAACATTGAGAACGTGGCTGAGTAGTGGTAGTTCCTCTGGGCAACACTGTAAAAATGGTTTGTTTGACCTAAACTACGTAAATTATACCAGAATACTTCACGTGGTAACAAGAAATCGAACTGGTTTTATTCAACTCGGATAAATACTTTGAACAAAATGATGCAAAGCAAAATTTTACCAGCCCCAAAAACATATTCATCCTGTTCCCTTTTTATTGTTGTTACTTAGCTAAGGAGTTGTAGTGCTTGGATATAGTGAAGAAAAAGTTCAAAACTGTGAAAGTGATGTAAAATGTGCTATCTTCAACCATTTGCCCTACACTTTCACACCCAGAGATCTACACCTCTAGCTAATTAGCCTTTAATTTTCTTTTTTGCTGTAGTTTTCTGTGAGTTGATACAGTAACTAATGTTAGCCAGTTAAATGTGAGGTAAGCATTCATGTGTGTGTGTGTGTGTGTGTGTGTGTGTGTGTGTGTGTGTGTGTGTGTGTGTGTATATAGTATGTGGGTGGTCTATTTTCTAATGATTTAATAACAGTAAAGTAAGCTAGTTGGTGGTTGTCATCCTCGCTATATCAATGTCTCTGGGCCTTAATGCTAACTAACTGCCCTCCACTCAATCTGTAACCAGGCCACTTTAAAACGAAATTCTGGCTATGCCACTGATTCTTACACACACTCTGTACAGCAGTTACCATTGTTATAGTAGACTGATTGTCACACTGCTTTCTCTCTGGTCCTCCAGGTGTTGTACAACGGGTTCACGGGTCGCAAACTGACCTCTCAGATCTTCATCGGGCCCACTTACTACCAGCGCCTGAAGCACATGGTGGACGATAAGATCCACTCACGAGCACGTGGTCCCGTCCAGATCCTCAACAGGCAGCCTATGGAGGGCAGATCACGGTGAGACACGCTGCTAATCAGAACAGCACTTCTACTGGTGACCAGTCTAATCAAACTCTTTCAGACTGTTCCATAAGAGCCATAAAGATTTAGGGCAGAGATACTGAAATCTGGAATTCAAATGGAATTCTGGTCCTGTTCATCATTGCTAGTAAACTGAACTATTGGTGAAGTGACTGGCCAGTCGATCATCACTCTCGGAGGAGAATCTGAAGTAGACGGACTGAGAGTTGGTATCTCTGATCCAGTGGATGATCATGGTCATTATTTGGCCAACCAACAAATCCAGTATTTTATTTTTAATAAGCCAGTCAAATCTTAGTTAATGTTACTGAAATTTTAAAAGAACCACATTTTGTGAAACTTGAATTGGTTTTGTTTTCACATATTTGGATTTCTTTCTTCAGTAGCTTTTGAATGGTGGGCAAAAAAGGTTGTCATTGTTAACAACCAAGGCAACCAGTTTCCATTAATTTGCTTCTGAAATACATGTAGAACACACTGATAGCTGTGAACTCTCAACAGCTTTGAGAGCAAAAACATCCCAAATGGCGATCATTGGGGTCCAAGTACTGCATGACTTATTAAGCAGGTAGAACACAAATGACGGGCATTTGCACAGTTGTTGAACTCAATGAAATTAATTCCACAGCAGTTATCCCTGTATTTTAATTTCAAGAGTGCACCAGAATTTCGCATTAAAATCACAAAAAATTTCTCCTAGAAATGATGTTACCAGTTGCTATAGGAGATTGGTTTCTGAGATTGTTGCCTTTATCACTTCTCATGAATTTTTATGTCATCACAACATGACTACTTATTTATTCTGCTTATGTAGAGTGTTTTAGGATTTCTCGGTTCAGACAGATAACTTGTAAAGTTCAAATGGAAGGAGAAGTCAGGACTATCTCTCAATTTAGGCTTAAATTATCCAGCTTTGTGAAATACCAAAAGAATGGCCATAATGTAAGGCCATAGAAGCAAGTTCTCCTGTGACTATATCAGCGAATGACTGTAGTGATTTCAACTTCTATATTGCTCCCATTTGCTTGTCTTTGCTTAGGTTTATATTTATTTATGTGTGGTTTATAGTGATGGTGGTCTGCGTTTTGGAGAGATGGAGCGAGATTGCCAGATTGCTCATGGAGCTGCACAGTTCCTGAGGGAGCGTCTGTTCGAGGCCTCTGACCCCTACCAGGTGCATGTGTGCAACCTGTGCGGCCTAATGGCCATCGCTAACACTCGCACGCACACCTACGAGTGCAGAGGCTGCCGTAACAAGACTCAGGTAGGCGATTTTTCTTATATTTGGCCTCACTGTTTTATACAAACAGAGCTGTACACACATAATTTGTTTTGACTGTGTACTTATGAACTTTTTGTCCATATTTATAAGCATAAATATTTCCTCCACAGAGATATGTGGAGGAAAAAAGAAATGAAGAAAAACATTTGAGAAACCATATTAAATATAAACAAAGGTTACATGAAAACTATTTTAATGCTGCAAAAAAGCATAGACATGCGCATCCATAATTTGCACACAGGCATTTATACAACTCCGAACTCTTTGGACAGTGTATTCTGCTTAGATGAAACAAATAGTCTGGCAATAATTCAGCTCGTTGTGATCTCCACAATAACAGCTTTGCAACAAAGTTCTAATGTTATTTGTTTATGCCTATGAACATAAAGTCTGTATTTATATTTTTAAGTATAAAGTCAAAAGACATTGTGTTTTATACCCACATGAAATATATTAAATATCAGTGTCTGAATGCTTGTCTCGCATCACCATATTTTACCATGTTCTTGCCACAGTAATGTGGGGAAAACATAACTCTCGTCCGTGGTTGTGCTCGTTACAGATTTCTCTGGTCCGGCTGCCGTACGCCTGCAAGCTTCTGTTTCAGGAACTGATGTCTATGAGCATTGCACCCCGCATGATGACCAGCTAAACACCAGCACTGCTGAATTACTACAAAAACAGGAGACAAGAGGAACTGGGCTTACTGTACTGAAGAGGAGGGGTCATTTCTAAATGTCAACTGAATGCACTCGCTTGCTCAGGCTTGACCTGTGTATGTCTATTTTGTCAAAGTATTTCTGATCTGTTATTGTTTTGGACGTGATACGTTAGTTGACTTTGTAAAATTTTGAATCAAATAAAGTAGTTTGTTTTTAAACATTTGGAGAGGGTTTTCCTGTTTGATAACCAGTAAAGGTCTTAGAAGTTATAGCTAAAGTGTGCCTGAAATGAGGTGCCCAGAACTTTGATTAGGACCCACTGGCATAAAACAAGCTGTGAATGGTGACAAGTAATCTGTTGTCTAACTTTTTGCTTCAAGCATGCTTATCACGACATGCAGTTTACTCTTGCCATGGTTCTGACCTCCAGTCCTTACTGGGGAACTCTTTCTGCAGCTCTGCAATTCAAATCAAGATGTAAACAGTCGTTCATAGCAGGTTTGGGCCCAATCCCATTTCACCCCTTTCCCCTACCACTTAGCCCTCTTAGCCCTCTGTTTTGCGCGTTCACGTCTAGTTAGGGTGTCCCAATTTTTGTTGAGATGGAGGGGTGGGGTGAAGTGTTAGGGCTACATGGCCCTCCAAACGGAGGTTTTTCAGAGTCACACTCCAAACAGTGTTATCAGGAAAAAAGAAAAACCGGCAAGATGGCTGCGCGAGCGACCAAAGAAACACACAAATGTGAGAATTTTCTCCGTTAAAAATTACAGTAACTATCGTATTATCTTAGTTTAATGTTGTTGTATTATTATTATTATGGTCGTTTTCTTCATAACAAGCATAAAAAAATCGCTAATAGCATGCTAATGTTTCGGTAGCTATCTTACTAGCTAGCTTCCCTTTCCACCTTAAATAGTCCAGCAGTGTTGACGCCTGAAGCGCCGGAATGTAACTGCTGCACCATTTAAGGTGGAACGGGAAACTTCGAGCAAGAAGCTGGCAAATAGCTGACCTCAGCTTCGTATCACCAAAGAATTAGCGGTGGGCGATAGTAAATGATTGTCTTATCCCCCTCTTTAAAAGCATTTGATGCGCAATATGTAGCTAAAGCCCAACAGCGAGGTTGTTTCTGAACTTTTCCCTTCTCTGCTATCACTGAAGACGGGCTGGGTCGCCTACTGAGCACCGCTAGTAGCTGTTAATGAAGCAGTTTTACTTAATTTTATTTTTTTTTTATTTGAGGGTCTCATTTCGTAGGGCAAGATTTCAACCACTACCCCTTGTAACTCAGTTCAAAGGGGTTAGGGTGACACTCGAAAACAAGGGGTAGGGGTAAAAAGAAGAAATGGGATTGGGCCTTGATGTGAAATGCCGTTCTCTGAAGAAACTTAGTCAGAACCGTTCCCAGTGGTGGTGATAGGAACTTACTCTTACTCTAAAGAGTAAAATGCCTCAGGTGCGGCCTGAGACATTGTGTCATCAAGATTTTGGCCTAAAATGTGTTATTTAAACTTCTTTCATGGTGCAGAGGTACATGCAGGGCATTGTAAGACAAAATAGTCCCCAACGAAAAGTAATTTTTGAGATTTACCACAATTTTACGATCAGCACTACATATAAAAACTCAGACACATGTAGGTTCACTGTTGTTTGGGCTAGTAAATAAAATGGCTATATTTGTGTTGTAGACATGGTGACCCCTGGTTCCTATTAGCACCACTATAAGGAAATCTGACACATTATTTCTATAATGAACCATTCATATCAACCCATTCTGAATAACTTTCATTACATCCACATTTTAATTATGACAGAGATTTTGAAAAATTGGTGGAATTCCCCTTTAACTATTTCATTAACTTTTGAGGGCAACTGTAACACCAGAAAAGGGAACATGCTCACACTATCCATGTTAGTACACAAAGAAGGTCACACAACACGTCACATTATAAACTTTATTTATTAGTGAACATAACATTTAAACAAATGTATTAGTAGTCCATAACCATGTTTAGGGTGTCTAAAGGAAAAAAAAAAGAAAAAAGTAAAATACTACTCTACAGTTGTGACAAAAAGATTCAAAATTCGTAGCACCCAAAGCCAAATGTGACATGCTAACAGTTTCCACCGTGTTGGAGTGTTTGCTTATTCCTTAAATATGTACATGATTCTGTATGGGTTTAACACTGTACTTCAGGGGTGTCCAAAGTTTAGCCCCGGGACCAAATGAGGCCTACTGGTGGCTTCTGTTTCAGAGTGAGTTATAAATGACCTGTCATTAGTATGCTGCAGTTCTTCCTTTCACCTGATGGTGGCAACAGTAACGTAAAATTACAGTGTAACAAACCACACTGTGGTAACGAAGTTAGCTCAAGTTAAAGAACTTTTCTTCTCTGACTAGACATGCTTACTGAAGGAAGTCTGGTCAAAACTACAGCCATAAAGCACAAATTTAACACTGAGAACTAGCAATTTTGACGAGATGGAAGTTTGAACTCTTTTCCATTGGGAGCCACAGCAAATGCATGTGTCTCATATTCCAAACAATTAATGAATTTAATATAAAAGTGGGTATTTATGCTTTAATAAAGTGATTTCTGAATGCAGTCGCCGCTCTTGATATGTAAAGAACACAAAGTCTAACAAAAGTATAGATTTTTGTTAAGTTTACCTAACAAATTATATGTAAGTAAAAACTTGAATAAGAATATACTTTTAATATACAAAAATGTTTTACTGTTATTCTTAAACAATTGAATTTTTTTGTATAAGTGCTTACCAAATTGAGCAAATCTGAGCAATCCAACAATAAGTCTTGTGCATCTTTTACACTATGATAGGAAACACAGCAGCTCACAGAGAGCCCTAATTCTATGCACGGATATTCTAAAATGTAATATTTTGAATCATTTTTGAATAATATCTCGGTATTTTGGCACAGTATGATCTCGGTCTCTTTGAAAGTTTGGACACCCCTGCTTTACTTGAACCCTGCTATATAACACTGACATAACCCTGCCATAAACGTGTCAGATGCCAGGGTTATGCTATTGTGAGTTCAGGCATGATTATATCAATTATAATTTTTCATGTACACTATTTGCTTCCCATTGAGGATCTTGAGGAAGTTATCCTGAATGAGGCAACCGGTGAGGAGAAAAAGCAACCTTTACATTCTTTTTCCATAGAATTTCTTAAAGAACCTTTCTAAAGAACCTTTCTGTGAGTCCCAACCGCAACACATACCGCTCCAAACAACCTTGTGTGTTCCAATGACAGTCGCATGGTCCATCTCTTTCACATACTGGCTTCCATAGCACCAAACATTAGATCAAGAGAAGTGATATAAAATTAAAAATGTGATATAAAACTGGATTTAAGCTCTCTTGATAAACTACCATGTGCACATGCCGATGCGTTTTTACACCCTGCATTCACATTCTTAAGTCTAACTCAGGCTTTTTTTGGCTCCTCAGCTCCACGAGTGTAACGTCTAGGCTACATGGAAAGAGTACATGATGTGAATAAAGACAAAATCCAAAACAAGCCTTATCTGAAAAGAAACTGCCAAGAGGAACAAAGACCGTGAAAGATAGGCGCGTACACTGTCCCGTACACGCGTGTGATTTCGCAGAGATTTCGTATGAGGCGCTGCACATGCTCACTTTGAGATGTTTTGTGCGTGTATCTCACGCAGATCAATCTGATGGAGTGTTCTGATGGGTGCTTTAGAGACTGCAAAGTTGTCTTGTGGGGAGATATGGGTGTTGAGTCGCCGAGTGAAGGATAAGATGGACAGGTTCGGGTCAAGTTTTGGTCAGTTTTCCACTCATACAATAAAATGGCAGTGCGAACGCTCAGGATTTCTCAGTGAGCCAGATTACATAAAGGGAACGAGACCAACAAAACAAGCTAGGATGGGCGATACCATTACCTTAACATATTTTAATATTGCTTCTTAGTTTCAGCTACATGTTTAGTAATATATTTGACAGAAATCTAAAATTTGACAGAATAGTATCTCCTGGGTTTGTCAAACACTAGAGGGCGCTGTCGTGCGAGCCCAAAATGAACAGGGTTATAGGACTTTATATTGGCACCTCGTACATTCATGACACCAGTGAGCGCAAACTGCTTCACTCAGTCAGTGAGCTGATCAGCTCGCCAACCAATCAGCACTCAGTAACAGTAATGCTACCCAATCAGCTCTCAGTAGCAGTAATGCTCACCAATCAGCACTCAGTAGTAGTAACACTACAATAAGCTCTCAGCAGCAGTAACGCTAGTCAACACTCAGTAGCAGTAATGCTACCCAATCAACATTCAGTAGCTGTAACGCAACAATCAGCACTCAATAGCAGTAATGCTAACCAATCAGCACTCAGTAGTAGTAATGCTACAATTAGCACTCAGTAGCAGTAACGCCACACTTCGCGCTCAGTAGCAGTAATGCTATCCAATCAGCTCTCAGTAGCAGTAATGCTGTCCAATCAGCTCTCAGTAGCAGTAATGCTATCCAATCAGCTCTCAGTAGCAGTAATGCTATCCAATAAGCTCTCAGTAGCAGTAATGCTGTCCAATCAGCTCTCAGTAGCAGTAATGCTAGCATCCTGCTACCCAAAACCTGTTTGCTGTAGAAAAAGGAAATTTACAGGTACGTTTTCTTGCTTTTATAGTTAAAATACATCCTTGTACTTTCCAAAATTAAAAGAAGGTCCTGGATAAATGGTTAGAAATTATTTTAACTTTTTGTTTTTAGCGGATTAGCTCCATTCACCCTCCATTCATTTAGGACTCGCTCGAGCGCCCTCTGGTGTTTGGCGGTCATGTTTTTGATACAACAGTAGGAAGAGGAAGTGGCCAGACTTCCCTTAATCTGACTCTGGGACTGCCTACATGCTAACCAGCATATCTAAAAAACAGAAGCTAGCCACATTAGCATGGCTCCATTTTCACAATGCTAAGTAGCAGCTATTCGCTTTCATTAACAGGGAGAAAAAGACCTACGTTATCGACTGGTTGCCTTCAAAACATTCTGAGTCACCATTCATTTCACCACAGAGAATTTTTTTATGACAAATTACTTAAAGCTAGAACTGTTGTGAAACATTTTGCAAACACATTAGCACAGTAGCTACAAGTACAGTATAATAGCAGAACATTTTGCTGAGCCATCATTTGTCTTTTAATGTCAATTAATCCTTAGTATCGTTGATATTGTGCCACATCTAACTAACCTGTGATGTGCTGCACCTCCAATTCATTGTCAACCTACGATTCGAATGCAAACAGCAGGGGGCGATCTGACCACTTTCCTTGTCTACCATTAACAACATTAGCCTCTTTTCACTGAACTATTTCCTCAAAGCCCATTTTAAAATGTCCTTAGCTTCTTCTCCTATAGGTTAGGCCTGACTTAAAGCTTAACTTATCTGGCTAACTGAGAAAACCCTGTATGAAATAACCCCCTGGTGAGTATCAGGTGTTTGTGAGTGCTAACTGTGTTGTGAAGTGCATAGCAGGTTTATGTGTATGTATGTGAGGGTGTTGACCCTGGTGGCACAGTGTGCAAGCATATACAGCAGTGTGTAGCTGGTCCGTGTCTGATCCTGATCCTGCAGGAGGTTCCATGAGGGCCCGCGACACACACGGCCCCGTTACAGCTCGTCGTCCTTGACCACTAGAACCATATACACAAAGTAAGAGTTGTAATCAGTCTCGCAATTCGTCACATCACATAATCAAAGAGTATACGCCTTACGTTGTTTCATAATCCACTGCATTTAAAAAAAAAAAAGAGAAATATAATAAAACATGGCTTAAAAACATCTGATCTATCTGGGCTTGGTCCTAATATTCTAATGAGCACACTTGACTGACATCCCTCAGTCACTCCTAGGTTGCTACACAGAACTAAACACAAAAACACGAGTGAAATGGGTGTTAGGTATGCAGGTGGTGTTGTAGACCCTGCTGTGTCAATGACACACTAAAAATATCCATCATTTACATGTGGATGGCTTAAAGAAAGTAAAGTTCTTATTCCCTTTGCTGCTATAAGTGCACATGGAATGCTAGTGTAAATGAATGCAGATGGATGACGGGCGGATAGATGAGCTAGCTTGCTGGCTCGGCTATGTTGGCTTCGTTAGCTTTCGCTTGGTTGTCAGCTTTTCCTCTGTAAGTTTATTCAACTAGAGGAAAGTAGTCAGAGATAGTAGAACACAGTTTTGTTAAAGCTGATTGGACGTGATAAACACATCAGCCTTGTGACTGGCAAGGATACTGCTTACGCACGTGCTGCCCAAATTGAGAACTGCCTAGTTTACATCTAAAGAGGAGAATTTAGGCTAAATACATCGGCCATTTATTGGGATCGGGAAGTTATTCAGAGGATATACCTTGTGCATGTATGTTGCTTGCCCACAAGAGCAAGATTAATCCCTTAAAATCCTGGGTTTATTACACACTAATGCTTATTATTCAGCAACTACAGAGGCTTCAGTACAAACTGGCTGAGCTATTGTTAAGTTAAAGATGTATGTAATGAAACTTTGGGAGCACTGGTGGGCCCTGGCTATTTAAACGATTAACTTTCTTAGACTGAAAGCAGATTTAATAAGGACCAACATGATAAATTATGTTGAAAGTTTATTTTATTATATAAGTTATATGAGTACAGTGTAAAAAAAACCCAAACTTGATGTTTATTGCTTTCAATGCGACACATTCTATGTAGTATAGCAGTGCTTTGTACTGTACCTGCTACATGATGGCTACTCAACGAATCCAGTAAACGGTGGCCTTAAGCTGGAGCCAACTTCAGACACCAAACATGTCTGGTAAAGTATATTTGGGGTGAATGTAAAAACTGCATACATTTGAACTTTAGAGCGCCAAACCTTCTTAAACAGGGTTAAATACCAACCAGTCTTTCCCTGCAGCCAGCAGCTGATAGCGTGTTGAGACAGGAGCGGAACGCTAAAGGCCTTGGATTATTCAGAAAACTGGCACCAGGTACTGCATGCTGCTGCCAAGGTGCCAGTTTACAGCCACATGGTTTCTGGTGTTTCAGAAAAGGCCATATACATCCTATGCTATTCTACAAAGAACCTGTAACTTGAGGAACATGGATGCAGCTGCACTGGATGATGTTGTTGAGATCCAGTAAGCCATTGTCTTGCAGTATTATTATTAATATTATAATTATTATTTTTATTTAAAATGTCTTTCCTGGGAATTGCACTTTCCTAAGGTGTCAACAGCAGAATTCTCACTTCTATTAATATATTCATAGTAACTGAAGTTAGTCTTGATAATAGTAGTTGGATAATCTACCAATCTGATTCACTTCATACGGCCCATCATGTCATCATGTATTTACAGTTTTATCCTTTTACAGTTTAACCTTGCTAGCAAATGTTTTTTTTTTTCCCCCCCCAATAACTTCACCCACATTCAGCAAGAGTCTCATATAATTTTACTGTTAACTGTAGTTATACTTTGTTGAACTGAATGCTGAAATATTTATCAAACGTTCTATGTATTTACACCACAACTACTAGTAATAATAACAGTAATAATAGTTATTACTAGTGGTGACGGAAGAATTGCTAACTAATTGCTAAATGCTGACTAAGACATGCCTAAATTAGTGTACATGTTATGTAATTAATGTTATAATAATTAAAGTATATTTAGAATTTATAGATAATATAACAATGGTCAGTCAAATTTCTATCCATCCTAGACACCCTACTGAACAGCATCTCCTTGTGGAGAATCTTCTACCTGCTAAACATGAGTGAGCAAATATAGTTATATGCTAGTTTCATTAAGCGATGTGCATTTTTATCATGCAAATTGTCAACTTATTCGATAATCACGGATTGTTTTAGCAATCGATTTTAACTGTGTAATTGTGCCAGCCCTAATATAAACATTTAACTGCTACACATGCTATTGAGGACATACAAAATGGTCACTCACTCTTCTTGGTGGGGATGTCACTGATGGAGTCCACCACATGGATGGTACCCACAGCCGAGGCTTCGCCTTTGGCATTGCTGGCATGGCACTCGTACGAGCCTGCATCCTCCTTAGTGAGTGGAGAGATCTGAAACACACAAACACGCTGTTATCTCCCCCCATCATCTGGTTCTGTACATACCAGAGCTGTCTCAGAGAGAAAGTGGTGGTCCCAGATCAGCAAACACTTGTACTAGGACACTGGAGGCACCAGTCTCAGAAGTCTGGAATCACTGTTATGTAAAACTAGACTGATGTATACAGTGATTCCACTTCATAGGTTTTAAAGCTGTAAACAGGACACTGTAGATGTGTCTAATGCAGAGCTGTAGATGAAAGCTATATAAGAATGAAGCTAAATTATACAATATACAGTCATATACAAACATTTGGACACCCCTAACCAAACTACATGTTTTGTTGAGGTGAAAAATAAGCACACATCCTCTACCGAGAACACACTTCTGCATATCTGAATGCCCAATTACTGTTTATTTTCTGAATTTAACATATTAGGGAAAAAAACATAAAACCTGGCCTGTGTAAAAGTTATGGCTTGTTTTATATGTTAAACTTAGCAAATAAATCAAAAGTATTTCTACAGTTTGTAGAAATATGCAATATTTAAGTTTGTTCCTGTATAGGATGTATTATTTTGTATTTTGACCAGGGCTGGTCAAACTTTTGCATGTGATCATACATAATATTAATTTTATAAATATAAATATGAATACCTTGTAGTTCAAAAGTGGTGATCAAATCTCTGGGAAGCTAATTTGAAAGGAAAACACAATAAACGGACATTGATAATGTATTTTTTATCATATAATTTAGGTTCTTGTTATTTCTAAAAAAAACTTAAAACAAATTACATATTCTGTTGAAGTGAAAATAGGTGAACATATCCTCTATAGGGAACAAAAAGTGTGCCATAACTTTTGCACAGGCCGCATTTTATAGTTGGTCACTAAAGTTTTGCATGTGACGGTCTATTTTGTGTCTAGCGTCTAGTTTGTACTATTTCAATCTTCTAAGGCTATTACTGCAAGTGACTTCAAACAGCATATTTGAAAAACACTAATAATCTTGAAGTGTTTCACTGTGCTTTCACACTGAACTACTTTCTGGCAACTGACAATCTGTTTTAATGGTGCAGACTGCGTTAAGGACAAGTTCTTATGGAGCTTATGGAGTGTTGTGTCATCAGCTTTGTGCAAAAACAAAACAGAACAGAACCTCTTTTGTGCACTTTTACACAACCAAAGTCAACTTGCAAAGCTCCAGACTGTGACTAAAATGGTTGCAATTGTGACCACAATTATTAATTTGCGAGTAATAATATTAATTAACTTGCAAGTGGCGACAGGTAGCAACTTTTACTACGATTATTATTATTTTTTATGGGTAACTATTACTATTGTTCTGTATTTATTACGTTTTTGTGTGTATATATTTTCTTTTATCATTTTTCATCTTAAAACGTTACTGATGTCGGCGTGTAGAAAATGGCGAAGTGAAAAATATCAGATGTTTCACACAATCTACATCTCTTTCAGACCTTAAGAGGTCATCTGCTCAACCTCAGTCTGACTCAGTTAGGACCAGTGAAACACTGTAGTGGTAACACCTCTGCCTTCTGCACTGTAGACAGGGGTTCAATCCCCCACCTGGGTAAGCACCCTACACTATGCCAATCAGAGTCCTTGGGCAAGACTCCTAACACTACCTTCACCTACCTGTGTAATAATTATCAAAGCTCTGGATAAGAGCGTCTGCTGAATACCATAACTGTAAATTTCAGAACTTCTTGGCTTCAGGAATTTGCGTGGCTCAGATATGATAACATAAAGCAGACTATATTGCGAATTCTGTTCGAAAGCAAGCAAAGATGTAGCTGGAAAATGGATTTCTTAACAGGAACGAATCATTTAAAAAATAACAGACGGTGAAAAAACACTGCGAGAGTTGAATACATAACCCTGAATTTACACCGGCTGCGTCACGACGCGACAAAGCGGACAGAGGTCATTCATTTTCAATGAGATCTGGCGACAGGAGGTGGCGCGAAAATTGGCAAATGCGAAGTGGGTGGAGTTGGAAGTGATGTGGCGATTGCCAACAGGTGTAGTACGCGCTTATCTCCATCACTGTAAAACGGTACGGTCCTTTTTCAGTTCCTAAATAATTGTTCCTACTAGAGGTGGAATAAAGGTGGTGGTGAGTTTTCCTGACTGCACAGACATGGGGATTAAACACAAATAAGCCAATGACCAATCATTTGGGCGACAAGAGGTGAAAAGTCGCTGGTGGTATGAACGCAGGATAAAATCGCACATGATTTTATCGCTCCTACAGAAACCCCCTCACTCGCTCAGATGACAAAGAATTAATAGAGCTTAAAATAACATTCAGCACAGCCTACATGATAGCAGGTAAAGAACTACCCTTTACCAAAGTCACCTCCCAAATCTTGCTAATGAAAAACAGCAGATTACATGTGTCAAGAATCAGGCAGAGATACTTAAAGGGGAATTCCATCGATTTTTCAAATTTTCTGTACAATTCATTCAGATTGTTTTAATGTGACATGGTTCGTTTGCAGAGAACTTACAGACTCATGTCTTTACAGTGATGGTGATAAAAACCAGGACTCTTGATGTCTACAATGCAACTGCAGCCATTCCATTTACTATCCAAAACCACCAGTGAACCTACGTGTGTCTTCTCAGTTTTAATGTAATGTTGATGATGGTAAAATAGTGGTAAAGCTGAAAAGTCTTTGGGGACTATTTTGCTTTAGAACACTCTTCATGTATCCCTCCACCATGAATGGATTCAAATGAACTGATTAAAATATGTTTAAACCAAAACTTTATCACAAAGTTGCTGCAAAACAATGTCTCAGACATCAGGCAGTGTATTCATAACCATTTCATGTAATACCTTTCTGGGAGGAAGCTTTTAGAGATGTAACTCCTCTGATGTTTGGTTCCTATCATCATCGCTGTTAACAGTTCTGACTCAAAGTCTCTCTAGAACAAAGCGTTTCATACCAAACCACTCTGCATGATTTTGCTGACATGTTAACCATTTATTATGCCGAAATTTTGAAAAATTGGGTTGCCCTTTAAATCACAGAGCTGACTCGGGGTAACACAAAGATTTATTTTTCTGCATATTATTATCTGGCAAAAAATAAGCTATTGGCATCTGACTTGTCTGCCATAGTCTGTTGAAAACACCACTACAGACATAACAGTTACATCAGATGTGTTAATGACTCATGGTATAAATCAGATAATTAATTAGTGTGGTTAGGGAAGCTGGTGTGGTCCAGAGGGCTTACCAGGACCCAGCCGGTGACCTCGTACTTCTCTGGACCTCCGCGCATCTGGATGGCCAGATTATCTTGGTCTCCAGGGAGAAGCAGCATCTTTCCCTTGTCATTGCTGATCTACAGAAAGCAAAACATCACCCATTAAAAAAGTAAAATCCAAGAGGTGAACAGTAGAAGTAAAACTAAACTAGATTTAGTTAAGCAACCTTTCTCATCCATCTCAAGTCAAACGATCATGTTGTCTCTATGACAGTCATAGGCTAAAGAACCTTTCTCTGAAGAACCGTTTCTGTAAATGAGATTTGTGAGTGTGAAGAACCTTTTTATAGTTTAAACAACCTCCACAAAACATAACTGTTCTAAACCAATTAAAGACTTTTCTCTAGAACCATATACTTTTAAAGATAAAGATGCCAAAAAGTGTTCCTTGTGTGATGCCAGAGAAGAACCATTTTTGGTTCCCTAAAGAACCTTTCAATGGATGGTTCTTTAGCGAACCATTTTTGTAAATGAGATGTGTGAGTGTGAAGAAACTTGTTAAGGAGTAAGCAGCCTCTGCATAAAGTTAAGGCTCCAGGAAGAACCCTTAAATTGGTGAAGAAACTTTACATTATGTGGCAGTTCTTTAAACCTTTAAACCTTCTGGACGCTCACAAATCTCAACTGTTATCTCAAATATTCAAGCATGGTTCTTTAGGGAACCAAAAGCGTTTCTTCTGTGTTTCTTGTGTTACTCTGAGAACTTTTTGTGGCGCTTTTTTAAGAGCGTGCATCCAAGCAAAGAACCTTTTAGGAGCTTGTATTTTTGGAAAGTTTTTCAGGCTCACTTTGTCTTGTAAGAGTTCTACAAGAAGTTGAAAAGAAACTTAAAATATTAAAAATTAAAAAATTGTTGCCCTCAATAATACCTTTCTGCACTGCACAGGAACTTTTTAGGATCATTTAGCGACCATTCAGGGTCTGCTAATTTCCCCAAAAGGCTCCTTAGGGGCCTTTAAGAGCTGAAGAAGTGTTGAAGAATTCTAAGACATAAGTCGGCTCTGAGGAGATGATATCAGAATTTGAGAACCATGAGATCTATTATAATGGAAAGCAATGAGAATTCAATGAGATCAGTCCAAGATTTGCATGATCAAAAGCAAACAAGCTTGATCTGGGTCACTATTTCAAAAATACCAAAGTTACACATTACACCACCTTCAGGGAGCTCTGGACCTCCATTCATTCAACATGTGAGAGCACTGACACAAAGTGAGCTGACAGCATGATGAACATTCTCTAAACACCTCCAGCAAAAACACATTTTTTCCGGAGGTCGATCTGATGGCATGTTGGTTTTGCTGGAGTTCTGCTGATGCCTGATTGAAAAGTGATGTATGTGTCTTCTCAGGAATTCACCAAGAGCCTCGCGTATCTGCTTTTGACTGAACTTTTCATTGAGATGTTCTACGCTGTGACAAGCACACAGTAGGAACCGTTCCGTTTCTCCACTGTAGAGATTTCAAGAGAGATAGGTGTTCACAACCCACAACCTCACAAACCAGGGGCTGGTAAGTGTAGGACAAAAGCTTTTTAGGCACAGTAATGTGCAGTAAAAACGGCCATTAAGTACAAGTTATTCATTTTTCAGAAAACAATTTCTGAGGAGATACAACATGATCCACTCTGGCTTCCTATCAGAAAAAATCCACAGGTGTTTTTATCCATTCTTCCACTGTGAGAAGATAACTCGGTGCTAAGGGTCTGAAAGGATGTGTAGCTGTCAAGAAGGAGTAACTGTAAAAAATAAATTTGCACATTAAACAAAAAAGCTGCTGGTGTTCTCAGAACAGTGGACTGACCACCCCAGAGTCCAGACCTTAACATCACTGAATGTGTTTGGGATTATTTGGATCGTGAAAAACTTCTAAGGCTGAACTTTGGAGGAGTGGAAAAACATCCACAGTTATTACTGTCAGGCTGTGAAAACACAACACATTGTAGATTCATACTGAACTATAATCATTTCATCAAATAACACAGACTGTAAAAACTACACACCACAATATTACTGTCAGACTGTAAAACTGCTAATACTGCAGATTCATACTGGGTTAAAATCACTCCACATTTATTACTGTCAGACTGTAAAAACTACACACACTGCAGATTCATACTGGATTAAAGTCTCACCACAATTATTAGTGTTAAATCTTTAGTTTAGTTACACAGCATATGCCTGCATATCACACAGTGTACACCTCTGGCCTTAGGGAACTGATAGAGAATTTCTGGTATAGTCATGTTTGTTGGCATGTAGAGGATGTTAGCTGTAATGGGCAATGATGTGATGCCATTTTGGACGGAAACTTCCTCTCCTAAATCCCTCCCTTGTTTCCGGCCCTATTGTTGCTGTATGGTGTTATTCATAGCTGCATGCATCCTTTCACACAGTCTGAGCCATACTGTACACACACACACACACACACACACACACACACACTCACACACACACACACACACACACACACACACACACACACACTCACACACACACACACAGAGACTCAATGACTCACTGCCTAGTTTTCTGACTGGGTTAACGGTCAACTAAGGAGAATTAGTGGAGAATGTAAAGCTGCTAAGGGCCACCTTAAGCATGCACAGCGTCATTACATTGTCAGTTATGGCCAGAAGACAGCATTTCATTTAATTTTACAACTGTATATCTGCATATTTACTAAGAAATGATCATGTGTGGTAACTGATGGAGTCGGATGCAGCAGATAGACATTAGGTTGAAAAACGCTGCCGTGTTCCTTTAAAGCGTCAGTAAAATCATTCAGGACTGTGTCTCTGAAGTGTACCTTCTTCCAGGTGACCACAGGTGTGGGGACCCCGATCGCCTCGCAGCTCAGGAAGACCTGTGAGCCCGTCACGTTCCACACCTCTCCAGGAGGAGTCACAATGGAAGGAGCTGAGAGAGAGGAAGGTTGCAGTGAGAAAGGAGAAGGGAGAAAAAGAAAGGATGAGAGAAGAGAGAGAGAGAGAGAGAAAGAGAGAGAGAGAGCGTTAGAGCGAAAGTGTGCATGTAACGACATCTTATCATTCACAACCCTTAACAGCCTTCATACAAACCTTTACAACAAATTCCACAGAAAGTTAAGTCCAAATGATTTACAGCTCTGTTCTTCAGGCCAGACTGTTACAAATGAGGGCTAATCTACTTCTGCATAGATCATTACGGTCCTGTTTCACTCTGACTGGACCTCACTGAAGGTTTAGTTATCCACTTCACAAATGTTCCAGTTTGTAAATCTGAGTATTTCTACTCACACAGCTTGATATTCTCTTAACAGCAGACAAAATACATGAACACCTTGAAGTGACTCTTTGATTTTAAAACCAAAAAAGACAAAGCAAATCTGCTGTACTACTGTGGTCATGTGCTGTGTGTATTCCGGCTGGGAGTGACAGCATATGGCTGCAAAAAGGCCATTTTGAATTCGTGACTGTGATGTCATAACCATGACCATATTCACATCACTGCCCATTCACCATATAGCAGTTTAGCCTCTCCCATTCATGCTGAAGTGATATGAAGTGTTGTTCTTGCAGATGTTCAGCAAAAGTCATTAAGAGTTGAAGATGTAGGGAAAACAAAAAACTAAGTAGTCTGGCTGTCCTGAAATTGTGAGTTCATTGAAGTTCTAATGGTAACTTTACAGAACAATAAACTGTGTTTTACATCCTGTTCCCGTATTATTTGAAGCTCATTTGAAGAATTTTGCAACCAGCTTGCTTACTTTTTAAGTTAAAGGGTCCTATATATTTACTAGTGTCACCGATACTGGCGCTTAAACGCCGTATCGGTATCGGTGATGGGGATACCGATACCTGTGACCGATACCACAAAGCAATGCATGCCAATAGACAGAACTTAACGACACGTCAGCGGTTTGGGACGACAAGCCGCAGCAAAAACACTCTTGGTAGAACAGCAGAACGGTGTAACGGCAGCATTTGGTGTGAAAAACAAGCTAACGGAGCCGCTTACCTGGACAGCTGAACTGCTTCTTTCAGCAATCACTCGTCTGCTGCTGTGTTGCCACACAGTCTGAGTTAATGTTACTGACTGAGCTGAAGGAACCACCGGACTCTCGGCGTAATGATAGCCTTTAGCCTCAATTTAGCCCTTACCACAGCAGCCTGCTAGCTAGGCCTGTGCGTCCGCTCAAAGCCAGAAAAAACACTAAAAGTCGCTAACACTGACAGCGTGACCGACGGTGAAATTTACGGAATTGATGCTCAGAGATGCAGCGCAATTGAACAAGATGTATGTATGAGACAAATGACTTGAGAAATTCGAATGTGAAACAACATTCAGCTCCGTTTTTGAGCCACAGAAGCTGTTGTGCGCTGATGTGTGAACACCACAGGTACACTGTTCAGTCCTGTTTTTCACAGTAAAGATATTTTACGTTTACTTAAGTTGTTAAACTAATTATATAATAGTAAATACTAAATATATACAGTAAATAAACAAAAATAAGCATCTAATAAATATAATCTAACAAGTAAATGCCACCTAGCCTGTGCTAGGTGGCATTCATGGTAATTCATGGTAATTTTGAAACTGTAACTATGTTTACATACTACATCAAACTCTCTAGTGTACACAAATGATGAGGAAAATCGGCCCTTTAATACACTGAATCTTTTTTTTTACAGTATATTTATTTGTTTGTGTCTAATTAACATCTCCAGTCAACATCAATCACATTAATGTTTTGTTTGCTTGTCATGCCAATTAAGTTTAATTTGACTGATTTGATTGACAGAGAGAAAAAGAGAGAGAGAACGAGAGACACTGCGCCAGAGAGGCGTTTACATTTACAGACCCTGCTGTTAATCCAGAGCCATCATGCAGCTGTAATGAGCTGTGTGAAGGTTCAGTGGTGTGAACAGCCCTCTGGATTTGCCTTTAACAACAGCGCAGCTCTGTGTTCCTAAGCGGGACGCTGGTGTTTGATCAGAGTACGTCTCCCATTCACCGCCCCAAATCCCCCCGGGAGGCTGGAATTTCAGACATGTCTGTTCAGCGACGGGGAAACGGGTGCCACCCTGCATAAACACAACAGCATCCAGCCTGATCTACTGCAGGCGTGACGAAGTGTGGTGTGTTTTTATCTATCACACAAGCCTTCTTAACCGTTTCCAGGGTAACGTCAATCACCAGGTTGGGAGATATTTCAACCTGCGTCTGTCTGCTGTGGAATTTATGGATCTCTGGTCCTGAAGCCAGTCTCACAAAGTTTCTGTCTCATTTACAGAGTTACATCAACATGGCTGTGTGCTGTACATCTAACCTGCTTCAAGGCAGGTTACAGTCACGATTTTGCACCATAAACAGCTTCACACCAGGAACAGAACTCTGACAGAGGTGGACTGGTTAGGTCCCTTTGTTCTTTGTGATGTTTAGAAGTTGTTTTGTCTGCTTCTCACCATCCAAGTAATCCCAAACACCCAAAACTGCACCGAAGCCTCAGTAATTAAAGGCAGTGTCACTCTTCTTCAGTACTTACTGTGTCCACTCTTTGCCGTTATTACTTTCTTTTCAAAAGACTCGCTTTCAGTTTTTAAAGAAATCTGCAGAGATATTTTCCACACCTCCAAAGTTCAGTCTTAGAAGTTGGTTGCACTTTCTGCTTCTCACCATCCAAGTAATCCCAAATACGTTCAGTGATGCTGAGGTCTGGACAGCTACTTTGTTTGATATCTTCTTTTTTGTCTTTTTTTCTTTTCTCAGTAAGAGCTTCTTGACAGCTACACATCCTTTCAGACCCATAGCTTTGAGGTGTCTTCTCACAGTGGAAGGATGGCTGTAGACTTTTTTTAGGACTCCTTTTTTTAAGAGTGGGGCTTGATTTTCTCGAAGTGCTGTTGAGTCCTTGGCTCTACACAGAATCTTTTTGAAAATGATTCTGAATAGCACCAAAAGGTGCTATTGTTACGATGTCCAGTTTTTTCAAAAAGGTTGAAAAAACACACAACACATTCTCCTTAAGTCTGAAGAATCATTTAAGCATGCAAATAGTTCTTTGTTCATTGCTTCTATATAGAGTAGAGGTGGGATAAAATATCGATACAACGATATATTGTATCGCTTTCTTTTGTGATACGTTATCGGTACACTGGCACTGAATATCGATTTATTAATTGCAACATGCATGCGCTGCAAACAAACTAAACAGACTCCCCCTCCAATTAGATTTCTTCAGCTTCATGGTGGCGCTAAGATGTTAATCAAATAAATAGAGTAAACCTGCGATAAAGAAAAAGAAACTCACAGCAGAGAAATGGTGGACAACTGAGGAAAACAAATAAAAAAAGGCACCGTCCTCTTTCAAGTCGAAGATCTGGGCCCACTTCGGCCTTTACAGCATTAAAGGGACAAACGAAAATGCTTGAAATGCATAGCCACCTTCGTTGTCATCATCCTGATCTGTTTGTTGAGAAAACAGCTGCCACAGTTGCCACAACTCGAAGTCAGCCTACAATTAATATAGTTTTTAAAGCAAAACTTTCTTTTACGTCCCCAACGGCTACCAGTATTACTAAATCTATCACTGGGTTTATTTGCAAGGACCTTCACCCATACAGTGTAGTCGAAAATGAAGGTTTTCACAAAATGCTCCAAACCCTGGAACCAAGATATGACAGACCGGGCCAGAAATATCTCACTGAAAACGTTATTCCAGCGTTGTATGCAAAGATGAGAGCAAAGGTGGAGGATGCACTTCAATCTGCTGAGAGTGTTGTACACACCTGCGATGCATGGACTTTTATATTAGTAGTGAAATTCAGTGAAACTGACACTAATTAAGTACATAATTCCTGCTATTTGCCTATTTAGGAGCATTTTATTTTCTTCACTTACACAGATGTTGTAATGTATTGTAGAGGATTGAGTATAATAGAATCGCAGTATCGTGATATCATAATTATCGTGGGCAACATATTGTGATAATATCGTATCGTGAGATGCCCTGTGATTCCCACCCCTAATATAGAGCCACTCTTTTAACTAAAGAACCCTTGAACCAGTGTAGGCTTGTATAACTTCCATAGAAAAGCCTAGCCAATATACTGAGATGGTCTGGGGCGGGCACACACTAGCCACCATGTCCATCTAGTGTCAGCTAGAGGGGTATAAAGTAGGGTGACTTCATACCCCTCTAGTAGAGGGCTATAAGTTTAACGTAAGTTGTTCATGAAAACCGCACTCAAAAGCACAACTATATTTTAATATATATATATTAATAGCATTTAATATATATTTAATTCGCTTAAGTTGTTGTAAGTTGTTCCAAAATGTTGTTGTTCCAACTTTGTAAGTTTCCGTTTACTATGTATTAAAGTGTGTTCAAAGAGTAAACATTAAATGTATGTACTAAAATTTTACATATGCTTTTAAAAAGTACAAAAAAAGTACAAAAAGCCTTGTTTTTTTTTGGATAGTAAATAAAATGGACAGTAAATGTGTTGTAGACATGGTGCCCCCTGGTTCCTATCACCAACACTGTAAAGAAATCTGAGTCTCTACAAATGAACCACTTTACACCAAACCACTCTGAATGACTGTTTACATCTTAACCTTTAATTATGCACAAATTTTGAAAATTCGGTGGAGTCCCCCTTGAAGGTGTATGTGATGCACAACAGCTTCTTCAAAGTTAGTACCGACTTCAGCCTCTCACTCACCTCTCTGGCACTTGCCCTTGTGCTGCACCTTGATGGCAATCTTGCCCTCGCTCTCCGCGCGCGCGCTCGCTGCCTTCAGCTCGCACGCGGTGCTGTAGCTCACGTCGTCCGTGCCGCACACCTCGTAGTCGTTCTTGCACATGCACACGCCGGTCCTGCTGCCGCTCTTCTTCTCCTTCTTGCTCTTCACGCACTCCAGACCCGGAGCGCAGCGCGCGGCCGTGGGGCCATTGCGCGGGCCACACGGTTCACCCAAGCCGGGAGCGCGAGAAGGGGACTCGGACTCGGGCGCGGAGGACCGCTCCGCGCTCCCGTCGGCGGCGACGGAGAGCCACAGCGCGAGCGCAAGGACGAGGAGGCGAAACATGACGAGGCCAGCGCAATGTGGCGCAGTGGCGCGCGCAGCGGGCAGCGAGAGACGCGGCTACGCCCACAAAACAAAGCAGACACAAAACCTTGCCTGCTGTGGGCGGGGCTTCCCATGTAGGCACTGAAAGTTGATATAGTTTTATAAATAAAGAAATTAAAGGGGAACTCCACCATTGTTTCAAAATTTCCGCATAATGAAATGATGTGAACAAAGTCATTCTGAGTGGTTTAGTCTAAAATGCTTCGAGTCAGACCTGTTTATATGGTGGTGATGGGAACCAGACATCTGAAGAGTTAAAAGGGAAATTCCACTAGTTTTTCAATATTTCTGCATAATTCAGTGGTTGAGCTAAAACAAAGGCGTGAAGTGGTTCAGTGTAGAGAACTACTGACTGATTTCTTTACAGTAGTGGTGATAGGAACCAGGGGTCCCGATGTCTACAATGGAAAGTAGCCGTTTTGTTTACCTTCCACAACCACCAGTGAACTTACAGGAACCTTCTGAGTTTTATATGGAATGTTGATGATGGTAAAATAGTGGAAAAACTGTTTTCTTTGGGGACTATTTTGCATTTGAACACCCTTCATGTATCCCTCTACCATGAATGGATTAAAATGAATGGATTGAGATGATAATTTTACAGGAGGAGGAAAAAACACACTTTAGTTTTAATGTAAGTCAATGGAACCAGACTTTTTTCCCCCCCAAGTAATTTTGGGCCATCAAAAACTAAAAAAAAACGACAAAAATGGAGATAGAAGGTTTTGTTCTGACAGCAGCGATATGTTGAGTTTTGGATGCTGATATGCTGGCCAACCCAATGACCAGGCTGGGTGACCAGCTAAACGAGCACAAGACCAACATAAACCATCATTTTCTGCAGGGAAATGGGCCGAACCATAAAAAGCAGTCCTGTAGTCCGACATCAAATCAACATCAACAACTCCTTATAAATGTTTTCATTTTATCATCATTTATTTGAAAGGTACTTTCTGAATGGACACCTACACAATCAGACTAAAGTTGATCAATGCAACGCTAAATGCTGATATGATGTCTTCTACACGAGCTACACAAAGACTGCATGCATTCATCTTTATATTCAAACTGGATGTTTCATAAATTGGTCGTTCTCATAAAACCACCTCAAACTGTGTCCATAAATATGTGGCAATCATGAAGCAGATCAACAACATTCACATAATATAGTAGATCAGTTGGTGCTCTATAAGGATAGCAAAAGATACATGTTTCTCTCTTATTATAAACTTTTTGGCTAAATACTTTTTCTAAAGTATATATGTTTTAATAATTAGCTTTAAAAAAAATCAAACACCAGTATACAAATAATGGAAAACAGTTGCATTATTTACAAATTTATCTTCATCACTGAGTTGTGGTAATGAGATTATAGAGATTTTAGTCACTTAAATCGGAAAAAGTTACTAAAAAATCAATTTAAAATCAATTATATCATTCAGGTTTATTTCTAATCAATCATTCAACCAGGCATCACTGCTTGCATACCCATTGACCTGTGAGCCTAATCTAGAGCTTGTTCAACTTCTATAATAGAATTTAATTATTCTTAAATAATTAAAACACAGCTCCACCTCCAGATGATCAGGATAGCGCATATCAGGCATTATACGTTCCACACGAACTCCTTTCCACCACTTCTTAAGTGTAATCATTCTGATTTACTGCCGCCACCGTTCTTACTGCAATACTGTTTCGAGTTCAGCCAGAGTTCTTTGAAAGAAGTCGGGCTTAGAGACGGTTGCTAAGCAGTGATTGGTAGAGTGTCGTGTCGATCATTGTATTGCAATGATGGTCAATCATGATCCACAAGATGATTTGTAAACTCATCTGATGGCCAGATAAGAACCATAATTGTGCCAGACCTGGCTTGTGGGTGAATTATAAAATTCTCTTACTGACTTACAAAGCACTAAACGGACTCGCCCCTCAGTACCTGAGTGAACTTCTCTCTCATTATGAACCATCACGCCTACTCAGATCACAAGGTGCTGGCTTACTATTAGTACCTAGAATTAATAAAGTTACATCAGGGGGGAGAGCCTTCTCATACAAAGCCCCCCAGCTTTGGAATTATCTTCCTGTTAATGTTCAGGACTCAGACACAGCCTCAGTCTTTAAGTCTAGGTTAAAAACTTACTTGTATAGTCAAGCCTTTGGTAATTAGTTTTCCCTGTCAGTTCTATACCTGCCAGAGTCTCCGCTGCTCTGCGAACACTGTAATTTGTGATCAGTCACCCATTACAGTACTGACTCTCTGTGTGTTTTTCCTTTCTTTCTTTTCTTTGCCGAGTTGAACAGCTGCCCATCCTGTGCGTCTGATGCTGCTGCCTCTTCTGCCTTGATCAGGTGCCACTGCTTGCCGTGCAAACCTCACCCCCACAACCTGACCCCACTGATGCTGCTGCTGCATGAACTAATCAAATTAATCATTTGCTCCACCTGTTTTCCCTGTTTTTGTCCTATAATACTTTATACTAACAATGTTTACTATCCGGTGTCGACCAGAGGAGGATGGGTTCCCCTTCTGAGTCTTGGTTCCTCTCAAGGTTTCTTCCTGTTTCTCTTAGGGAGTTGTTCCTTGCCACTGTCGCCTCTGGCTTGCTCATGGGGGCTTGGACCCGGATTTCTTTCTGTAATGCTGATTTCCTTGTAAAGCTGCTTTGTGACAACACCTGCTGTAAAAAGCGCTATATAAATAAACTTTGCTTGCTTCCTTGCCATATATTTGACACTCAGGGGCTAAAGAATGACACAAATTGTATATCAAAAGATGGGCTACAGTCTCTAACTGTATGCCAGCAAGGTGGAACTACAAGCTCAGGGCAGTTTCTAATAAAGTGGCCAGTGAAAATGTAGATATTCAGGCGGATGTGTTTACAGCAGCTCTAAAACATGATATCCGCCTGCAGAAGTGAGTGTTCAACCAGCTCAGGCCAACAGCTGCCTTTACAGAACAATATCTTTTATGTTTGGTAAATAAATGTAGTGGTAATATAAATTCACAACATTCAACATGTTTAAAAGTTAGATTATGTTCTTTTGTGGGAAAATTTGTCTTCTTGTGGTTTGCATAAAATTACCAATAAATGAATGATTATTATTTTTTTTTTTTAAATTTTCAGATGATATTTACCATCACTGGGGGTTCCTGCAGTAACTCAGTGAGGAACAGGCCCTGGTGGTGCAAACGAAACTGTGCAGAACCAGGGTTTTCCTCCAGGATCACACAGCTGTGAGAGGTTGAGGCACAATCGTTACCGTTTTTCACAGACAAAATATCATAACTCACAAATGAAAAAGGACAACACTGCTGAGTGGGATCTTCAACAGTTTATTTCCATGTAGAATTCAGCTTGACTGTGGATTCCCCACTTCGTAAGTCCCTTATAAATACTTTCATACATGAACATAACATGCCAAACAAATAAAAGAGCACATCCCAGAAATAACAACGAATGAAAGTGAGCCACCAACTAGCGTTATTAAACTGTGTCCATTCATTGTCTTCAATATTAGCAAGTGTGGCTGAGCTATTCCTTAATAGGCATTATGTTGGTGGTTCTGCTTACAGTATAAACAGAACTGTGCGTAAGTCAGAGACCACCAGTCAAAATGGTTATTAAGTACAAGTTATTGATTTTCTTTTTTCAGCAGAAAATATACAATTAACAGCAAATTGCACATAAGCCTCAACATATATTTTTTCCTCAGTATGTAACGTGTCCACTCTTTGCTTTTATTACGGCTTCCATGGTTTTCCGGGGGCCTTACATTCAGTTTTTCAAAGAAATCTGCAGGGATATTTTTCCACACCTCCAAAGTTCAGCCTTAGATGTTTTTTTCTGCGTCTTACGATCCAAGTAATCCCAACCACATTCAGCGATGTTGCGGTCTGGACTATGGAGTGGTCAGTCCATTGTTCTGAGAAAACCCGGAGTGTCTTTGTTTGATTTGCAAATATTCTTTTTTGTCTATATTTCTTTTTTCTCAGTAACAGCTTCCTGACAGCTTCACATCCTTACAGACCCATAGCACTGAGTTGTCTTTTCACAGAGGAAGGATGGACAAAAAATTCTGTGGATTTTTTCAGATCTGAAGCAGCTTGATATTCTCCTCTCTCTCGAAGTTGAAAGCTTTAAGTGCTGTTTATCTGATGGGGACAGTTTTGATGGTCTACCAGGTCTTTCAGGTGGTTGTTAGGAGTCCAGTTTTCTCTGCATTTTTAATAAATTTTTAAATTCAGTTTTGGAAACATCTGAATCCTGCAAGTGGATTATCATACATCTTTTCAGAAATATGCTGAAAAATACTTAATAGCAATTTTGGCTGGAAATTAAGTAACTGAAGGCTGGTCTCTGACATTTGCACCATAGGTCCAAGTCGTTCCACAGAAACGGAGGCTGATGGAGACTTGAGGACGTGATCAGATTCTGCAGAATGCTTAGATAAGACCGGCCCTTATGTTTTTAATTTGATGTACTTGGCCACAAACGCTGCCGCGATGTCCCTGTAGGGTGTGTCGGAGTCCGAGTGTGTTGGGGGCATTCTGCAGAGGGCTCGGAAACGTGGGGAACGCAGGAGAAGATTGTGACCCAGTCCAACACAGCTGGAGCTTAGCCAATACAACGCCATGGACTAGACAGAGAGAGAGAGAGACAGAGACAGACAAATCAGAGACTCTCATGTTGCAAAAATATCATGCTTTGTTCTTCTCTAGCTGTGGAATCTCTGACGGATGAAGATAAAACATGACAGGGATAAGATACCCCATCCAAATGGAGGCACTCTGACGGCAGGAGATGCATATGTGTAATTCCTTTCTTGGTGCCTCGTGCTGGCTTTAAGTCATGTACACAAACCTGCTGGTTGTGTATCTAAGCTCAGACAATAAGCAATTAAGATGAAATTCTGCGAAACTCAGAGATACTTTTCCCAGCAAATCAGACACTATTCACACCATTTCAAACACAAAACTCCAAAACTTTCCTGATAATTCAACGACTTCTCAGAGACTCATTTAAAATTCCATGACTGTTTAAATGACTTCAATAAAAGCAGAGCTGAATACTGAAGTAGCCACTCCAAAAGATATTCAAAAGATATACCTGATACCCCGACAGAGTAGAGGAAGGCCTTTTCCAAAGCCAAACACACACACACACACACACACACACACACACACACACACACACACACACACACACACAAAATGTCAACCTGAGTTGGAAAAAAAAAGGTGCATCATTGTTTCTTGATTGATTTCTGCACATATAGTCATGTAAATGATTCATTAACATTTTTCATGCCCACCATGGCAGCATGATTTCAATTTATGTCGTCTTCATTGGGGTGAATGTTGTACTCTATAAGGGCATGTTGCATCGGCTGTAGGGTTTATGTTACCTTAGTTCTTGTGTGCGTCATGTTGTTATTGTTTCTTTTTTTACCACTATAGGGTGTTGGATTATGTAGGGATACTGAAACTATAACGCTTGAAAAACTGTCAACTTGTCTTTATGCAACCATGGTAGATCAATACAGTTCTTTCTGGTGGACAACAAATAAATAATGAATTATTTAACTTTACAGCATACAAAAATCTCTCATTCAAGAGGTTTGCTGCTAAAATCACTTAGATAACCTGATTTTAGTATTGAGTACCACAGCTAAAGATTATGCAGCGTGGTCAGGACATTCAAACACGTTCTTCTGAAAAATACAATAAGTAAATAATAAACAGCAGCGATGCGCCCAACTGGCATTGTGGTGTTGCACAGCCCTAATGTAACCTGCTGTGATACCATAAATAAATCCCTGACCATCAAGAAAGGAAGCCACTTATAGGCCCAACAAACACTTATGCCCAAACATTCCTGGCATTTAGGAATCGAGAGCTGACCCCAAAGCAGGGACAGGTCATGGTCTTGTGAGGTCCTCCACGTGCTGGAGTAACAAGCCCACAGTTTCTATTTGTTTTGATAATAAACAATAGTAATTACACAGTTTGATAACAAACAATTTTACATTGGACAAAGTAAAGCAAGCTCTCCCATTGATGAGGCCTTCGGGAGCTGAACTGAAGGCGCAACCAATGGGAGAGCTTGCTTGGTTGTATCTCTCTAGATACCACATAGAAAGCCATTGGTTGGACAATTTTCCATTTGGCGGTTGAAGAATTTAAGCCTTTTATTTCCATCCAAAACTTAACAATGCAATAAGCGCAGTATCGATACGAGTTTAACCCTTTAATGTCCTCACTAAGAGAAAAAGCGAGGGAATTTCATTTTTTGCATTTTTTATTAGTTTTATTATTTTTTTTTTTCTTTTTTTTTTGACCCCACAATTTTTAAAATATTCACGTCTACCAAACGGTTGAGATGGCACTTTGTGGCATGTATAGTGACTCAAAATGTGCTCTACCAAATGGTTGAGCAGAACATGAAAGGGTTAAACAATAATGATAAATGAGTTACTAAAAAAAAAAGCTAAAAATTAGACATTTTGGTAAAATTTTACGACACATTTAATCCAATAACATAACAGTGTCTTGCTACCATGACAGTTAACTGTCATGACATATGTCAGTGTTTGATGTCGTGATATAGCATCTGCCATGACAATTAACGGTAATGGTCACGACACTGTCACTGAACAAAATCTCCTATGGCAACTCATATGACCTCTGCCATGACATGTTTATGGCATGCTTATGTCAATGTTATGTAGCAGGGTTCAAGTAAGGTGCTACCCAGTTTTTAGTCCTTCTCTGGAGGCCTAGAAGCCCTAAGCGTTCCCCTCTGGTACAAAAAATAAATAAATAAAATAAAATAAAATGTATCAGATACAACATGGATAGAACAGACCAATCAGAGTGTATAATCTGACAAACTATTGTATAGTTTACTTTAATTCATGAGATCTCCAGACCCGGCACACTTTATAAATACACTGACTTTTCCAGTGTTCTCAGAACCGCGGGAACCCTGCGTCGACTTTCTCCAGCTTTCTCCAGCTTTCTCCAGTCGGTGCTGTGGAGAAGATATCTGTTTAAATAGCACACAGCACATGTGTTTGGTTCTGCAACTCTCTGTTGTGGCGTTCACCTTCTTTTATGTAAGCAGCACAGAGACACAACACTAAAGGCTTTGATGGCCACGGCTGATTACAGTAGTGATCTTCGCCCAAGAGCAGTGCGAACAGCCCAGGAGACAGAACAGATGAGCTAGATCTGTTCTGCTACAGAAGGGCCTTGCTTAATAACATTAGGCCTCATTCCAACCAAGAAAATTTTTCTTAAAACCCACTCGCATACTTTTCATGAAGATTCTGACATTCACCAGTGTTTTCTTATTTGGGATTTGTTCTTAGGTAAGGACAGAATCTACACACACTGAAGAGCTCAAAGGTGTGAACAATTCTGTGGGTTAAGAACACGTCATGAATCTGACGTAGACTTTTCTTAGGACCTTTCTCAAGAACAAGTTTAAGAAAAAAACTTGGGAAGATATTGGTGAATGAGGTTCATTGTTTATAACAAATAACAATTACTAAAACTGCTGTTGCAACATTGCTTAATCAAATAAAAACACTGTACAGTGCAAAATGTTAACACGTTTATTTTTGCTTGGCTTTCCTGACTTGTCCATTGACTGAACAAATGGATTGAATATATAGAAAATTGCTCGATGCTGGGCAGTACGGGTTAAACAGGTCTTAAACAATAAAAATGTCACACTGAGGGTGTATTCTTAGCAGTTTTGTTGATTTCTACTACTTAGAACTGAAGAAAATGCTCACATGATGCAAAAAACTAGCCTTTCAGTTTGCTATCAGCCATATTAATAGGAAAGATCATGCATGAGGTAGCTATGAGGCAGTAGTAAAAGTGGAATTCCACCTTTTTCAAAATTTTCAGCATAATTAAACCATTAGGATATAAACAATGTCATCAAAAGTGGTCTGATATGAAATGTGGCACTCTAGAGAAACATACAGAGACAGATCCGTTCACAGTGCTGGTGATAGGAACCAGACATGCGAAACTTCTAAAAGCTACATAACAATGTTACTATTCAGTGTTAATGTTACTGTGCATGTTGTAATGTTAATGATCTTTTAAATGGCCTATAACATATGTTCAAAACCCTGTTCATGGTGGAGGGGTACAGGAAGGGTGTTGTAAGGCAAAGAAGGCCCCAAAGAAAACTTTTGACCGTTATCAACATAAAATATAAAACTCAAAAGACACAAGTAAGTCCACTGGTGGATACTGATAATAAACATAATAGTTACGCTTGTTGTAGACACTGTGACTCCTGGTTCCCATCACCACTACTGTGGTATCAGTAAGTTTCTCTTCAGTGAACCGCTTCACATCAAACACTTTTAACTTTGTTTACATCTCAACTGAATTATGCAGAATTCTTTTTATGAATCGGTAGAATTCCCTTTATGAACCATATAATGGAAAGTCACCGTGGTTTGGTTTGTTAGTAGGTGAGATATGCTATTATGACCCGTCACATGACATTAATTTGGTGCATAATTACATTAAGTAGCAACAACATAGTCAAAACATTCAAGTATGGACAAACTATTTATTTAGTAAAGCTGAAGGGAAAATTAGAGATGCCACTGACCTGATACCAGGGATTGGTATCAGGGCGATATCAGTAGGAAACGTTAGAGTGGATATCGGATGGAAAACAGGTTGATCTGATTCAATCCTGTAACAAATCTGTCCTGAAATAGCGCTCACTCGAACTGTATGATTGGATGTTACCCGTGTAGGTCTTCCTGTGGGGTAGCAGAGTGGCTGAGTAGTCTCAGCATTATGAGTTTGAGCCTACTTTTAGATGCTCATCTTAAATGGCCATTACTACACTGTTTCTATACTGTAACTGTTTCACTGTTTTCCTGAGGTCCACTCATGACATGTGTGGTTTTAACGCTCCAGTAACAGTCAAAATGTACTTTTTTCATAAGCACTTCCCAACCTCTATTATCCACTGGACTTAACCTTTTTAACTCCTTGAGACCACCGGTGGTTCCAAAACGCATTTCATCATATTCTTCATAATTTTCATATTTCATAAGCTACATTCAAAAGGTGGGTGTCATATGAGAGCTGTAACTTAGCTTCTTCTTTCCAGTAAAATAGATGGGTAATGTAATTTTCTACTGAAAATCGACCCATTTTTCCACAAATCTGGGCTATAAACTGATCTGATCTGTAAAAATGATTTTTATAAAATAATACAAAGAGCGTCTAAGATTTTTGGCTTTCAGCAGTAAATTGTAAGCATATAGCAATATGTGTGATCATAAAACACATTTTCTGTTCATTTGAGGGGAGCTTTTACAAAAAATAAATAAATAAATAAAATAAAAATTTACATTCATTTCATGCAGTTACTGAATAATTTGCCTTATGATTTGGATATGTAAATTCAGATAGACAAACCAAAATATACCCTGGAGGCTTTTGTTTCTGTGCCTTTAAGTTAGATGCATGTAAAAGAGCTCTGTTTTGATTGGCTGTCCTGTAATGTGCCTTGTTCAAAAAGCAGCCCAGACCATAACACTCTTTATAACTTCAGCATGAATAAGCTGGGCTAAACTGCTGTAGAGCGAATAAGCCGACATCCAGTCTGCGGTTCACTGAAGTCTCCAGCATGCAAAAGTTTGAAAACCCCTGGTCATATTACACGTTTTTTGGTTTTGAAGTGAATACACTTAAATATGCTATTCCTTCTGAAAAGTTAAGTGCCCAATTTATAATTATTTGCTGAGGTCAACACAACAGAAAAAATAAAACGAACAATATAAAATGTGCTATCTTCTGCACAGACCACATAATAATAATAATAAAAATAATAATAATAATAATAATAATAACAAAACAACAACAACAAATTATTATTATTATTATTATTATTATTATTAGATATTTATGTTAAATACTGGAAAAAATATATAATATGTTAAATTTAGCAAATGAACAATAATTGTGCATTAAATGTGCAGAAGTGTGTTCTCTATAACGATGTGCACTTTTTATTCCAAAATAAATAGGGCAGCCAAACATTTGCATACAACTATGTTATGTAAATATATTGTTTTTTGTGACATCACAAAATCAGTCGATTAAAAATGGGCCATTTTGCAGCTTAGTTTCCATATATATATTGTATGGATGCAGTTTTTAAACTTTAACTGTGTTTATATATTACAGCAAACTCTTATTTCAAAAAAGTGAAGAAAATTTGATTTGCCATGATGTGGGCCCTTTAAGCAGATTACTTCAACTAAAAACAGCTCATTTTAAAGCTTAGTAAAGAAAAAAAAATATTAAATTGTCATTTTCAATAAAAATACTTTATCAAAAATTACTGCCATTTCCATTACCTATATTGAAAAATATGTTAACCATTATTGCATAAAACCTGTCTATTGAGTAAAATAATAAATAGCAGAGAACAGAAGCATTCAAGATAGAGAGAGATAGACAGAGACAGAGTGAGTCAGAAAGTGAGTGAGAGGGGGTCATATGGGCACCCAGCAGTAACAGTTCATTCCTCCTTCATGTTGCTAGATAAGGTGGAGCGAGACGGATCTGCTGGAGCGATCTCTACAGAACCCAAACATCCTAAACCTGCTCTGGAGCGTGACCAGACTAAACGGGGCTTCAAAAACCCACCCTGATCCTGCTCCCCTTACACACCCCATCAGAGGCTGCAGACCCTAGTGAGATGCAGCACGGCATTCAGCAACACTCTGACGCTTTTGTCCCTGGAGTTGGATTTGGTAAACAGATAAACTGTGTCACGTTTTATTTACAGTACGGGAGGTGAAGCGTGACTTTCGCAGACTTTGAGTTGGGTTATTATAGAGACACAACAAAAACATACATGCACAATCGCATTACTGCACCTGAGAGGATGCAAATGCTAGTGTAACTGAATCGCTAGTGCTAGTAGTTGGGGGTATAGCCAAACGTTTGTATGAAGGTATATTAACAGTGGCTTATACTTTTGGGAAGTCTCTTCACTTTTTAATAAGAAACATTTTTATCAGCCAAAGTAAACCTCAAATATTTGTATTGTGCAAAATGAAAACAAACCTGAACAATGTACAGATAAACCAGAGCCAGTATTGCTTTCAGGCACCATGGGTCTGGCAAAAATGTCTTTGGTGCTAATGTCCACAAGGCTGTAGCTGGCCTCTTATCTGGCAGCTCTTTGTTCAAATTCTCCGTTCCACCTTTAATAGAGCAGCAGTTACACATTGGTACCTGTACAGATGCCCGAATGCAACTGCAAATTTCTCAAGTCGTTTGACAGACTTACGAAACTCGTTCTTTAGTCAAGGCCATTTTGTCAGGTGTCAACAAATGGCAGCTCAGTCTGCTTTCAAACGAACCCTGGTTCAGTTCGCTGCTAGTGGGAACACATTTTTGCAATGGTTCGCACCAAGTAAGGTAAATCAGCAAAAAAACATGCCTTTTTGCTTCTTCTAGTCGCAAATCATTGCTATGCTGTCCACAAAATCTTTACAGATGCTTGTTTTTTTCCTGCAGAACAAGCTGTTGCTAATAACTGCATAAAATAGTGAAGATATGCTTTTGATTTTTTGCCACATGGATTGCAGACGTATTGCATCTGCGACCTGATTGATTACATTCAAATTGACAAACCAGTCATAATAAATCAGATATTAAGTTAGGTTTTTTTATTATTGTGATAGACAGTCATTTTTTAGCTCAAATGGTCACAAATAAGAGAGTAAAACAAACCGAAAACAAATGAAACAGTTCGGACAGCCTTACAGTTATTCACACTTCAGCACCGACTGGTCTGCGGCTTGTTTCATGCACAAGGCCCTGACTGCAGCATTGTCTGAAGCAGTTGATCGAGGAAGGCGTCTTCACAGGCGGTATGAGACGAAACAAGCGCAGCAATCGCTATGGTGGCTCTGTTCCAAGTTAAGGCTAACCCCAAGAGATCGGCCATTCCTTTAGTCCGCTGCCTCGAAAATATTAATATATCTTTCGTTGAATATTTCAGATGCAACGCACTAGACAGTGGGAGGCGACTGAAGGTCTGCAGCATTTTCATCTGTAATGTGACTGAAACATCCCTGCCTCAGACAACTCTCTCAGCTAAAGGGGGTAACGTTAGCATGATCTGAGCGGATATGACAAAACACATATCAGAGGAAGAATTTCAGCTAATGCTAACCCAAATATATAGAGCTGCTTTTAGGAGGGCGTATTTTTCAGACACTCTTAAACCAGCAGTGATAGTGATGTGTATAAAAACCCCAGTGACGTTGTCATGACCGATACACTCCAGCACCACACACATTCCTAATATCACTACCATGCCAGTGTCACCCAAACAATATCTGGCACTGTGGTTAGAATCTGACCAATGGTGAATGGGGCAGAGGTCCACTTATAAGGACCACTTTTCATATGGGTGCATTTAATCGACAATTACATCTGTTTCTCTGAATAATCTGTTAGCCCCTCTTTACACTCAATGTCACTGCTGGACAGAAAATCCACCAAACAAAAACATCCAGCCAACAGTGTCCTGTAGCCAGAAACTGACCACTGATGAAGGACTAAAAGATGATTAACAAAAACTGTGCCATAACAAATAAGCTATTATATCCAACTTCACTACAAGGTAGGCGTGTCAAGATGCCATTGTTGAAAAGGCAAAAGACAAAAAATGAAGAAAATTTGCACCAAAACACCAAAATGGAACATCTGGGATCTCAGATCAGTTTCTTGACAGCTACACACCCTTTCAGACGCATAGAGTTGTCTTCTAAGGATGGACTCCTTGGTCAGGAATCCCATTCTCTACATCTTTAAATCGTTTTTGAACTCCAGTTTTGGAAACTCCTGTTTTTTTGCCACTTATTTTTCTTTCATTTTCTCGTTTCTTATGCAGGTGGATTATCTTATATCTACCCAATGCATTTACATATACCTGCCTGTTCAGCCTATTGCAGTCTTGCCCCAGCCATGTTTAGTCTGTGAAGGAGCCACAGTGCAGGGCAGCTGATCATAAAACAGATAAATAAGTCTTAATTAAGTTTAATTCTAAGGGATGAAGTGAGGCTGGGAAATGGTCATGTATAAATGAATTATGCCTGTTTTGGGTACACAAACCCACACAAATATTAGAAGTAGCTGGAAAAAAATATAAAAAAAAGTTTAGAGCCTTTAACAATAAATTAAAGGGTGATCTCTGACTTTTGTGCAGTACTGGACATACAAACAAACAGGTGGGGTACTCACTGAGGGGACTGCAGCAGCCAAGGGAATCATCACCAGAGAGATTCCTCTGATGAAGTTGGTCACATACTTCTGGAACTTCGAAGCTTCTAGCTGCCTCAGGGCAAATATCTGACAAACACACACATCAATGACAAACGTGAAACATTAGACTGTCTCACCAGAAACTCCAGCATCTGTACACTTTCATTAATTTCTGATCAAATTAAAAATTCAATCACCGAAACTGATTTTATGGAGCTAAAAATAACACTGGGAAGTATCATAATTCAAAGGTTGGAAGGTAAACAAAGTAATTAGGGTGGTATGATGTGAAATGGTATATTGCACATAAACTCTGATTTCTTTAATGATGATGATAGGAACCAGGGGTCATTGTGACAACAATGCAAATATAGCCATTTTATCAAAGATCACAGTCACCACCATCAAAGTTATCACACTCCGGACACTCCTTGTCTGAACTATTGCTGTCAGACAGACTTTAAGATTTCGCACCAGTAGTTGAGGAACAGCTTTTTTCCCCCAGAGCTGTGACCTCCATCATGCCCCTCCCTGCCCAAACAAAGAGCTGAACGATAAAGTCTTTGAGCACACACACACACACTCATACATGCATGCACACAAACACACACATTAAGGCCTGTGGAGCGCACAAACACACACACACACACACACACACACACACACACACACATACAAATGACTATGACATATACATGTACACACCCACTTTCAATCTCAATGACTGTTACCACATGCTACTCGGAATATAGCATCTACTTATTAATATTTATAACACCCAACTATCTGTAAAGATGTAATTTAGTTATGTACATATGTACAGTTTTGCAGTGTCATTTTAACAGAATGCTGCTATTATTGCTACTAATATTTTCTTTTATTTATTGTATTATTGCTGTCCTTGTGACCTCTATAGAAGGACATATCACACTAAATTGAACAAATCGTGGAATTGCATTTTAATACGGTCAATAAGTAAACAGACTGCAGTAGCTTCAGTTCATTAGTTCTTTAATGACTAATGAGTTGTCAGACATGATTATCAGATCTCAATTATAGTATTTCTTAAACTCAAACAGTTTAAATAATATGAATATTATAGCCACAGGGTGTGGAGCTTTGCAGCATTCGTAGCACTTTCACAGGTTTCAGCTCCAAAATTAGCTCTTTTTCAGCAGTTGTCTTCACAGAAAGATATATTTAGTGTTGTAACGTTATCCGCATGATTAGGATTTTCATATTTATTTCTTATTTTAAGCCCAAGAGGCTTTTACAAAGTAAAACAACCGAGCAGTCCTCAGCCCTTTTCAGATGGGATTAAGTTTACATGGGATCCTTGGCTATGTTCCTGCTGCTACTACTGCTGTATTTAGTCCCCTAGTGTATGTTTTCATATTAAAGGGCCCATATCCAACATTGTTTGCATTTTATTTTTTTCCCAGTCATCATTCATTTTTACGCCACCGTTTTCAATCTCTCTTTATTAATTAGAACTAAATATGCTGTTTTTGTTACTGTGTCTTTAAGACTGATGTATGTAAATGAGCTCTGTTCTAATTGGCTGCTCTGCAGGCTGAATAGGAAGATATGTAACTTGGTTGCTTTTGTGACATCACAAAAGACAGTGAATTTTAGAACAGACTGTGTTTGCAGCTTAAATCCATATACGGACTGGGTCAGGGGTCGGCAACATGGGGCTCCGGATCCGCATGCGGCTCTTTTACTGCCCCGTTGCGGCTCCACAGCAGAACTAGATGTTTAGGTAAAAACAAAACAATCCTCCTTCACAGTAAAATAAAGCGCTGGTGATCGTTCAACACCGTTTTAACAATAAACGGTCTTAATTGCTGAAGTTATTGTATATCTGCTGATTCACCCTTTAACCCTGAAGATTGGTTGCGCAGACTGCTGGTCACCATAGCAACGCAGACGACAATCTCGCCTAGCTAGTAGCTAACAAAATGGCAAAGAGAGAGATTTAAGAGGAACATCAAGAGGTCAGCTTCTTGTTCAAATTTTCCCATTCCACCTTAAATGGTGCAACAGTTACATTCTGGCACCTCAGGCACCATTTAAGGTGTAATAGGAAAATTCAAACAAGAGGCTGGCAAATCTGGAGGACTTCAACCTTGTAAAAAAATCAAACGTTGAGTGACATTTTACAAGAATCTATTCTACTTTTGAGTAAAAGTTTCCTGCCGAGAAAAGCAGCTATAGTTGAGCTAAAGCTTAAAGCAGAGCAAAACAAGTTTGTGTTTAGGTTTACAGTATAATTTTTAGCCTACACTAGGACATTAGCACAGACTGGGACATATTTACAGCCAAAAACTTCTACTCAAAAGTAGAATCCATCTCCTATAGGCTATTGGCAGATGGAGAAAGAAAATAAACCCAGTCAGTAAAGCGAGATCCTGCAGGCTGTAAATATGTCCCAGTATGTGCTAATGTCCTAGTGTAGGCTAGAAAATATACTGTAAACAAAAACACAGACTTACTTTGCTCTGCTTTAAGCTTCTTTTATTTATATTAATATTCTAATATTTTATTTTATTTTATTCTTCTATTTAGCTGCTTTTCTCGCATCTCAGGCAGGAAACTTTTACTCAAAAGTAGAATCCATCTATATGCTATTGTCAGATGGAGAAAGAAAATAAACCCAGTAAAGCAAGATCCTGCAGGCTAAACAAAGGGGCCATTATAACAACAGATTCAGGTACAAAATATTAGTTTATATTCATGATATCACCATCTATTCGTTTTCTATGATCACATGACCATACACAAACATTTACATACAGCCCACTAGAAACTCGTACCGTAATCACTACATTGCCATCTGGTTGCGAGAGTTTTATCACTGAAGTGATGAGTATAGGGTTTTAATAACTGACTGCAATTATATATAGTCAGACCCATAAATATTTGGATGTCGACCAAGTTACTGTAATTTCAGCCGTCTACAACAGCTGGAGTTAAATAATGGCCCACTTTAGATCACAAGTAGTTCCTTCCCTTCTCTACATCATTCTGGTGCAAGTTGATCTTTGTTCTGTCCATAAGATGTTGTTCCAAAACTGGCAAACTTTATTCTGGTCTTTCTGTTTTAGAGGCTCACTAATGGTTTGAATCTTGTGGTTGAATTCTTTGCATTTACTGTAGTAAATACTTCTCTTGATTGTTGACTTGATTGAGTCTTCCAGGCCTTTTGGTGTTTCTAAGCTCTCTAGTGGTTCTTTCCTTTTAAGAAAGTTCCAGAAACTTAATTTGGCCACAACTAATGTTTTCACTCTCACTCTTTGATGGATTTGGTTTGATTTTTCAGCCTAATGATGACTCTTCGGACTTCATATTGAGAATTAACAGCAAGAGATTCCAAATACCACTTTTGAAATTAACTGTACACATTTGATCCGTTTACCTGTCAATCACCTGATCTCAATCCAGTCAAGCATGCATTTCACTTACTGAAGGTAAAACCCTAAGACCAACCAGGAACCCGAAAACAGCAGTAAAGGCCTGCCAGAGCTTCGCCAGGGAAGAAACCCAGCGTCTGGTGATGTCTATGGGTTCCAGATTTCAGCAAAGGATTTGCAACTGAGTATTAAAAATGACAATTTATAATTGTTAGTTTGTCCAATTACATTTGAGCCCCTAAAACTGGGGAGCTAGGGGTGAAAATGGTTAATTCCTACACTTGATAAGAATGTAAATCGCCTCAAATTAAAGCTAAAGGTCTGCACTCTGAGCTCATATACCTTGTTTAATTTCAACTCCAATATCCTGTGGTAAGATAAAATAACTTTCTTTGTTGACAGCCAAATATTTATGGACCTGACTGGACATATTTTGTGATTTGAGACCACATCCACAGGCCGGTCTCTTTGAAAACTTCAATACTGAATGTTCTCGCTAAGAAAAACATTTTATCTGACTGCAACATTTGCTCTTAATGTGAGCAGAACATGTTACATGTGGTGTTAAACTGCACTGAGGAGTTAGGAAACCAACAGCCTGTCATGGTTTCAACCTGGACTGAGCTGTTAAACGATTCACCAGAAAGAAACAACAGGCCAGAAATAATTTCATGCCTTCATTAAAGAGGATTTGTGGCTAAAAGTTAATGACACTGACTTCAATTTATTAAAATCCTTTAAAGCTTTATGTGACACGACAGTTTCCTGGAACGAGATCAAGCCCGGAGTCGGACTGGGAAGGAATATATTCTGGTATAAGATTTCATCTGTTTTTGTTAAACTGGTCATTAATCTCTTTTCACTCTGGGCTTGACAGTGTTCTATATAGTCTGTGCTGTTTTCCTGGCCATCACTCTTTTTCCAGAGAGGCCTCAGAGGGCTTCCTTAGGAAATTGGGGTTTGGCTTGCTGGAGCTCCGTCTTACATAGAAAACGTCCACCCCTCCCTCAGCACTACTGTGTCCTGCTTCAGGAGGGTCAGGTGACGTCCCCCCGTCCGGTAAGACAATAACCACAGACATGAATACTGGACTGAATGGTGGGAGGATAAAAGCACTTTTCCTGCTATGAATGAAGGACCTTTTAAAGGGAATGCTAAATAAAACGCTAAATCTAAATACTAATGCTAACATGCACAGTGTTTTGCTAAGCTGCCCCCCACTTGCTTTCATTCACTACTAGCCTAGTGGGTAAAGCAGTTCTTTAATACAGATAATCAGGCAGATTCTTCATTCATACACTTCATTTAGAAGGAGGATTCCACCCATTTTCCAATATTTCTGCATAATTCAGTCACTGAGAAGTAAACTTGCAGCTCGGATCCTGACAAAAACAAAACAGAGAGCTCATATCACCTCGTATTATATTCTGAATGAATTGCACTGGCTACCTGTATCTTTCAGGATAGATTTTAAAGTTCTGCTACTAGTTTTTAGAATGTCTATGTTCCGACACGTGATCCTAGGCTACGTTCACATTACAAGCCTCAGTGCTCGTTTCTGATTTTTGTTCAGACTTGATCTTTCCAACATGATGGTTCACATTTGTGTAGATATGAGACTCAAATCTGGGGACAATAAAAAAAAAATTGTAATGCTGGTTTATGTTATGTAGTTAATAATAAACGATCAAAATCAGGGTCACGTCCATGGGTGGTGAAAAGAACTCAATCCTATTTCACCCCTTGCCCCTACCACTTAGCCCCTTACCCCTCTCCGTTTTCACACGCAGGGGTAGGGTGTCCCGATTTTTGTTGAGATAAAAAATTTAAAGTTTAAAAATTATGATAATCATTGTTAGCAATCTAACGAGAAGCTAGTGAATAGCTGACCTCAGCTTCATATCACTGAAGAATTAAGGGTCGACAATAATTAATACCCCCCTCTTTGAAGGCATATGATGCCCTAAATGTAACTAAAGCCCAGCAGTGAGGTTGCTGAACTTTACCCTCCTCTACCATCACTGAAGACGGGCTGGGTCGCCTACAGAGCAGTGCTAATCTTTTTATTTGAGGGTTGTCGCGTTTCACAGGGAAGATTTCAACTATTACCCCTTATAACTCAGTTCCAAGGGGCAAGGTGACAATCGAAAACAAGGGGTAGGGGTGAAAATAAGAAATGGAATTGGGCCTCCGAATCTGTCTGCACTGTACTGCTCAGAGATCAGCTGAATGTGGGTCTCACCTCAGTGATGAGCAGGTTGACGAGGCCCAGAGACACAGGAATGATCCAGGTAGAGTCTGGCAGTGTGAGGTTTGAAAACCACAGAGCGCCCCCTACTGCTAGCTCCTCCTGCAAACCTACGAATACAGAAAATGCATTATTTTCAGCTACATTATATGGGCAAAAGTATGTGGACAATTAGACAATTGTATGCTTCCAACTTTGTGGCAACAGTTTGGGGAAGGCCCTTTCCTGTTCCAGCATGACTGAGCCCCTGTGCACAAAGCGAGCACCATAAAGACATGGATTGATGAGTTTGATGTGGAGGAACTCCAGTGGCCTGCACAGAGCCCTGACCTCAACCCCACTGAACACTGTTGGGATGGATTGTAACACTGATTGTGAGCCAGGCCTTCTTGTTCAACCTCAGTGCCTTGATGTCAGTGATTTAATAAACGCTTTTTATTGAATGGGCAGAAATTCCTACAGATACACTCCAAAATCATGTGCTTTCCCAGAAAAGTGGAGGCACAAAGGAGGCTGGGTGTTAAAGTTATTGTCTTTGGTGCCTGTTACAGAAACAGCCATTAGGTCCATGTAAATCAGTCAAAAAAAGTATTTCAGCCAATTCAGCTTTAAAGAAATTGTAATCAGAACTAGCCATAAATTCACATTCGGTGCATCCCTGATAAAAACCCTAGTAACTGTGCAGTAGTAGATGGACCAAAGTCAGGAATTCTAAACCTACAAAGTGCACCTATATGGTAGGTGTACTTAATAAAACTGTGTACAGCTGCAGTTTTGTTTTTCCATGTCCGACCACGTTCTTCAATTGTGAGTCACAGCCAATTGCCATTGTTATGCCCAGTCCAGCTGAGGAAGGGCCTACATGTCAGGCATTCAGCCAAACTGCCCAGCTTTATCTCTGGACCTCCATGATGTCTTGCAAGCAACAGAAGTACAGGAATTAGCTTTGGATGGAGTGCATCCTGCTTTTGTGAGGGCAAACTCTTTTTTACAAATAGAAAGACACTAGATAAACAAAAGTTTATCATGAAGTTTCTTGTTACTGTAGCTGTCTGTGCACTTCTTTCGAAGGTCTTCCTTCACATACATGATGCACAGTTTCTGCATAACTCTGCCACTCATGACAATCTGCTTATGCGCCAGTAAGAAACAAATAATCACGACATTCTGAGAAAAAAACACTACGGATAATGGATTAGATGCAAGAATGGACAAGTCTCAGGTCAGTTCTGACAGGAAGGAAGAGGAAGCTAAGTGGAACAGGACTACAGTGGCTCACTTCCAGTCTAGAAACATTAAGCCCCCTTCCTCATCCCTCCCTTTGCAACTTCTACTTAGGGTTGAATGATTTGGGGAACATGTCTAAGTGTGACTTTTCAGACCAATATTGCGATTCTATAAATGAAGCTTCAGGTCTCTTCTTCCTCAAGAAGACCAGCGCGTCTCTTTTTTGGGCTTGAGGCTTGAATGTAGTGGCTTGAATGTAGCATGCGGGCTGCCAGTTAACAAGCTCTGTGTTATCAGGATAATTTTCCCCATTTAAAACTTATTAAGTCAATATTGAATAAAGTAGAATATAATTCAAATTGCAGCTCTTGCAATTTCAGAATTGCTCCCTTTCAAATTGCTATTTCAATATAAAAATGATTAATTGTTCAGCTATGGCTGGGCAATATGACAATATTTATCATTTTGTGGTAAATTATGCCTCAATATGATTATCTGAGCATACCATGTATATCATTGGTACTTAAAGCCACTTTCCAACTGCATTCTTTACTAAAAATAGAGCATAATTAGCCCAGTTTAATTGGAATTATTGCAGCACAGTGTGTGATATGCTGAATACAAATCACTGTATTCATAGTTTTGATAGTATTTTTTGATGTCAGGAAACTATACATCGTGGCATATCATATACTGTGAAAACTTACTATATTATATTAAATTTTTGTCATTAATTTCTGTACCAACAATCAGTAATTCAGTTTTTAGTAATTTAATTGTAGAACATTTTGTAACATCCCCTGAGAAATATCTGACACACAGCTGGTTAGTCTGTCTACAGAGTCTTGATCATCAGAAGGAATGGAAATGTATAACGGTGTTAACAGCATAGCTATGAAAATGTATATTATGCTTCCTAATGACATCACATAGAGGTAGCATTTACAAAGAGAAAAGCAAAGGCCCTAAGACTGAACCTTGAGGGACTCCACAAGAAATGCCAAATCGTTTTGATGAGGGATTTCCAAGCGAAATCATGAACTGACTATTACCTAAATATGATTTAAACCATTCTAAAACTGTGCCTGAGAGGCCGGCCACACATTCAAGATGCTGGATTAAAATCTTGCTGGATTAAAATTTTCTGGTATCAAAAGCTAAAAAGACCTAATAAAACCAGAATAGAAGGATTTTGTGCAGTAGCACTTAGCCCGAGGTCATTCATAACATAAACCATTGCTGTCTCTGTGCTATGGTTAGAACGAAAACCTGACTGAAAATGTTTAATTCAATATATAACATGTATAATTCAATATATTCAATATATAACATAACTATATATATTATATAAATTTGAAACTATAACCACTGAATTCTAACAATATATGAGAGAATGTCTTGGAACTGCTGTTCATATGAGGTTGTATTCTTTTATGGAGCAACACAGTCTAAAAGCGTTTTCCTAAGGTTGGCTTTCATGCAACTTTAATAGCCTGAAACTTACAAGAAACTGAATTAAGCTTGACCTACAGAATGTAAAGCTTCCTGCCACTTATTTGCAACTTACTTGAAACTCAGTTGCAACAGCTGTAGCCACAGTTTCATGAAAGAGCCAATCAACACATCGCAGAAGACGGTTGTGGTTGAAAATGAGGTCCACCAGTTTGACTTTTCACAAGGTTGGCAGTTTTTCACTGTGTCAGCTTCCTGAGCCATGACAACAAATGAGCTAATGTTTCTGTTAGCAGCTGGCTAGCCAGCTAATACTGTTAGTACCACTGTTTATTCCTCTTTGATAGTCTACGGTTATTTTTAAAAACTGTATATATAGCAAAGAACCACAGATTATGTTGCATGCAATGCAAGAAAGTTTTATTGTGTAAACCCAGCCTAATGATTTCTGGCATCCATGGTCATCAGTCTGTGAAAATACCACACCACTACATTGGTACTGATTTACAACAAACTCTTCTTTCTGTCTAGTGTACGAAAGAAAAAGCTATACAGATTTACAGCTAAATTTAATTTTTTTTTATTTTTAAATTTTAAAAATAAGTGAGTTGCAAATCAACAGCTTTTCAGGCAAAACCTGTTTCAAAATGACTGCGGTGGTAATCGATTGTATACATCCTACAGAGGTAACAGATACAGGCTGCGCTGAAAAATTATGGAATATTCCTTTAAGAAGATGATTCCTTTCCAGAATTCATTCCTTACTACTTTGGATACTTTTCTAGATGTAGGGTTTGGGAGCATGTGCTACTCTCTTGAGGGCATAAAGACTGAACAAGTGTGAAATGTAGCGGATTGGGACCAGGCCGGTGTTTAGACCTGAGAGCAACTTACCAGCGGGGACGTGTCCTGTTCCCATGCTGAGGTTGCGCAAGGAAAGAGAGAGAAACACCCACATGGGCAGCTGAACCCAGACGAGCAGACTGGCTTTAAACGGGTGGCAATTGTCCCTCACATAGAGTTCAGACACGATCCGACGCAGGTTCTTCTTAAAATGGTATCTGCACAGAAAAAAGGTTATAAATGCGACAGAACATTGTGTTACAGTGTGTATTAGTGGTTACACTACAGGCCAACATGTTGGAAGCAAACACTACTTTTGTAAAAATACATTCAATACATAAAAATGTTTGCTTCCACACTTTTCCGCTTCATTATCTCTAAACTGAGGGAAAAGAATCTCACTGTAACATGAGAACAGCCAAGCCTAATTTTTGTGAACTGAGGGAAATTCTTACCTGCATGTTTTCTCGGACCAGCCCTTCTCCCTGGCTTTGACCGAAATCTCGTAGCTTAGCCGCCTGGCTAGCTCTGCTATCTCCTTTTGCAGCGCTTCAACCTGGCTGAGAGCAAGAAGATCCTACAGTTACTCTTCCACACTCTGGGCCCAAACACACCCACATCACAAATCCATCCAGTTTATGACTAGGTGTCCACTGTCCACTTTATGAGCTCCACTTACATCACTTGTCCACTATATACACTGACCGGCCACTATGTTAAGTACACCTTCTGTCTGCACTACCATACAGGTGCATTCTGTAGTTCTGCAGCTACAGAGTGCAATCCAACTGTTTCTCTGCATACTTTTTAAGCCCCCTTTCACCCTGTTCTTAATGGTCAGGACCCTCCCCCCCAGGACCAACACAGAGCAGGTATTATCTGGGTGGTGGATCATTCTCAGCACTGCAGTGACATGGACCTTGTGCTGCCGTGTTAGTGTGTGTTGTTCTGGAGACAGTAGCTCATCTGCTGCTGCACAATTTGCGTTGTTCATACTCTAGTCCTTCATCAGTGGTCACAGGACGCTGCCCACAGGACGCTGTTGGCTGGATATTTTTGGTTAGTGGACTATTCTCAGTCCAGCAGTGACACTGAGGTGTTTAAAACTCCAGCAGCACTGCTGTGTCTGATCCACTCGTACCAGTGCAACACATACTAAAACACAGACAGTGTCACTGCAGTGCTGAGAATGATCCACCAACCAAATAATACCTGTTCTGTGGGGGTCCTGACCTTTAAAAAACAGGGTGAAAGAGGACTAAGGGGACTAAACAAAGTAGGAAGAGAAACAGATGGACTACAGTCTGTAATTGTACCTATATGGTAAGTGGAGCTGATAAAATGGACGAGTGAAGATTCAAAGAGGGGTACTTAATGAAGTAGCTGGTCAGTGTAGATGTACAATTACAGACTGTAGTCGATCTGATACTGCAGATATTATTTGGTGGTGCACCATTCTCATCACAGGAGAGACACAAGAATCAGACACAGTGGTGCTGCTGGGGTACTTATATTCGTCAGTGTCACTGCTAGGTTGAGAACGTTCCACCACACAAAAATATCCAGCCAAGTGTCAGAAACTGACCACTGATGACAAGCCAGAGGACGGCCAACAGCCTGTGCATTAACAGTTTGGTTACAGTTTCTGATGGTACACTAGGAAAGTGGAGCTACCATGGAGGGGTTAATAAATAATAATAATAATAATAATAATAATAATAATAATTGTGGCCAGTGGGTTTAAATGCACTCCATATAACCCAAAATGGCAAAAACTGGCCCCAAAATGCCATTATTTCATAGTGAAGTCTGACCCTTGATCTCTTTCTGAAGGCTGGCCAACAGGGCGAATAACAGCCCTGCTAATGTGGACTCAGAAACGGAGCAGGAGTCTGGGGACCACGGGGGCGGCTGATATATGGGAACAAAAACACTGACTGCTTGTTCTGTCAAACATGTAACTGGGACAAAGGATGAGCCAGAATGGGAAATCTGCATTGCTTTTTTCCCTCGTGAGCACAGATCTGATATCCTTTAACAATCAAAAGAACAAACCCCAAAGTCCAGAACATGCCAGTGTGACTTTGGCATCAGTTTTGAGAATATCAATTAAAACAGAGGTAGGAAACGGGGGTCCTGTCCATTGAAGAACAGTGTAAAAAGGGGCTAACAAGCATGCAGAGAAACAGATGGACTACAGACTGGAATTGCAGAACTACAAAGTGCACCTATATGGTCAGTGGAGCTGATGAAATGGACACAGAGTGTACATACAAGGTAGGTGTACCTAGTAAAGTGGCCAGTGGGTGTAACTAATACAATTTATACATTATAAACACCATCATATATACATGTCTCTGCAACCGGGCTCTGGAAGCCACATGAGTGGGCAGCTCCCAAGCATTAAATCGCAGACATCAATATTTGCCTGTGAAATATAACCTCAATGATCAGCACAAGTGAGCTGTCTCAAGGAACCACCAGGCATTAAAAACATACACAGAAGTGACTGGGAGAACTACCAACACTGTACTGGGATACAGACCATTTCAGAATAACCAGGCTCAATTTTATGTTTAAAATTAGTTCAAGAACTTTGTTTGGCACAAAGGTTTCTGCTTCTCATGATCCAAGTAAGCCCAAACACATTCAATGATTTTGAGGTCTGGACTCTGTGGTGGTCAGTCCACTGTTCTGGGAACACCAGCAGCTTCTAGGCTTGACTGGGAAGGTTGGTGTGCATGTTTTTTCCTCCCTTCTGGGCAGCGAAAACATCTCCCAGTTGGAAGAGTGAGAAAGCAACTTTTAATAAGCTAGGGGGATCTCCAGTGTTTGCTTAGAACGATCCGCTGACCTTCGTTACATGCCTCTCATGTTTCTGCTGTTTCTAAGTAAACAGTCCAAGCACATGCAGATGCTTGTGCACTTATGGCCACTGACTGTTTATGTCCAGCTTGCTCTAAACACAGTCCAAGTCTGGTTTACTTGATACCAAACATCTGTCATAAACATCTAAACTGCAGCAGCATTGAAACTAGGGTTTAAGCAATTAGCCAATTATCCATTAACTGACAAAAGAACAAGTCTTTGACCAATGCTACCATTAATCTATACGTGTTCATTTAAAAACAGTTCCTAATTGAAAAGGCTTGTTTATTCTAAACTTGAACTTTTTGAACTGTATTAATCAGGGGGAGATCGGATTCCTTCCGGCTTGAGGGGTATAAAGCCTCCCAGCATTGCGCTGTGGAGCAGTGGATTCTCTGGAGTGATGGAGTTCCATCCAGTACCTTTGGGATGAGTTGGAGTGATGTTTGTGATCCAGAACAAATCATCCAACATCAGCACCTGACCTCACTAATGCTATTGCGGCCATACGCAATCAAATCTTCACAGCAATGTTTCAACATCTAGTGGAAAGCCTTCTCAGAAGAGTAGAGGCAGTTACTGCAACATACTTGGAAAATGCCAGCTAAAGGACAACAGTGTGTTTCTGTCTTAAGCTTATTTGTCGTGACTAAGGTTTTGTCGCCCCCTCTGGTGAAAATGGAAACTGTCGGACACACTAAATAATTAACTGTAAAACATTTGTGTTTTTAACTAATAAAAATATCAATATTTCTTAATAATTTTAGCCCAATGTGTCATTCTACTTTAATGTGAAACCCCCCAACCCCCCACCACAAAGCCCACACACTGGCCATTATTTATCAAAGATCTGACCGCTTTTAATGACATACAAACTACTTTGTGTGCAATTCATGAAGGTTTGGCACAGTGTGGAAACAAGCAGAGATTTGTGTGCAAACAATGAATCAGCTTCAGTTTGTTAAATCAAGCGCTGGCCTACTAGCACCTCATTTACATATCATTTACATGAAGCACACCCTAATATATAGATATATAAGGTAGGCAGTCAATTCTCTGAATCAGACTGCTGTGGGGTCAGACATTTACTCCTACAGTAACAAAACTGAGAGCATCTCTGCTCTAATGAAAGCCCCTTGAGTGATACGAGACCTTTGCGATGATGACGGTCTGGTAGACGGCGAGGGGCAGAGTGATGGCTGTGCGAAGTGCCAGCGTGGTGCAGATGATACTGGCCCACCAGGGCAGTCCTGTGGTCTGCTGGCTGAAGACCAGCAGCTGCTCCGTCAGGTGGACAGGTCCGGAGTCTGCTATGCTTTCATACCAGCCAGGCCTGGCCGAGCCGAAGTTCCGGCAGAGCTGCAGTTCCATACGCCGTGTGGCTAAGGGGGCCGCAAACAGAACGGGCTTGGAGACAAGAGGTTGAGCAAAGTGACCTCTGAAGTCCATGGTAAACACACTGTGAGAGATACATCTGACCTGGGGTTTCACTGTCACCTGGTTACCATGGCAACAAAACCGCAGGGGCCAGGTGGTCACAGGGCCGGCCGCTCTTAACCACATCACAGTGGGGAACCTGAAAGGGAGCACAGTGATTTAGATTTTAGATTTTGATACTGATGGCAAAAAGTAATATTAATTCTCAGTGGCGAGAGCGAGAGAGAGAGAGAGACAGAGAGAGACAGAGAGAGACAGAGAGAGAGACAGACAGAGAGGGAGAGACATAGAGAGAGGCACACAGAGAGAGAGAGAGACACACAGAGAGAGAGAGACACAGAGAGAGAGAGAGAGAGAGAGAGAGAGAGAGAGAGAGAGAGAGAGAGAGAAAATAAAACTACAGAGAGAACGACAGAAAGCAGGGAGAGAAACAGTTAAAGGAGCTACACAGAGCCGGTACAACAGCAGAGTCCTCACCTCATTTTCTAATCCCGGACGTTCAGCGCATTTTCGGAATAATAATAAATAAATAATCTAAATCGGCCAAATGACATTCAGCTCTGCACGGCATGGCACAGCGGCGCACAGTGATGACGTCAACGCGCCACATCGCGTGTACCCCTCTTTTTCCTTCCTTTTCTATACATTTACTAACAATATATTTGTTTCTCGTGCTGTTAATTATTTTGACCTATGAATTAATACATATTCTTTAAAGTGTTATTGAATTATTTATTATTTATTAAGTATTATCTCATACCAGTGATCGACCTGTTTAAAATGAATGTTTGCTGATCAGTTGTTTTTGATGATCTTTTATACAGATGAAACTGTACGTAGTTCCTGTATTTATACATGCCATTATTGTTGCAAAACGCGAGCTGAAAATAAGTTAAATAAATAAATAACAAAAAATTAAACTATATCTATAGTATTTCTCCTTCAGCAACACTAAAACACTTAAGTCTTTGTTCTTTAAAGTCCCTTGATTGTTTTATTTTATACCTCAGTGTTCAGGACATGCTTAGAAAAATTAAACAAGAAAGAAAACCAAACAATTTCAGCAGCGCAGTACAAACTTTAAAGGTTTAAGTTAAAGGTTTAGGCTGAATTCTCAGCGCTTCTCAGAGGACCTGATCTCGGATCAGATTCCTCAGTTATTTACAATGACTTACTGAAAAGAAGCAGATCCAGAGCCGGTTTATGGTTCGCCAAAATCAGAGCTCCTTCTCTAGAAAGCCTCATGAACATCTATTAGAATCAGGAGCGCCACCTGCTGGATGGAAACCGCTCGGCCCGCTGAGTGCCAACATTTCTTTCCAGTAACAGTTCTTTCCTGCCGATTATTTTTTTAATGGCCACAAATTAATAAATTAAGGCAACAAATAATATATTAAGGCCACAATTTACTATACTGCCACCACAAATTAGCATACTGAAGCCATAATTTACTATGTTGAGGCCACAAATTAATAAATTGAAGCCAAGAATGAACATATTGAGGCCACGAATTACTATATAGAGGCCACAACTCACTATATTGAAGCCACAACTTACTATATTGAGGACAAAAATGTATATATTGCGGCCACAAATTCCTATATCGAGGTCAACTCAAAGTCTCGATATATTAATTTGTGGCCTCAATAAAGTAATTTGTGGCCACATCTTACTAAATAATACCATGTGGCTTTAAGGTCTTTGCACTTTCCAACATACTTTCCAGTTTTTATGTTTTTATACAATACGGAGTCAAAGTGTACGATATGTTCCAGCACACAGATTATTACAGTAATAGCTGTTAGGCTAATCAAGGGCAAGACAAATGTCATATTATAACAAAAAGTAAGCAGACAAGCATGTATTGTTGTGATGTGATATGCTTGAGGTGTACTTCCTAAAGAACTTCTCCAAAGTTTCTAATAATCTTCATTCTACAAAACAGTCTAACAGTATCTAAGTATGCATAGCAACAAACTTTTCCCATGTATACAGCTGCACATCATTTTGGATTGATATTGTTTAGTTCAATTACCACATTCTATAGCAGCACTGACCCAGTCTACCAAAGTGACAGACATTTGTGGCATTACAGTAACTCCTGGGCTCTGGTTTTGTATTATTTAATGCATAACAGGAAACACGGACAAATGTGTTGCTTTAAGTGATCAAACTTTAATGATGCTATTTACAGAACATCAGTTCCAGACTGAGAAGAATGAATGTGTTTACTTGTGTGAGATGAAAGTGAAGTTGAATGATCACTGATAATGTAATAAACCTCAGTGTCCTTAATTACACATTTATCCTAGACATAGAGTCCCAAATATAAAGCTCCGTATCCAAACAGCAATTCAAAAGAGTCATTTACTTCACACAGATATAAGTACAACAGGGCAAAGATGAGTCTCCTCACAATGCAGCACCAATTATGTAAGTGCTGTAATGCTGGCAGTGTTTCCTCACATGGGTGACCAATTATGTAAGTTCTACTGGACAAAGATCGGTTTTCTCACATGGTCAGAGGCAGTTATGTTGGTACTACAGGAAGAAAATGCACAGACATACAACATAGCTCAGGAGGAGGCAACATGATATGATGTTGTTATGATAAATTATATAATCGATAACTGTCTGTATCATAAAAAGACCAATTCTCAGACCAATTACAGAGTAAACAGGCAACAACCTTTGTATATTAATTGCCTAAACCGCACAGTAACAAGCAGTCAGGCCATTACGCCATTGCATTTACGACATTTGGCAGACGCTTTTACCAGAGCGACTTACAATATGATCATTTAACACAGGCAGGCCAAGGTAGCGTTAGGAGTCTTGCCCAAGGACTCATATTGGTTATTAGTCTACAGCATAGAAGGCAGAGGTGTCACCCACTACACCATACCAAACACCATTTTTGTGTTTCATTTATTTGTTTTTACCAATTGATAGTTTTTCCCTCCTATTCCTTCTTAAGCAATGTACTTTTGCAAACCTTAAAAATAAATCATTGTAGTTTTTCAAAGCCTTTTTTAAACGTGTAACTACTGTTTTTTCGTCCATTCCAACCCAGAAAAAAAATGTCACATCGGCCCTTATTCATCAAACTTAAAGCATAAAAATAGAGCAGAATGCACCTTTAATGACATACGAACTACTCTGCGTCTGATTCATGAAACATTTGTATTACAGAGATAATAAAAGCAAATGATGAATCAGCTTCAGTGCGTGAAATCAAGTGCCAGCCTGTCTGCAACTCATTTACATATCATTTACATGAAGCCCTACTTCATGCAGATGTTTCAGTAAGGAGCCAATAAAACAATTGCATTCAGCAGCTCATGAGCCAATGGCTGTGCTTGTAGGCGGAGTTAGAGGTCGAGCAGTGAGTGCACTGCTCCCTCTACTGACCAAATTACATTGTGTTAAAATTATGACGACTGGAAAGAATAAAATGTGCAATAAAAACAAAACATCTTTGTTGTTTTTAAGATGGTAGAATGATGATATTTTGTAGTGTAAAATGTCTTTAAATGTAATGTGGAAGATTTGCAACATTTATTTTTACCAATACATGTAAAATAAGTACATCCACTTTTGCACTGGATTGCCAAGTGCACAAATCATCAGTATTCTTTGCTGTTTTCTAATTTTATTGTTATTATTGATGTTATGTATGATATTGAGAACAGTTTTGGTTAGTTAACCACAAATCTGGCATTTTTTAAACCATTACACTCTACATACATACACGCCTACCAGAGTTTGACTGTAGATGAAAGATGAAACTGATGAATAGCTAAACTGTTGTGAAATAAGGGCCATAGTATATTGTGAAAATGAATGTTATATTTTTGCTGTATCACACTTAATACATATAAATGATGCCATTTTGATCCTGTAATACTTCCATAACTGGCGCTGACAATGCAAGAAAATCTTGCCAACATTACAGAAAATCTAATACATTAAATCTACTCTTAGACTATGAAGTGAATTCACTTATCCCCAAACTTGTGTCTAACCACTCCAAAACACCAGCTCTGTGAGTAGCACCCTGCCGATGAAGTGAAGTCCTGTAATTGGCCCGCAAAACAGGTCAAAGTTTAAAGTTCACTCTAGCGACGGGCTTTCCTGGCCCTTTGCTGTTGCGCTATTCGCCGCTGGTTGAGGGTTTTGGTGGTGGCGCGCAGTTTGCGCATGCGCAGTTGCCTCAGACGCAGCTGCAGGTCCTTGGGGATTTTGCCGCCCTTGGCCAGGATGTCCCGCAGCCGCTGCTTGGGGGTCTTGGTAAGGCGGAAGTCGCAGATGGTGGGGTAGTGCTCATACTCCACCCTGCAGGAGCGAGTGGCCGGGAAGTAGCCCTCTGCCATGACGGTTACCTGGTAGTCTCCAGGGTTTAGCAGGCGCCAGTAGTCCCCGTCGAAAGCTGGGAAGAGAGCAGTGAGATCTGTTTAACTCCTATACTAGAAAACCAGCACAGACCAGCATGTCTGGTCACCAGCAAAACCAGCATATGTTTTGGGTGATGGCATGATGGTCTTGGTCCCACACAAATCATCGTGTTAGCTAAAAAATAAGGTCTGTAGCTAAATTGCTGCTTTGCAGATGAGATAATTAGCTAATTCAGCTGGTTACCTGTTAGCTAGGTGCTAACTAGCTCCACTTACATAAGCAGGCAAGATAGCTAACTTGAGTATTTTATCGCTTAGTAAACTAATGCCCTTCAAAGGCGACAATATTTGCTGATCAATGAACTGTATTCCTTTAACTGGACTTTTAGTTAGCTATTTATTCTGCTGAAAGAAATCAAAGAAACTATTAAAAGCTTCTGTTGGTTCTTGGTGTTTTGGCTTTTGGTGGGTTGATGCCACAATGTAAAGGATCCCAATAGTTTAAGAGGTGACCTGTGACTGAGTCTAGATGTATTTGATTGTTTTCTTTTTTTGGAGGGGATTCCACCCGCTAGTGAGGACTCCCCCAGGTACACGATACCAGCAGGGTCCCAACGCTAGGAGGGTGAAAGCAAATACAAGCTTCCTCTGAATCATGTGAAGCGAGCCACTGCATCTTTTCGAACTGCTACTAATGCAACAATGGACAGCTGAGAGCGCTTGGAGGAGAATGCTAACTGCTAGTTCTGTTATGTCAGCTAACAGATGCCTGCACTGGCTAGCATTGTGCTGAGAGATGGGGGAGAGGGAGGGCCATGCTACCCACCCATAGAGAGCAAGGCTAATTGTGCTCTCTTAGAGCCCCCGCCACAGACGGCTGTAGCATCATTGGGGATATGATGGTTTTCAAGAGGTGGGATCAAAAGGTGTTCCAAAGGAAACTAGTGGTCTCTAATGGGAACCATTAAGCTAATTCCCTATAGAAATCCTAATGATTCTAAAGGTCTTTCAGCAGGGTAGGTTCTTTGTTTTGTGCAGATGATAATTTAGCTAACTGAAGACCATGCTGACTAACCTTAGCAGACAATAGCTATGATCGTTGCTATCTAAGTGGTGTTTTAAATTAGCATGTTTTAAATTAGTTAGTTAGTGGGCAGTATTTACTGTTCCACTGCTCCACAGCGCAAAGCTGGGGGGTTTTATATCCCTCAAACCAATGCTTGGCATTGGGTGTGGTGACCTTAGGCTCATGTGTGGCTGCTCCGGAGTGTCCCATTCTATTGGCCAATGCTTTTTTATGGAGATTCTACAAGCTGTGTGTGTATTTGCACTCCTGTGTCAGCAGTATGCGCACCTTAATTCCCTATTAAGCAATTCAATTTTTAATGTACCTAACTTTTTTATCTGGCTTCCTGGTGCTTCCTGGTGGGAAACTCATATTTCTAATAAAACTGAGACCACTTGAAAGCAGGGTTAGCCCTCTAAGCGGCCTGCTAATGCTGCTGGGGACAAGGGTAAGGTTTTCCCACATTCAGCCAGCCACATATGCAAAACATACTATAGATTTGACCTCATTTCTCATTACAAGGCAAACCTGCCTAGTTTCAAATGGCAATGACAACATTGTCCAGCTTGGTTGAGTAGCATTTAAACTGGGAACATGTTATGTAGCCACTCAGCAAAGAGTTCTAGTTTCCTCACAACCGTTATCAATGTGTTAGCATGTTTTTAGCTTCAAGTGAAAGTACATTGCTGGTATTCTCCTCACCAGATCTGATGTGGTGGTCGATGTCATCCACTTTGATGATGGCATCTGCTATTCCAGCTTCAGTGTCTTTGTCTCTAATGACCCCTTTAATTCCTCGGTGCACCTGGAACAGGTAGGTAGAAACATCAGGGGCTGTTTTGTTTCTTTAGTAATGTACAAGCATATAGTAGATGAACAGATTTTACAGAATTAAAAGGTAATATATAGAGCATTGTGGGCTACTAAATCATTTTGGACCATTTCTATTGATCCATTCATCCATACACTTTGGATATACTAGTGGATACACTATTTGAAGGGCATCTTATCTAAATGCTCTGAATACCTAAAGTAAATGTGTTCTAGATTTGTACACACAGTAATGATAGAAGAACTTTTACCTGCTCCATGTAAATCAGAAGAGACTCTTTGTTGTTCTCCCACTCGATGGGCAGTTCACTGGCATGAGGGAATTTATCACAGGACAGCTCTACGGTCACCTCGAAGCAGTTGGTGTGCAGGTAGCTGAAGTCATTCATACCTGTGAATAAGCATAGGTTTGTATTCACTAAAACTCAAAAGAATCATGTGTATTACACTCTGCAAGTATTAATAACTACTCATCTTTCACTGTTACATTTTGGATGGAAACAAAAGGGTTAAATTCTTGATAAGCTGGCAAGTCAGGAATTGCTTTTCTTCATGGTATTTAGGTAGATATAGCTAAGCGAGCTCTCCTATTGGTTAGTGCTTCAAGAGCTGAAGAGAAGCCCTAACAGCCTTAGATTAACCATGAACATGATTTCAAAGTGACAGAGGAATGCAGTTTGCATGACAATGCATATTTGAACTACTTCTAGTTTTAAGTAATGTCTTTTTAAAGGTTGCCTTTGGAGTCTAATTTTATTGTTCAGCCTTTTTGAAAATAATCGAAGGTTACTTGAATACTGAAGGGGCATTTCGGCCTAAAACCAGAGTTTAATGTTATTATACATGCTATGCAGTATTTTGTAGTGCAACATTACATCACTTAGTTTGACAGAATTCAACATTTTATATCGTTTCCATTTTTTCATTCATCAATATTTTATCACTACAATACCCAGCATGCACTAGGCAAATACATCATACAGCCACTGGGAATCACTATGGTGTCAACCAATTCTGACTAGCCACTGATCCACAGGCTAATAAATACCAAGCTAGTATCAGTTTGACCAGTCTTAACTTGGTTGTCGAAAAAAGAAAACAGTGTTTCTAGCTGTATTTAGCACAAAATGGACACTGTGGATAAGTTTTTGTTACCCTTTCAGCCAGAGAGAAGAAACCAAACTGAGGTAAGATATCTAGACGGCTAGTTACCTTGCTAGTTTTAGCGTTTATCTTGTTGTCCTTCTCATCTGTCAAGTCATTTGTGTTCAGTAATCAGTTCTTTCCATTGTAATGAAGATTTAATGACAATACTTTGCTGGTTAAATGGCTTCATTAAGATTTATGGCTTTCTAGAAATGTTAATAATGTAAGATATCTGCCTTCTATCCAGCTAAAACAATAAACCATCCCTCTCCCAAAAATATACCTGAAACTAGTTTCCCACTTTCAAGATACATCATCAGAAGGGGGTTTCCTAGACTTCAAACCAGAAAATCTTACTCTAGACACTGAGACACTGCTGTAGGACGTGAGTCAGCATGTTTATAACAGATGTAGCGATGGATAAATGTTTCTTTTTTGGCCAGATTGTCACTTTTAATATGGATAACCCCATTTTAACCGACTCAATTTAAAATAAAACTGAAATCCAAAGTCGCTAATCCACAAATGCAACTTCACTGTCCAAGCTCTTTGTTTTTAAACATTTCCTGGCTGAAGGGTGATACCCACTGCCGGGCACCGTGTGCCAGTCGGCCCCATTGATGATGTTGTTGTGCCTCACGAAGTCGTCATAGTGGCACGGCCGGCGGTCTGGGTTGGACATGACGTGGTTGGTGCTGGCGTACACTGTGGCCAGCCAGCGGAAGAAGCTGTCGTCGGCGGTGGGGGTGTGCTCGCGTGGGGCCCAGTCCCTGGTCATGTCGAATGGATACGTTACCACCAGCTCCCCACCATGGAAGTTAGCACTGAGCACGAAGGGGATGGTCTGCATCCAGCTGATCACTGCCCGCGTCTCAGGGGCCACCTTCCATCAGCCGATCAATCAGTAATCGATCAATCAAAAACAGAAAAAAACAAGTTGACAGTGTTAGGAAAGATCACTGGTTAGTAACGGGGCAGTCATCATGAGTGCAAGTCTCTGACCTCAGGACAGGTCGGTTCCAAAGGAAGCCAATCAGTGTTTAGCTAGTGTTTCATAAAACAGCCTCCACTCTTCTGGGAAGGCTTTCCGCAATGGTTTGAAGTGTGTCTGTAGAATTTGTGCCCATTCAGACAAAAGATTTGTGAGATCAGACACTGAAGTTGGATTAGAAGGCACAGCTTTGGCTTAGTATCTCAGTTTACTTCTTTTCTCAAAATATTGACTTATTTTTTTCACAGTATTGCCTTAGTATCTCAAACTTAATATTAAAAATAGTTAATTAATTTCTCAAAATATTAGATTTAGTATATCAAAATAACTTTTCTCAAAATATTAACTTATTTTATCGAAATGTTTACTTTTTTTGGAGTGTGTCTTTGGGAATTTTTGCCCATTCAGTCAAAAGAGCATTTGTGAAGTCAGACACTGATGTTGGATGAAAAGGCACAGTGTTGACTTACTATCTCGAGTCACTTATTTTCTCAAAATATTGACTATTTTGATTTGCTTGTTTTTAAAACATTGACTTACTATCTCAATTCACTTATTTTCTTGAAATATTGACTTACTATCTCGATTTGCTTGTTTTCTCAAATTATTGACTTACTATCTTGATTTACTTATTTTTTTATAAAATTGACAATATCTCAATTTGCTTGTTTTCTGAAAATATTGACTTACTGTCTCGATTTGCTTATTTTTTCAAAATATTGACTTGCTATCTTGATTTGTATATGTTCTGAAAACATTGACTTACTATCTCGATTTGCTTGTTTTCTCAAATTATTGACTTACTATCTTGATTTACTTTTTTTTTAATTACTTAATATCTCGATTTGCTTATTTTCTCAAAATATTGACATACTATCTCGATTTGCATATGTTCTGAAAATACTGACTTAGTATCTCAAATTGCTTATTTTCTGAAAATATTGACTTACTATCTTGATTTGCTTATTTTCTCAAAATATTAACTTATTTTCTCACAATATTGCCTTAGTATCTCATTAATGAGCTTCAAACTCCAATGACTAAAGGGAAGGCGACCATCAGAACGAGAGTCACAAAGAGTTCGCCAGATGAACAAATCTAAACTTTTTTTTAGTTAAAACAGTATTTTTTATAGTGTACAATGAAGTGTGAACATCTAAGACTCACAAATACTTTTAATGCTGATGAAAATAAGAAATAGTGATTAAAAATGCTGTTTGTCCCTTTGCTCTCCTGCACGGTGTGGAAGTTTCTATGGGGGTCGTTAAATACATAATGTCTGTTCATATCAAGTAGGGGTACAGCATTTCTGCAGTTCAGGTCTGATAACAGATTTGACCACAGCATCCTGCTTGATATGAAGAACACAGCAAAACAGCATGAGCAGAAAGGAAAGTCCTCCTGACCACGACAACGCCGTCTGTATTATTAGTTTGTGAAATTATGGAAAAACTCACAAATGGCAGAGTTAATGGGCAAAGAGTAGTTAAAAATAATGTAATTCAAAATGACATGAAGTTTACTTTTAATGTAAACTGTTTTTTTTCAGTTTGTGGCCTGAATTAATGCATCACTAATGATAAGCAACAATGATAAGTCTGTCTACAAGAGGGATACATGGTCTGTTTGGTGCCACAACAACAAACTTCTCTTGCCTTCTCTTGGTCCCTGAACTCTAGCAACTTTTTGAGGTTGAAGAGCTTCAAAATGAACACATCAGCTAGAATCAACTTTTCCTGCTGCACCATAGAGATTCCTCTGAATGCATCATGGTGTGGTTTGGCAACCTGACTGTCCAGGATCTCAGTCTCCCACAAAGAGCTGTCAGAAGTGTTTCAAAACTCATCTGCACTGATCTCCCTCAACTCCAGGACATCTATTCATCCCGATCCCAGACGAGGGCCCGGTCCATCATCAAGCAAGCCTCTCGCCAATGCCCTCTTCTCCCCTTTGCCTTCTGGCAAATGTTTCCAGAACATCACAAAGCACACCACGCTTCAAAAACAGCCTCTTCCCATAGGCCGTCAGGACTCATAACAGCACACACTGACTGACTGCTGTCTATCTCGACCTCACTCGCTGGGCACACAGTGTACTTTACTGTGTCTGCTAGTTTTCAGTGCATTCCTCCACACTGCATTCGGACAGTACTGTGCAAAATCAGTGAGCGCCTTTTTGTTTATTTAATTTCCACTCAGAATGGCTATTTGGCTAAAAGAAGAAAACAAATTACACAGAAACCTCAACAACTAAATATAATACACCAATAAGGCATAACATTCTGACCACCTCCTTGTTTCTACACTCATTGTCCATTTTATCAGCTCCACTTACTATATAGGTGCACTTTGTAGTTCTACAATTACAGACTGTAGTCCATCTGTTTCTCTGCATACTTTGTTAGCCCCCTTTTACCCTGTTCTTCAGTGGTCAGGACCTCCATGGACCCTCACAGAGCAGGTACTATTCGAGTGGTGCATTCTCAGCACTGCAGTAACACTGACGTGTTGGTGGTGTGTCAGTGTGTGTTGCGCTGGTACGAGTGGATCAGACACAGCAGTGCTGCTGGAGTTTTTAAACACCTCAGTGTCACTGCTGGACTGAGAATAGTCCACCAACCAAAAATATGGTTTTGGTGGGCAGCGTCCTGTGACCACTGATGAAGGACTAGAGGATGACCAACACAAACTGTGCAGCAGCAGATGAGCTGTCGTCTCTGACTTTACATCTACAAGGTGGACTGACAAGGTAGGAGTGTCTAATAGAGTGGACAGTGAGTGGACACAGTGTTTAAAAACTCCAGCAGCACTGCTGTGTCTGATCCACTCAGACCATTAAATGTATGGTGAAATGGTTCTTTAGCTTGATGGAGAATGTGTTGTATATGGATCTAAACAGAACCTTTATGGAAATGGTTCTAAATATCACCAAAGAGGCCTCTTTTATTGTTACAAGTTTGACATTGTAACAGTAGCAGAACCCTTTTTGGTGCTACATAGAGCCATTTCTGTTCAGAACCATATACAACACATTCTCCATCAAGCCGGAGAACCTTTTCAACCTAATCATGCAAAAGGTTTTTTGAGTGTTAATAGTTTATACACTAAACTATATGCTAAACTGTCACTGGGACATTGCCCCTCTTGTCACTGGGGTGGTACCTCAAGGGTACATCTCAGTACCTTTAGTCAGGGAACATAACTGTACCAGCTGTACTGACTCCACACTCCCCGTCTCGTCTCCCGGCTTTTATTGTGTTGTTCTGTTTTAAACCACTCGGTTATGAAAAGGTACAAATATGTACTTTTCACCTGGAAAAACTTTGTTTAGGGTGCACAGTTAGTCCTTAAAACCACTGTTGTACCTTTGTGGGAACATTTACATTGTTTGTACCTTGATGTTCCTGCACAGAACCTTTATTTCTAACGGAACATTGTCTTTACTAAACAACCTTTGATGGACCATCTTTTTAAAGAGTGTCCCAAAGTTCAGTCACAGAAGCTGGTTGCATTTTCTGCTTCTCATGATCCAACTTGTCCCAAACACATTCAGTGATGTGATGTCTGGACTCTAGGATGACCAGTCCATTGTTCTGAAATCATCAGCAGCTTTGTTTAATTTGCAAATGTACTTTTCTCAGTTCCTCTTGAACAGCTACACATCCTTTCAGACCCCTAGTGCTGAGTTGTCTTCTCACAGTAGAAGGATGGACAGAAACACCTGTGGATTTTTTCAGATCCGAAGCAGCTTGATTTGCTTCTCTCTCTCAAAGATGAAAGTATTGCTTATCTGTTGATGACAGTTTTGGTGGTTTATCAGGTACTTAATTGTACTTTAATGGCTGTTTTGACGAGACATTAAATAACTTAATGTGTTCTCTGTGCACTGCAAGTGCTGTAAGTGCTCTAAAGAGGGACGCTGATTGATTGATACTCACAAAGGCCTCCTCAGATGTGTACTGTTCAGGGATGGGAAAGTAATGGTTTATGAGTTTGGACTTGTCCGTCTCCAGCTCGATAGCTGTCCACATCACTGTGTTCAGATCAGCAAAGTTGTGGTTCATGTCAATGCCTTCATAGCTGAAGCGGCCCAGGGCCCATCCGGACAGCTCCGAGCCCTGAAGACGAGAAAATAACACACACTCGTACAGGATATATTCACACAAAAGAAAAGCTAAAGGGAAAGTTAGTTATTACAGTCCTACAGCCTGTTTACATGCTGATCTAGTGCTGGGCGATATATCCTCTATACCAGTGTACTGGTTTTGGCACATAATTCAGTCACTGAGATGTAAACAAAGTCATTCAGAGTAGTCTGATGTGAAATGGTTCATTGTAGAGAAACACACCCAGTCAGAAATGTTCACAATGATGGTGATAGGGACCAGACGTCTGAAGCATTTAATGCTTCTAAAAGCTACAGAAATTAATTACATAAAATGGTTATGAATATGCTGCATGATGCCTATTGTTTTACAATAGTTTTTGAGATATAGTTTTGGCCTCAAATGTATTTTGGAAGTCCATTCATGGTGGAGACATACGTGAAGGGAGTTAAAAGGCAAAATAGTCCCCAATGAAAACATATTTTTTCATGTTTCCCACTGTTTTACCATAATTAACATTAAATATAAAGATTTAGAAGACACACATAGTGACTAGTCATTTTGGAAAGTAAATAAAATGGCTATATTTGCATTGCAGTCACCGGGATCCCTGGTTCATCTCACCACTGTAAAGAGATCTGTGTTGGTAAGTTTCTATACAGGAACCACTCTAAAGGACTTTGCTTGCATCTCAATGACTGAATTATGAAAAAAGTGTGAAATCCCATTAAATAGATACCAAAAATGTAGTTAGCTGCAATGTATATTGTTTGTTGGGTGCAACATATTGTTTTGAAAGATTTTACATTAAAAATAAATAAATATTAAGCTTGCTTTCTAGAAATAGCTAATGTTTACAACACTAAACAAGGTAATATATATATATATATACACACACACATATATACATATATATATATATATATATATATATATATATATATATATATATATATATATATATATATAAAATGGTAA